TTTGATGTGGAGGTGCTCCGAAGATGCTCTGTAGCTCCACAACTTAAATCTAGGCCTGGCTTGGGACAGGGAAGCAGATGGTGGGTGCTAAAGGTACCTACTGGGCATCTTCAGCAGCTGCCATCCCTGGGCCCCTTTGTGCTCCTGTGGGGTCCCATGAATTAGCAGTGGAAGATGGGAGGGGGAAGAGGGCTTGTGGCAGTGCCTTAGCACCCTTGCTGCTCCCAGTCATTAGACAGGCTGAAACCTTGAGGCCCAAAGTATAATCTAAACCCACCCACTATCTTTTGTTTTAAGGAGTGAGACAATAAGTGGGAATTTCAGGGAAGTGGATTTTGGTTTAACATTAGGAGACCCTTAACAGTACAATCTGTCAGTGGAATGGGCTGCCTCCAGAGGGGATTGGTTCTCCTCTGATGGAGGTATTTACAGCCATCTCTCATGGACATTGCAGTTACAAGTGTTCGGGCTTGGATGATCTCCATGGTACCTTTTAACTGAATGCTTTGTCTCATTTAAAGCCATACAACAGAAGCCTGGTAAAAGCAAAGCAAGGCAGCTCCCAGAAGACAGAGACTAAAGCGCAGGGGCATCAGGTGCCCTTCCCTCAGGGAAGCATTCTACTAATGGTGCCACCACTGCGAAGGGGCCCTCTCAAAAGTTGTCACCCATTAACCTCAGGAGGAACCCAGAGAAGGTTCTCCTGAAGTTCTGCTAGGTTGACCATGTCTTAATATGTTCCTTAGTGCTTGCCCTAGTTAGCAGTCAAACAGCACGTGCCAGCAGCAGCCATATTCTAAATGAACCTAAATTTCCAAAAAAGAGTCTTCAAAGGCAACCCCAGGCAGAAATTATTGTAGTAATCAGGTCTGGAGGTTATTACCAGAACATTTTTTCAGTGTTCTTCTGTCAGAACCTTCTGTTCTAGGTGGTGATGTGCTGTTTTTGTTAATTAGCAGCCCCAGATGATTGCTTTGAAGATTGGGACTTTGTGCTCTGGGAAAGGGTGTTTCCTCTCATGCCCCTTCCCTGATGGAAATGCCTCCATCTTTTATCTGATATTAACTCAGCAGGACACTTTAGCAGAAGATCAGTGGCAGAGTGTCTTGAGAGGCTGAAGTACTTTGCAGCTGCTTCCTGGATATTGCCATTGCTGATGCCAGATTTGTATCCATGTGTTCTTTTCCATAGGGAACAGCCCTCCATAGAGGAAAAAATGCATGCTTGTCCTGTATAGAAGGCACTAGAGAATTGCTGACATGAGTTAGCAAAGCTCACATTGGAAGATGATTATGCTGATTGGAGAATACAAATGCTGAAGGCACTACAAGTGTCTTTGTTGGTTGTGTTGCAAAAGGCCAGCCTTCTCAACCTGGCACCATCCATATGTTTTCAGCTACCGCTCGTGGCATTCTTGACCAGTAGTCCGGCTAGCTGAGCTGGATGAGATTTAAAGTCCAAAAGCTCTGGAGAGCACCAGGTTGGAGAAGGCTGCAGCAGACAAATCGATACAGACGGAAGAACACACAAATTGCGTGCTCCAGCTGTTGGGCTTTGCTGTTGTGCATGACCGTTGTACTGGGAGGGGCACTGAGCAGCAGCAGGGATCACTCTGGAATGCTGGAGCCGTCTACCACGACGCCAGGTTCAGAGGCATGGGGTGCTTCCAGCAAGGCAGGCACCAGACTCATTCGAAGAATTTTGCAAGGAGTCCAGATGACTATCTGAAATATTGCAACCCTCCTGTTTTCTCAATGTTTCTTTCATTTTTTTTTTCTTTCAAAGAAAACCAAGGAGGAAGGGATGCACAGTGCTTCTGTTGTTAGCACTAGGTACCTTCTGCTTGGAAGCTCTTTGCAAGATGAGTGCTGCTCCGCAAATTTGCCAAGGAGGAGGTTGCCTCTCCATTTACTAAGTTTTCTCCTGATGTCATTATTTCCTGCTTTAAAGTACACTCCTTGCTCCTGGCATAGTGTCAATGGGCACAAGGAACTGTATCTGACAGCAATTTATTTCTGCTAGCTCAACAGTGGAGATAAGATAAACCGAGCCTTTATCCACAGTCATAAAGAGAAGTGCAGAGCAATAGAAGGCCTTTGGCCCTTAATGCAAGTCACAGAGGTTTGTTGTAAAGCATGTGGTTCAAATTGTAGAATGATTTGGGCGTGTGGGGATCTAAAGCCAGACAAGGCAGTAGGTTGCTTGCTCCTCCTAAAATGTGTGGCTGAGTCCCATAAAAGACCTAATCTATTCATGCAGGGGGATCAATTGGTACAGTCATCTCAGCAAATTGCCTGTTTCAGTGTTCCACCTCCCAGCCCTCTATCTCTGTAAATATGAATTTCCTTCTCTTCCCGCTACCCTCATATAACACATTTTTCGAAGAGAAAATTCCACCCCCACAATCTGGAGTAGTACACTCCAGTGAGAGTGTACCAGCACACTCCAGTGAGAGTGTACCAGCACACTCCAGTTGTACCAAGGGATTTGGTGTGGAATTTAGTGGTTGGAGGGTTCACAAGGCCTACTTCTACCCTTTCTCTTCCACACTTCTACACACGCGCACCACATTTATCCATCAAGTCTTCACAGGTTAGCCAAGGTTACCCCAGTGAGGCACAAACAGAGACAGCAAAGAATGGTGATTACTGAGCAGTTATTCCCCACAGAAATTAGCTGATCTGCATGTTACAAGTGAAGACATTCCCCAGACAATCCCCCCATGCCTTTAAAAGTTGACTCCAGTTGTATTAACTCGGCTTTCTTTGGAGAATGTCTGCAGACCTGAGTCATTCCAGTGATAATAACACACAGGAGCTGAGAAGACGGAGGCCATTTCTCTCAACATCTGTCTAAATTTATCTGCCACTGGCATAGCATAGAAGGTTTCTGACCCTGTTTCCTTGTGCCCTACCCCATTTGTTTTTGATGTGGTACTTAGACCAGTATGCAGCCAGCCCAAGACATTTTGCAGCCCACGGTAGAGATTAAGGTGGTGCCCGTGCTCATTCCATGTCCAAAAAACCCTGAAGGTACTAAGAGCACTGATGTTAGGAGGCTGCCTGAGGCAGTCGAGGTGGGGGGGGGGCATGGCATGCAGCTCTCTCCTCCAAGGCCTCCCTGCCACTCCCTACCGTTTGCCACTGAGGCAATTCAGTTCCTTCAGGTGTAATGGCAGGGTCAGCCCTGAATTAGTGCCACAGGGCAGAAAACCTTTGTGACGCATGCAAGGATCTCCACTTGCAAAGCATGAGCAGGGAAGGCAGAAAACAGAAGAGGAGGAGGAGCCCAAGATCCACTCTGAGATTTACTGTTAACAGTATTTTTTTGCTGTCCGCTCAGCACTGCAACTGATCATAGGTTTGTTGCATTACTTGACTGTAATCTATTGTGGATTTATGCATTCATAATTTTGCAAAATCTTGCTTTTGTATGTACAACGTTTGTAAAGTTCTCACTTGGGAAGTCATTCCAGAGCCTTGGGGATGAATGTCATTTTATGAATATGATAATATTACGCAAGCAATTGGGAGCTTATCTATCTTACCTATTTTTATCTATAAAAATAGCAACACCAGCAAATAATTATAATAGGGGAGAATTACAACTGAAAGGAAAATAACACTTAACATTTTGAAAAACATGTATACTACTCATAGTAGTACATAAATATAGCAAAGAAATTACTTCTATAATACAAGGAAGGACAGACTCAAGTTTGCAGAATATTTTTGTTTTTTACTAGAATGCCAAGGTCCACTAACTGGAGCTGGGTCCAAAAAAAAAAAAATACACAGATAATCAAAAAATGAGTCCAGAAATTGGTTCTGAGTACCAGAGCAGAACAGAGCTCATAGTCCACCCTGCAAGAATTCTTCATCTGAGTGCTACAATTGAGAAGAATCATTTTGTTGTTGTGATTATTAAACAGTTGGGAATTGGAAATCCTTCCTAATCAAATTGTCCACAGACTGACTGGTAGATTTTGATCTACTTTTTGCCAGGTCTACTCTAATATTTAAGCTATATGGGATGTTTTTATTTATTTTGTTATAAATTTTAAAAATGAGAAAGCGGCTGCATAGATTTGAGTATGCCACTTTCCATGCATACTTATTGAGTGTGTATCTCTCTATATAAAATATAGGTTTCCATATAAAAGCAGTTTCAGTAAAAGCAGACCAGATATCCAAATAAGTATATTTAGATTGACCAAATCACTGCCTATCCAAATGTTGAAATTTTTGTAAGGTCTTCAATTCACTGTTTATAGGAAGTGAATGTTTATCCTTCTAATACTGTAATGTTGGTTTTAGCTGTCAGAAGAGTACAGATAATCCACCTGTCCTGCTGACCATATAATAGCTTCCAGGAAGCAGACAGCTACTTTAAACAAGTAAATATTAAGGAGTGCTCCAGTGCAGAATTTATGCATATAATTTCCTCCTCCCCAAATGGGACAACTACTGGGCATTGCCAAAACGTAAGTGTAAAAGAATCATTAGCTTAATTGCACTTCCAATTTAAGTTGGGCCTGGACTCTGTGCAGAAAAATTAAAAATCTGGTCTCCTCTTTTCAGTCAGATAAATAGCAGGGCAACAATTGATTTGATTTGCACCCCACCTTTCCATAAGTGCTAAAATTGGCACTCAAGGCAGCTAACAGGAATACAGACCAAGGTTAGAATAAACATAGCTAAGATAAGGACTGAGGCTGAAGATGAAAGAAGATGATGATGATCTGCTAGGCTGGATGCAACCACCAGCTGTGTAGGCCCCTCAGTAATGCAAGTTGGCGACTACTGCAAAGTCATGGGCTTTGACACAAGAAAGTGATTGGCTGCCTTGGTGGTCCATACAGGCAGGGGGCACTGACTGCATGCCATTTCTGCCCAGCCCAAAGCCACAGCTCAGAGGGAAGGAGATGGATTCCAAGGTGACATGTCAGTGCACCAGTTGGAAGGACCTTGGCTCACTATGCTTCTCTTCCCTGCCCAGACACTTCTGCCCTTATATGGCAAAGGCAGGTGGTGCCGGCGTTCGGTGCCGAGGGAAGGAGGGAACAAAGGTCACCCCGGAGCTTGCTCTGTTCAGGTGCAGTCCGTCTCCAAGGTGCCAGGCACCCACCAAGCAGACACCACCGCCAAGGTAAGCGCTCCGTTCTGGGGCCCTCCCAACGCGGCTCCTGGCTCTGGCTGGCAGAGTGGGGAGGGCTACCCTTGCATGCTCTGACCCGGGCTTGTCCTTGCTTTAGCCTTGCGCTGCCCTCCCAGCTGATGGCAAACCTCCTCCCCCCCCCCCCGCTCCCTCCACTTAGTCCTTTTTCATGGCTGTGAAAGATGAAGAGGGATTCTGAATCTACATAGAGGAAACCAAATCTGGGACCCCAAACTGGACTTTTCTCCTGAACCGGAAAAGCTGCTTGTGTTTCCAGCTTGAATTTTCTCAACTTTCTATGATTCATAAGCCCTTTGGGTTCATGCAGCAACCAAAAAGAGCAGGATCCACTAGGCTGGCTCTGCCTCCATGTCTTTGGACCTTCCTTGTTTAGTTAAAGTTGCTCGCTGAGTAGAAATACAACCCAGAGGAAACCGTGAGTGTGTCTTTGGAGGAAACTGTGAGTGTGTCTTTGGAGATGGCAGGCAGGAGGCATCCCTGGGAAGGAGAAGCTTCCCATGCTAGTAGGAGGGGATGTGCAGGAATCCAAACTGTAGAGAGTACTGGATTCCCAAGCACTCAGGTGGCGCTTGTCCGTGGCATCCCTAGGATATCCACTCCAAGGATGCCAGCCTGGTTAAAAGGTGCCAGTAGATGACAAGAAGGGTAATGGGATATACAGGGTTTCAGGTCCTGTTTCCTCTGCAACCTGCCACCTACCAGGCAGCCAGTGGGCCACCAGCTGGAGCTAGTTTAGGCTTTGCAGCCTTCACAGAAACATTGCTTTATTGGACGGTTGTAGGCAAGCAGTTGCAGCCACACCCAACAGTGTGTGCATGTCCTTGCAGGTCCACTCATATGGGTCTGCAGCCCCAGCTTAAAAAAGCACATAGCCCCCCGTGCCTATGGATGAGTGCTGCCTTTTGTGCAACTTCGTTTTCACTTTTTCCTCTGCTTTCCTACTGTAAGCTCACAGGGGACTTGTCAGCAAAGCCTGATTGCTTCTCGGTTTTCTAAATTCACGCACAGAGATTGGTAGTGCCTGCACAGAGAACACATCAAAGGCTTTCTCTCTGTGTGTATTAAAACTGAGATTCAGTCCAGACAAGATGGAGGTACCACAAGTGGCTGGTACCAATTGAGTGGTGTTCGGTTTGTTCTGAAGCAGGTTGTTCTATACCTAAAGAGGTTCTTAGTTTGGGGATGCTCTTGGATCCAGCACTGTCAGTTGAAGCACAGGTAGCATGAAATGCCTGTTAGTATACCTACTATGACCCTATCTATACAGGGGCAGCCTGGCTCCTGTTATCCTGCTTTGAAAATTTCCTGTTAGGCTTAGCATGACGGATGCTATAAGGGGCTGCCTTTGGTAATGCCCCAGAAACTTCAGCTGGTCCAAAATAGAGAAGTGGGATTGTTCACAAGGATTGGATGATATTGTCGTATTTTGCTAGTGTTTTGTGATCCGCACAGCTAGAAGTCTATTTCTGAGCCCAGTTCAACGTCTGGAGGCTAACCTTCAAAGCTCAAAATAGCTCAGGGGCAGGTTACTTGAAGGATTGTCTCCTCCCATACATACCTGGCCGAACTCCAAGATCCTCATGCATCCCTTCTCTGGGCGCTTGTTCTAAATGAGGTGAGATGGATGGATATTAGAGAGAGGGCCTTTTCATTGGTGGCAGCGTAGTTGTGGACTGCCTTCCTCAGAGGATTGTCTGGTGCCTGCATTGTGGAGTTTGCAGTGCCTGGGGAAAACCCTTTTTCTTCCAAACTTTAGTCCTTCCATTTGCAAAACAAAAACCTTGTTAATGCATGGTTTTAGATGTCTTCACTGATCCCGGCTTTTACATTTGCTTTTATTTTGTTTTGTTGTTTGACACATGTTTAGGTTTGAATGCATTTTTGTATTTTCTGGTTTGGTTGGATAAGCTGCTCAGAAAGTTTCAGTCATCTCAGTGGTATAGCAGTGTAATAAATAATAAACAGATCTGATTAGATAAAATGTAATTCAGCTTTCCTGTAAGCACATCCAGTTCTCCTATAAAAGGCAATGCCCAGTGTTGGGGTAAGCACCACTGACTGCCCAGACCACATCAGGGGCTGCGCTCCTATTCCCCAAAAAGGCCACACTGCTAAATGTGCTGCCGAACTTCTGCCGTTGGTGTGCGGCAGCAGAAATAGGTTTTGTCCCCTGCAGTGGCAAATTCAGCAGGTGTGGGAGGGGCAAAAAAGTGGGAAAGCAGTCGCACCCTGTGGGTTGCCAGTTCCTGCTGCAGGCAGACGTGTAGGTGCTTCTAGCAGCCATGGGACCATCTAGGTCAGGAACATGGCACTGCGGGGGGCAGGGTTCACCCATTCCCTGGGCCGCTTTCACAGTTAAAATCTCTCTGCTTCACCCCAACCCTGAGGCTACTATTCAAGGAGAAAAGCAAGAAGGCATCATATAGTCTCTTGTATTTTGCCTCATGTGGAAAACAGTGAATTTCTGGGGTGGAAATTTTCTTTGGGAAAGGGCAGCCAGACTGGGTTAAACAGCCCCGCATGCGGTGTGAATCAGGAGGCCTTCTGGTTGCTCTGACTTGTTGTGGCTTTAAATGTGGGAGAAGATATTTGCAGGTCTCCACATCAGATTTTAAAAGCAGGGGTGCATCATCATCATCATATTGCATTTATAGCCTCCCATTTTTTCCTCTTGTGAGGAATCCAAGATGACTTACATAGCTCGATGTTATCTTACAACAACAACAACAACAACCCTGTGAGGTAGGTTAGGCTGAGAGTGAGTAACTGGCCCAAAGTGACCCAGTGAGCTTCATGGCCAGCTGAGGCCTAGAACCTGGATTTCCCTGGACCCCAGACCAACACTCTAACCTCTACATTGGTTGTACAGCGTACATATAATGTTTGTATGCACAGATTACAAAAACTATAGAAAGTTCTGAACGAAAGCATCACACATTCTGAAAGCTGAATTATTAAAAAGTTTCCCTTTTGTATAATTCATTGTGTTGTTTTTCTTATTATCTACTCTGCTTCAACAAGTCATGAGGAAGAACAGGGAGTTTACATTAAAACCCATTAACTCTCAAAGCTCCTGTTTAGCCATTTTTCTAACTTCTAAAACTTCCCCACACATAGCTAATATTGCATTGTAAGTATATCTCTTCAGTCTTAAAAACAAGAAAGCTGCTTTTTTCCCCTTCTTCCCTCTCACATAGAAGATGAAATTGCTGGGAAACTGAAGTCTGTAGTCAGAACAACACCCAGTGGCATTTCTGCATTCCCTTAAAATCTCTACATAAATAAATATGAGTGTGCCTATAAAATGTGGCACCATACACAGAAGGCAGGTATAGTCGATTCCTAGTCTGCCTCTTCCGCTCTGCATTGAAACAGCACATTGCCGGGGCCTTATGGCCTCTGTCTCCCTTTCCCTGCGCACACCTCCACACAGCCTCACTGCTCCCTCAGTGAGAAGCAGGATAAAAGCACGACAACATGAAGCATTGAAATAGTTTCTTTGGCACGGATGTATGAGCCTAACTGAAAGCAAGTGGGGAGATAATCTAGCCTTCTTAACAAATAAAGTAGTGGGAATGGGCAGGAGGCTAGGTTTGGGAAGAAGGCTAAATGTCTCCAGTGAGGTTTTCGGAAGTGGGTTGCAGCATGGCAGCTATTAATGGCGTTTCCCACTCCCAATGCCAGGTCCTCCCACCAGCATCTGGGCACCATGCCGGAACTTAGCTCCAAGGTCACCAGGACTCTGAACAAAACCACACCTGGACTCCAGATATGGAGAATTGAGGTAGGTATGTGGGGGGTGGGGTTAAGAAGCAGGGCCGGGCAGACTTATCTAGACCTGGTTCACATATAAGCAGCCCATTGTTCAAACAACCCATGGATTTTAGTGCATGAGTGGGAAAGAGTGAGTGTGCTGCTTTCCATGTGCCTGCTACTTCTGCTTTTAATCAGCAACCTATGATTGGCTTGCCCATAGGTTGTTGGACATGATGTGTGAACCTGAAGTGCTGGTTTGTTTAAAGGCTAAACAACCCCAGTGCTTAACCATGGTTTGTTGTCTCTCCAACTCTCATGGTTGTTTAAATCATGGGCTGGCATTACGTGGGAACTGGCCTGTTGTGCCACACTGAAGAAGAGATCAAATTTAGATGTGTGCCCAAGTATGACACATACTGTATATATTTCCTCCCTTCCCAGCACTGGACCTTTTCCTTGGAATAAATAGCCTGCTGTTTGAAGGAAAAGGGAAAGCTGCAGAAGGGGCCATTCTGTACTGTCAGCTCAATGGTGCAGAGTCTCCTCACATTTCATCTTCACTTTGGGAGGCAAACTAGACTTGACCTTAATTGCATGAATGCAATTAATGTGCTTTTTTACAGTCAAGAGCAGCTGCAGGTGATTCATACTAGAGTGGTTTCGATCTTTCGTTCTTTGCCATGGCCTCATATCCTGCCTTCATGTTTCTGTTTGCGCGAGGAACCCTCTTTTTGCTGAATTGGTGGGGTGCAGCAGCCTTCAGCTAGTACATAGGGAGCAATGAAAGGTTATTGCTTGGTGCCCGTGGAGGATTTCCTACTTGCGCAAACAGCAGCTTTAGAAGTGGGATTTTCTTCCATGATATCAGCAGGCAAGGAAAGGGTTAATTCCCCTCCTCCCTGTCTGCTTTGATCCTGATAAGAAATAAGACCCTCCTTCAAGCAGATGCAATTTGCATGTTTGTTCTTGCTGCTTTTGAAGTGAGGGCATTAACTTCAAAGACCAAGAAAGACTGAAGGGCGACTTGCTTGGAGGATGGTTGTTGTGGGGACTGTTCTGGCCCTAGAGGCCATGCTGATGCAGGAGGCACCTCAACTGTGTAATGTTAGGGGGTTTTCCTCTCATCCGGAGGTGCTGCTGCTCCCCATGAAGCCCCATGTCCTCCCCAGAAGCTCATCTATGATGTCACTTGACCCCTTTTTCCATGCAGAGCAAGGCATGAGGCAATCTCTCCGTTCCCCTCACTGCACAGGAAAAGGGAGCGATTTTCCCTGCTTATTGCTGAAGAATGGCCATCTTTCTCAGTGCCTGGAGATAAGAGTAGCAGTTTCTCATTCAGTGCTAGACAAAGGCTGCCTTTCTCTCTCTCGTGCTGAGCATCGGGCAGGATCCGAGAGGAGCAACAGTGGTGGGGTTGAACAGATTTTGTTGACACTGTTCCAACTGTGTTTCTCTGTGCTTTTTTGTATGAAATTTTGGATTGTGCTAATGTGTGTTTGAGAATAGATTTCTCCCCCCAACCCCCAAGTCTGCAAGTCTCCCCAGCCGAGAGAACACTTGTCCACTGTGGAATCCACAGGCTGGATTCTTTGAAGCCAGAGTCATTTGACTCTCTCGCTGGCAGACTGGATGGGGACCCCCCAAGTGTCATGAGGTCTCCATCCCCACCCTGCAGAAAAGCTGCAAGGGGTGCAGAGTGGCTACACTGGCATTCCTCACCACACTTACAGGAACAGTGCAGTAGATGTGGCAATGCTGGTAGAATCTGGTATTGTGCAGCTGCCCTCAAGATAGACGGGACCCGTCCCCCAAGCCTGCTATCAGGAAACCGCTGGCACAGGGAGGTGGTGTGGCAAATTCAGAACAAATTCCCTGACCTTCCACTGTAACCTTGGATGTCCTGGATCTAGGCATATTCTCCCCTTCTAGTTGGGTGTGTGTCACTTTGCAGGACTCTTGGGCAAGGGTGCTAAGCCTCAAGCCCATGGGCCAAATCCAGCCCTCTTGAATTCCCCAGGTCAGCCAGGGCCCCTTCCTCAGTCCTCAACCCTCTCCCTTTGCTGCCAATCACCCAGCAGTTTCTCAGCTTTTCTCTGCTTCTTCCTCAGTCTAGAAGGTTGAGATGCTTCTGCTGAACCTCAGGCAGTAAGAACCTGAAGCCAACGCAGGCTGGTATTTTTTCTTCCCCTCCCCACCACTGGATGCAGCCCTCTGAGAGGTTCTCTGAATTGGGCCCCTGGGCTGAAAGAGGTTTTGTACCCCTGCTGTTGAAGGCAGGCAGGCAGGCAGGTCAAATCCAAACAGCTGCAGAGAAATGCACGAAGAGCACTCACAAGACAAGGTGGGTCACTGGGCAATCTTGCATGGCGTTGGCTAACTGATTTCTTCCCTTCCCTTCTAGAACATGGAAATGGTGCCTGTGCCCCCCAAAACGTATGGAAATTTCTATGAAGGGGATGCTTATATCATTCTCTCGGTAAAAAGAAGTTAAGAATTTTGGTGGACGTATACGGTTAAGCTTGGTGGAACAGGATAGCTGGAAAGAAGGAAGGGTTTCAGTTCAAGAAAGGAACGGGATGGAGTGTCTTGTTCCATGTAAAGTATGGGCAGTGGGTTTGAGAATGTCATGGGACCATCAGTGTGGGAGACAGATTGCGTGCGAATTGGTGCAGGCATGGAGCAAATGCATGACAGTGAACAAGTAAGGTTATAATGCAGGCCTGCGAAACCTACTTTCTTATGTAGAAGATTCAGTTAACTCTCTGCTACTTACAGTTCCCCTTAAATGCAACCATTTATTGCATTAATACTTGTTGTTGCAAGTCAGGACCTTAATTATGCAGAGCTACTGTACAATCCTCATGCAGGCAGTTTGCAAAGGGTACTCCCAAATTAGAACTCTTAGAACTATAAATGCTATTTATTTACTGTACTTTAAAGCTGCCCAATAAGCTGCATTTTCTCAGTAATGTACATAATCAAAAAAACACTGGGTAGCTACCCATCTTTTCTTCCTTAACAGATTTTTTTCCTGGTAAGGAAAAAGGCAAAAGAAGTGTTGGGAAAACCCTTGAGGGCTATAACCTGAGACAATGTCCTCTGGGAACCAGAGCTCCTAGCCCTCACAACATTCTTTAAGGACACAATCCGCTGGGCTCAGAGGCTGACACACATCCAGTGGTGGCTTCCACTACCTTACCCCCTTGCAGTCCTTTATTTCTCTAGATGGCCATTTTCCACTGTCTAGTTGAAGAGAGGGAAGGAAGGAGGCTGGAGCACTGTTTGGACATGGTGTAAACCATCATCCCCAGGCTCCTTCCCTTCCTGTCCCTTTAACCCTCTCTGAGCTCCTTTTATGACCTCTGAGATGCAGCCTGGGATGGGGATGGGGCAGGGACACCACATCCAGAGGACCTCAGAACAGGGACTCCACATTAGCTTGTAGCCCCCCAGACAATGTTGGGGGGCCGTAGGACTGTGCTCTAAATGAGGTAGGGCGATTGCACAATAAAAGCCTTTTCTGCAACCAGCCGGAGCCAAGCCTGCTTCAGCATTAGAGCCGTGTGCTCATGGGACAGCTGGCACTGGTGGTGTCCCAGGAGAGCTTGGCAAGCGCTACAAGGAGTTTTTGCTACTCTTGCCAAGCAGCTTACTGGCCGGGGTCCAGTACTCACAGTTGCCCATGTTCAGAGGATAAGGCAGCCCATTGTGGGTACAACAATCCCTAGCACAAGCCATGGGTTGTCAGGGTGGTGTGTGGCCAACAAACAAGCCACTTTGTGGGAAGCAGTCTGGGTTCACATGACGCAGCAATCCACTGATGTCATGTCATGTGAATCCAATTGATTAATTCAGTGGGACCTCAGTCCTGGCTAGTATTTTATTTATTTATTTATTTATTTATTTATTTATTTATTTATTAAAACATTTCTATGCCGCCCCTTGCCGAAGCCTCGGGGCGGCTCACAGCACAGAATAAAATACAATAAAATACAAAAATAACTATATAAAAGCAACAATATAAAATAAATAACAATATAAAAGAAGTCGCCCTGGCTAGTAAGTCTCCTATGGATTACCATGGGTTTACTATAAATTTGCATAAGTTCAAATCTAACCCAATGTATGAGAATATGTATTTCAGGTATTTGTATCTTATGATATAGAAATGCAAAGTTGTCTTTTTTATTTTGTGCCTGCTTTGCTTTTAAAGCTTGCTACTATTCAGAAGTCTTTTTAGATGATATAGCAATTGTTATTTTACCAATTTTAATTACTATTTTTGCATTTCTGCTTGTTGGAAGCTCCCTTGAAGGCTGTAGTTGGCCAAAAGGTAGGATAGATGTCTAAAAATAAATCATACGTCATGCATACCCTGCCCACTTCCACCTTTCATTCTCTGTAGCCTCTCTGCACTCTAAGCATCTGTCTTATTGCTTTGTATGCAATCTGTATCATGGATGAATTTTGATGAAAAGTTTGGATATATGGATGAAGAAGTCCAGTTAATTAGATCAAAGCAGAACTCCTTACAAAACCTTGCTTCTCTGTATGCTTTATGTGATATAAGGTTGTATATATGGTTGATATAGATGATATAAGTGAAATAGGGGCTTCTCTACACAAGGCATTTCTTGTGCAATCGAGATCCCTCACTCACAAAAGTTTGCAGGTCCTTTTCACAGTGCTGCCATCCTCCTGGGCCCTTTCCGTGCTTTCTAGCTATTGTTGTGGGGGCTTTTAGAGTGAGGAAAGTCTGGTATTTTCCTGGATGGTGCCATTATTCACTGCTGAAGCCCAAGATAATTTCACAGTTCTGTTCTGTACCACAGTGCTGTCTTGTGTTTTGTAATGAAACATAGAGAAACATAGAGAAAGCTGGAGAGGAAAACCCCAGGAGGGGACAACCCTAATCATCCCACAAACAAAATGGAAATTGATGCCTTAGTAAAGTGCCTTATGTACAAAAGTGTGAAATGAGATAAATATTGCAAGTTTACCAAGGGAGCAGAATTATAACCATAATGGCAGCAAAAGCTACAACAGCCCTCTGTTTACTTTTCAGGCTCAACATGTAATACCATGAGTTTCCTTAATTTTATTCTTTATGGAAATGCTATCTGAATGAGCTGATTTACCTGTTGCATTTATATTCTGCATGGGTTAGGGGTTAGGGACTTCTAAGGCTGCCAATCTATCTCCATTCTGTGTGTTGGGGTAGAGATTTCTACAAAGGATGTTTCCTCCTGGGTTGCTGTGGATGATTGGAAGCGAGGCTTCCTCGGTTGGTGAATCCAAAGGTCTAGCCTCACGGCGCTTCCCGAGCAGGCAGGAGCAGAGGGATCTCTGGAATTAAGGTGAACATATATGGATCTGACTGGCTAAGTAGCTTCTTTTTCAACTCAGACTCATAAGACTGGGAACAACTACACTTATGACATCCACTTCTGGCTGGGCAGTGCATCATCGCCGGATGAACAAGGTGCAGCTGCCATCTTCACTAGCCAGATGGACGAGCACCTGGGTGGGGTAGCGATACAACATCGTGAGGTCCAGAACTGCGAGAGCGACACCTTCCGAAGCTACTTCAAAAATGGCCTCATGTATGTAATTTCTTTACTTGATTGTAGTTGCATCCTGCCTTTCTTCTCGCAAGCTTACATCCTCCTCCTGCTCCTCTCCTACATATCCTCGCAACAACCTTGTGAAGTAGGTTAACCTGAGAGTCAGGGCCTGGCCCAACACCACCCTGTGAGCTTCATGGCCAGGTGGGGACTAGAACCTGGATCTCCCAGGTCCCCGGTCCAGCACCCTTAACCTCTGCACTGCTTGGTTCTTTGGTGCCTGACCAGGGAGGGGTTGCTTCCTTGTCTTCACAGAGCTGCTTTACATTCCTAAGTGGCAGGCCTACTGTTACTAGTCAGGGGCGCATGCGGAAGTGTCCTGATGGGTGGTGGCTGTCCAGCACATGTGCACAAGCGATGGAGAAACACACTGTGTTTTCTGGAAACAACCTGGGTTTGCCAACTCCTGGGATAAAATGTTTGCAATCTGGTTATCTGGGGTTGGAGAGTGCAGCTTACAGCAGGTTCCGTAGCACTGCTAAAGGGCAGAGAAGCAGATGCTGGCAGTTCCTGGGGACAGCTGAGTGTGCTGGGTTGGATCTAGAACTAGGTGCATGTAGTTGAGGGGGTAGAATCGGGCTTTCTCACCTTATGTGCCTGTGGCAGCATCTCCAGTGCCTTGAAACTGCTAACCCAGAAGGTGAAGGGAGCCTGTTGGATGGGGTGAGCTGTCCTATGAGGGATCCCCCAAAACTGTGTAGAGGCACCTTCTGTGAGTAGAACCCTTAGAAGGTGGGACCTGGATCCATTGTGATTTGCTTGGCTAAAGCAGGAGAGGGCAACCTGCACTTGTGGGTGCTATCTGGCCCTTGGACGATTTGCCCCCAACTGTCTCGTATAGCTATACGTTGAGCTAGTATGTCGAGTCACCTTTGCTAAGCTGGAAAGACATGGGTCTGCAGCTGGATGGGTGACCTCTTGTGGAAGCGGAGCAGCGGGGTGGACTTGGAGGCCTTGTAGACCCCTGCCAATGCTACTACTCTTCTGTTCTCCCCACCATCAGGGGAAGAGAACTGCCCTGGTTACTGGCTTAGCTGGGGATTGTGCTGTGCCGCTCGGCCATGCCTTGCATGAGTTGGCTCCTGCAAGCACTGCCTGAGCCCCTGCCAGCCTTGCCCAGGGGGGGAGGCAGGCAGGTGGGTAGAGAGGAACCGAGAGAGTTGGCTCTGGCACTCACGTCCTTTCCTGGCTCAGTGGACCCCATTTGGAGCACGAGGGGCCAGAAAAGAGGCCCTGCGCTGTTTTCCAGAAGCACAGATTGAGCTGCTTCATGACACAGATCTGTGCACCGTCTTCTTCACAGGAAAAAAATGGTGGCACAGCAGCAGCAATGCCCCAAGAGGGGTGGGGCCCCACCCTGGCCACCCTCCAGCTCCCTGAGCCCAGCCGGAGAGGGGGTTGGTGCGTGTGCTCCCTGCTCTGTAGCCCCCATGCACCAGGGGCACAGCAGGACTGTTCTGGCCACACACACACACACACACACACCCCACCACCACCACCACCACCACCACCACCACCACCACCACCACAGTCTTGCTCCCCCAGCACTTGTTTTCTCATGCGAGGCAGTGAGTGACTGTCAGGGCAGATCTTGACTGTGTGCTTCCTTGGCAGCTACAAGAAAGGCGGAGCGGCATCAGGCTTCAAGCATGTGGAAACCAACACCTACAATGTGCGACGCCTGCTACATGTCAAGGGCAAGAAGAACATATTGGCTGGAGAGGTAGGCCAAAAGCTGGAGGGCAACATGGGGGAGGCAAAGGTAGTTTACTTAGGAGCCTTAGGTCCTTGTGAAAACTATGGGGGTTCGAGACTGGGCTCTTTGAGATGCATTTACCACTTCTGGGCAATCCACGAAGCCGTGAATCCATCCCTCTACCGTGGCCAAATGACAAACCACAAAGGGTCTTGAATATTATGGTTTTGTAGGTGGGGCAGTAGGCTTGTCCCTCCTTTTGCAGCAGTGTGCCAAGCAACTCTTTTTTTCTATGTTGGGCTTCCATCCTTGATGATGTTCCTCTTCCCGCAGTCCAACCCAAGAAACTCTAGCAGTGCTGCCTGTAGGCACCCCACCCTGAGCCATTTCCCAGCTCTGCTGTTTTTCTTGCATAGGTGGACATGAGCTGGAACAGCTTCAACCTGGGGGACGTGTTCCTGTTGGACCTTGGGAAGCTCATCGTCCAGTGGAATGGTCCCGAGAGCAATCGCATGGAACGGCTGAAGGTGCGAAGGACGCTGCGTGGATGGTGGAAACGGGGAAGCTGGGCAGGAAGAGAGGATCTTGGCACATGAGCTTTTTGTGATGCTGTGAAGGTGGAGGGAATGTGATGTTGCTGAAGACAAAGGAAAAGTCCCTCTTGTTGGTTGTCTTGTCCGTGAGAGAAACAGGCAACACCAGCAAGACTCTCTTGTAGGTGCACACCAGTAATAGTGGGTGAGCCTGTTGGGACCAGCTGCTACAGTCATCATGTGCAGCAAATTTCTAGGTTTAGCTTTGAGAAATAGTAAAAGAAACAGTTATAGCAGGAAACATTACTTAATAAAAGCAGGACACATGCATTGAAAAGGGAAAACATAATCAGCAGGAAACATTCACTTACTTTTTGTATATGGTTATCTTGACCTACACTTCCTTTTAGGACATTTGGTGTCAAAACATTTGCCTCCAGACTTATCTTTACACATTCTGACCTTCTTGGCAGAGGTTTATTTTATATTTTCAACCCTCTTGTGTCTCACTGATAGAACGCTAAGTATCTTATCCTTGTTTGGTCATCAGGAAAAATTTATATTCTTCAACATTCCAAAAGCCAAGTCATCCTATTATAGGATATGGGGGTGTTATATAGGGCAGAGCCAGTGCGGTATGGTGATTAGAGGAAATGGGGATCTGAGAGGTCTGGGTTCTAGTTCCCGCTCAGCCATGAACTAGATGACTTTGCGCCAGTCACAGACTCTCAGCCTAACCTACCTCACCTACAGGGGTGGGTTGCTGTGAGAATAAAAATGGGGTGGAGGAGAACCATGTAAGCCACCTTGACCCCTCGCAAAAGGAAAAGAAGACAGGGTATAGATGCAGGATGATGGTGGTGGTGGTGTAAATGGATTGGGAGTGGGGATCCAGAACAAATTTAGGCACCACCAAGACATCATTGATCAAACCAGCAATGAGACACAGGAAAGATGAATGGCACAGAATGCCCCCCTGTGAATAGTCTTGAGAATGCGTTCAGAGCATACTTTCACTGTGCGGCAAGCAGTCACTCATGGTTTAATGCAGCCGGTGACTGTTCATAAATCAGTGTATTCAACTGTCCATTGGGTGTCATTCTTCACAGTACCCCCCCACTCCAGTAATGAGTGGGGCGTGCAATGCACTGCGAGACTGAAAGGAGTAAGAGTTGCTGTGGAGGTCATCTCTCTCCCCCACCTTGGGAGCTAACAGCAAGTGCCCCTTTATCCTAATCACTGGCTTTTGTTATGTGAGACTTTGAACAAGCAGAGCTGGATTTACATTGCTTTACAGAAATCAACATCAAAAGGAACAAGCTGTGTTAGCTTTCTACAAAGTTGGTTTATTAATGCAATATGACTCAGCTGAATGTTGATTTCAGCCCTCCTCTTCCCAGTAACCAGACTCCCTCAAACCAATTCCTCAAACTGGTCCCTGATTTCTCAGAGCCTACCACTGAGAAAAGCTCACTCCTCTCCCTTGGTCTTTGCCCCTCTCCCTTGGATCTGCCCCACCCATTTCGCCTCTTGTTGCTCTTCCGAAAAGACTGCTCTCGGGCAGCTTGACTTTTCTGCCTCCGCCTTTATTGGGTTTTCTGGCCTTTGCTCATCCATCTCTACTTTCCTCTCCCCTTCTTCATCTAAACCAGAGTCTATTCTCATATCTGTTGAGGTTCCTGTGCAGAATGTGTGGGCCCAATCCCCATAGTTTCAAAGCTGTGTTTGAATTAGGAGGAAAATTGTAATTTGGGGGCTTCTCCAGTAGTGAAAACTTGGCTTACCTGTTGGAGGTTGCCTCCCCTATTGGCAGTTTATCCCTGCCATGTCACCTCCAGGCCCTTAGCTAAAAACCCTCAGGACCCTTGTTCCCAGATCTCTTCTTCTGTGCCAAAGGTAAGTTGTAGAATGTATGAAGGGCAGGAGTGCATCTGAATATGTGCAGAGTACCGTCCCCTCACTACCGCAACTAGCCAACCCTGATCCTGGATTTAAATGAAAGGTCCTGTCAGAAGATGTGTCCACCTGGTTGGCCAGTGCCTTGCCTCTCCTCAGCTGCAGGTTATAGTTACACCTTTGATTCATTTTCACACTTACACACAAATGTACACCTGGAGTGCTCCCAGGTCTCCATCCTGGAAACCTCCCCTTCTCCACATTCTGTTACCTCCATCCCGGAGGACAGCCGAAAACCAAAGGGAGAATCCACTATATGATGGCATCAGAATGTGTTCTAGGAAGGAACAGACACATGAATGAGGTCTGTGAAATTCAGTATTCAGGGCTGGCACTGCCTTAAGCACAGTGAGGCAGTTGGTTAGGGTGTCATGAAAGTATTTAATCTGTTACTGCTGTTGTAATTCTACTCAGGAAGACAAAGAGGTGTTTGTGGGGGGTGGGGTTGCTTCATGTGCACAAATAGCTTGGCTTGCTTGGGGTCCTGTGCAGTCTGGACCTGTCAGAGGGTGGGGGGCATCCCAATTTGCTATGTTGCTTCAGGCAGCAAAATGCCCCAGGCCAGCCCTGTCTGTAGAACACTCTCAGTTGCTGTTTCCCTCTCACAGCTGTCACACCTGTCTATCTATGGACTGTCCTACTCTTCCTGTGCTGTTCAGAGCCCTTCCTACAGGCTTCTGAGACTAGCTCCCGTTCCCTGCAGGCGATGAATCTGGCCAAGGACATCCGTGACCGGGAGCGTGGGGGTAGAGCACAGATCGGTGTGGTGGAAGGTGAGAACGAAGATGCCTCTCCTGGCCTCATGAAGGTTTTGAACTATGTGCTGGGTAAGAAGAAGACCATCAAGCCAGCCATCCCAGATGCTGTGGTGGACCACAAACAGAAATCCTTTCTGAAGCTCTACCAGTGAGTCACTTTTGGCATCCAGCAGAGAAGCAAGCTAGGCAAGGCGGTTGTGTGGCAAGGGCAGGGTGCAGCTGCCGTAAAGAAGGCAGCATCTCCAAGGCAAGCAGTGCCAGGGAACTGTGGGGAGTGTTGCTGAATAAGCTATCCCAGCACATTCACAAACTCATGTGGATTATAGAAAAACATGCATTCTCAAAAAGATTTTTTGAACTTTGGCGGTAGGATGTCTACAGTCCACATGCACACAAGTGTCTTCAAGCAGTGGGGAATTTTTTATTAACTACCCACAGGGATTAAAATATAAATTTGTCCCAAAGCACTTTCAAAACTGTGGATCAGTCAGCCGTTTAAGACTGCAATGGGGTCTTGGGTTGTGCGGAACTTGGTGGAGTAGTTATGGAGGCTGGCTGGGGAGGTGCAATAAGGTCATGGCAAGCATTGACTTGTCAGCTTGTGGAGGGAAGGGCTTGCATGGGTGAGAGGCTGAGGAAAGGGGGTGACTCAAGAAGGAAACAGAAAGGGTTGGGGTAGCTGCAGTGAGCAGGAAGGGAGGGGGATCGGGTGGAACATCACAGTGACACCTGGGAATTTGTGGTGTTATAAGCCCATCAGCCACTGAAGGCATTTTTAAGATGTGTAAACAACTCTGAGTTGGAGACTGGCTGTTACAGAAATATTGTATAAAACATTAAAGATTTGGGATGACAGTTCCTGGCTATGAACAAAAGGTGTTAGCACTTAACTTTTAGAGCCATCAGTAACATTTACAAATGAGTACAAGTCCAGTGGAGGGGTTTCGAATGATGCAACAGTATGAAACCTATTCAGCTCATCCAGTTCTTTGCTCTACACCCTGGGTGTGTTTCCTGTCTGTCTGGAGGGAGAAAACCATTCACAGCTGCTCTCCTGCATGGGATCGATTTAATATTCAACCTGTCCTGAGGCCTCAGAATTTATGCAACTGCAGTTGATATGATTATATTATTGTTTGTTTATTTTTTCCCAAGTAATAACAGTCCCTCACAGTACAAAATTACATGCATAACAACAAAAATTAGAAGGGGAAAGATCATCCCTGTTTTGCAGCCAGATCTGTGATGCCATCTTGTTCTGTCTCCTCTCCCTCCCAGTGTCTCTGATGTAGATGGGAACCTTCTCATCCAGGAAGTTGCCATCCAGCCCCTTACCCAGGACCTCCTGAAGCATGAGGCAAGTGCTTTCCTGGAGGAGTGTTTGTGCCATGACAAGCCACAGGCCAGGGGAGCAGACCTGGCTTGGGTGTACTGTGGGGGGAGGGGGGAAGCAGGTGTAGAATTGGTGAGACACCATCCCCAAGTTCAGCTAAAACCGGTGCATCCCATTGCTGCTCCAGCCCCAACATATGAGAGGCAGAGTTGGGGGAATCTCTAAGAGAAATCCTGGTGGTGGGGGTGCCAGAGGGAGAGGGCTGCCCTACCTCCACCCTCCCATCACGGCTTTCTAACCAAGCACCTTAGTTGGATCCCTGTTTTGCTTCCTGCCAGGACTGCTACATCTTGGACCAGGGTGGCGTGAAGATCTTTGTGTGGAAGGGCAAGTTATCCAACAAGGAGGAGAGGCAGCAGGCCATGTCGCGGGCCTTGGTGAGTGAGGACAGGGCTGACGGGGGTCATGGCTTGGAATGGAGGCAAAGATGGGTCCCATTCATAGAAGGGGCTATAGTCCAGTGACAGCAAGCTCTTTAGCATGCAAAAAGTGTCAGGTGCAGACCGCAGCATCCCCAAGTAGGACTAGGAAAGACTCTTGCCTTGGAGCCCTGGAAAGCTGCTACCAGTCAGTGTTTGTTAACAAAACTGGCCTAGGTGGCCCTTTGGTCCAACTCAGTATGAAGCAACTTTCAATGTTCTATCCACCCCATATCCAGTAGGTACCTATTGTGAGGTGTATCAGGCCTCTTGGAGATCCTGGGAAAGTATCTCGACCTTCTGTCTCTCTTAGCTATTTTTGCTCCAGGATTCCAGACTTTTAACAAACATAAATCTTGTACATTCTCATTCTTGATTGCCTTGACCACGGCCTCCTACCTTTCTCTCTTCTTTTTTGCCTCTTTCATTCCTTGAGGAGAACATTAGTAAAATGAGCAGTCAAGTACAGTATATCACAGAAGTGAGTACACCCCTCACATTTTGTAAATATTATATCTTTTCATGTGACAACCCTGAAGAAATGACACTTTGCTACAATGTGAAGTAGTGAGTATACAGCTTGTATAACAGTGTAAATTTGCTGTTCCCTCTAAATAACTCAACACACAGCCATCAATGTCTAAACCGCTGGCAACAAAAGTGAGTACACCCCTAAGTGAAACTGTCCAAATTGGGCATCATTAGCCGTTTTCCCTCCCGGGTGTCATGTCACTCGTTAGTGTTACAAGGTCTCAGGTGTGAATGGGGAGCAGGTGTGTTAAATTTGGTGTTATCGTTCTCTCTCTTACTGGTCACTGGCAGTTCAACATGGCACCTCATGGCAAAGAACTCTCTGAGGATCTGAAAAAAAGAATTGTTGCTCTACATAAAGATGGCCTAGGTCAGGCATGTCCAAAGTCCGGCCTGGGGGCCAATTGCGGCCCGTTTTCAAATTTCGAGCGGCCCGCAGCCTCTTCTCCCCACTGGCCCAGCCTGTCACTCATCCCCACCGGCCAGCATTTTCCCCTTCACTGCACAGCGGTTCCCACAGCTGTCCCCTGCTGCTCCTTCAAGGCCGGTGGTTATATTTCACCAGAAGATGGCAGTAGACCTCAGTCAGCACTCTCGCCGCGTGACCCTTGTGACACAAGGCTTGTGTGCCCATTTCTAAAATGGCGACTGTAACTAAAAAAAGGAAAGTTGACAGCGAGGGCCGCCACTTCCAGGACAAGTGGAAATTGGAGTATTTTTTCACTGAAATACGAAACAAGTGTGTTTGCCTAATTTGCCAAGAGACTGTGGCTGTTTTCAAGGAATTCACTATCAAGAGGCACTATCAGACGAAACATGCTAACTACAACAAGCTAACTGGGAACGAACACGGCGAAAAATTGAAGGAACTGGAAGCTGCTTCAACAGCACAGCAGCGCTTTTTCACAAGAGCCTATGAGTCAAATGAAAATGCCACAAAGGCGAGCTACGAGGTGGCAACGCTGATTGCCAAGCACTGCAAACCTTTTACTGAGGGTGAATTTATTAAAGACTGTGTGATGGAAATGGTGGAGAAAATTTCTCCTGAGAAGAAGCAAGAGTTTGCCAATGTTTGCCTGGCTCATAACACTGTGGTACGGAGAACTGAAGACATTTCATCTGATATTAAGAGACAGAGGCAAAAGGAGTGGAGTTTGACTTTTTTTCGTTAGCCTGCGACGAAAGCATGGATGCATCTGACACCGCTCAGTTATTGATTTTTTTGAGAGGAGTGGACAATGACATGAACATGAGTGAAGAGCTACTTGACCTCCAGAGCCTTAAGGATCAAACAAGAGGAACAGATTTATTTGTTTCTGTTTGTTCCGCCGTAGATGACATGAAACTACCATGGAATAAAGTCACTGGGATTATTACGGATGGCGCACCTGCCATGGCTGGCGAGCGAAGCGAATTATCAACCCTAGTCTGTAACAAAGTCAGCAAAGAAGGAGGCAAAGCTATAAAACTCCACTGTATTATTCACCAACAAGTTCTCTGTGCCAAACATCTGAAATATGATCATGTTATGAAACCGGTGATGAAGGCTATTAATTATATTTGCTCCAAAGCCCTGTGCCACTGCCAGTTTCAACAGTTTCTACTCGACATCCAGGCTGAATACGGAGATGTTGTGTATCACAACAAGGTAAGATGGCTCAGTCGGGGGTCTGCATTGCAGCGCTTCTACTCTCTTAGGGAGGAAATCGGACAATTCTTGGCAAAAAAGGGACAACTGATGCCAGAGCTATCTGATCCTGTTTGGCTGGCTGATTTTGGATTTTTAGTTGACATAACACGACATCTGAACGTGCTGAACATTAGCCTTCAGGGGCAAAATGCAGTGGTAAGCCAACTGTATTCACATACCTTTGGGACCAAGCTGCTACTTTTCCAAAGGCACCTGTCACAAATGCAGCCCAATACCACACATTTCCCATCACTGCAGGAAACAATGACCAGTTTTCCACAGAACAATATGGGTGTGCAAATAAGGAGGTATGAAGCAGACATCTCATCTCTGGCTGAGGAGTTTCAACAGCGTTTTCGGGATTTTGCAGCTATTGAAAAGGGGATCACGCTTTTTTCATCTCCTTTCTCTGTGGACCCTGATGATGCTCCAGACCACCTGCAGCTGGAGCTCATTGAGCTGCAGTGTGATGCCAAGTGTTGCAGTCGGCACCAACAGCTCCCTCTTGCCAACTTTTACCGCCAGCTGGATAAAGACAGGTTCCAAGAGATGCGAACATTCACTAAGAAAATGCTGAGCTTGTTTGGTTCAACATACTTGTGCGAGAAGACATTCTCAGTTACGAACATTAACAAGAACCGCGTGAGGACGAGACTAAATGACTTTCACCTGCATGACATCTTGCGCATCAAAACCACTGTTTTTGAGCCAGACCTGGCCTATATAATGCAGTCGAGATCTCAGTATCACCCTTCACATTAGTGCAGTTAAGTTATTTATTTAGTCTTTCATAAAATAGTTCATTTGCATTTAATGTTAATGGTTCAAAGAATGTCAGGCTGAATGGTCAGCCCCCACACATTTTCGCCTCACCATATCTGGCCCTCCTTGCAAAAAGTTTGGACACCCCCGGCCCAGGCTATAAGAAGATTGCCAAGACCCTGAAACAGCTGCAGCACGGTGGCCAAGACCATACAGCGGTTTAACAGGACAGGTTGCACTCAGAACAGGCTTCGCCATGGTCGACCAAAGAAGTTAGTGCACGTGCTCAGCGTCATATCCAGAGGTTGGCTTTGGGAAATAGACGTATGAGTGCTGCCAGCATTGCTGCAGAGTTTGAAGGGGTGGTGGGTCATCCTGTCAGTGCTCAGACCATACGCTGCACACTGCATCAAATTGGTCTGCAGGGCTGTCGTCCCAGAAGGAAGCCTCTTCTAAAGATGATGCACAAGAAAGTCCGCAAACAGTTTGCTGAAGACAAGCAGACTAAGGACATGGATTAGTGGAACCATGTCCTGTGGTCTGATGAGACCAAGATAAACTTATTTGGTTCAGATGGTGTTAAGCATGTGTTGCGACAACCAGGTGAGGAGTACAAAGAGAAGTGTGTCTTGCCTACAGTCAAGCATGGTGGTGGGAGTGTCATGGTCTGGGGCTGCATGAGTGCTGCCGGCACTGGGGAGCTACAGTTCATTGAGGGAACCATGAATGCCAGCATGTACTGTGACATACTGAAGCAGAGCATGATCCGCTTCCTTCAGAGACTGGGCCTCAGGGCAGTATTCCAACATGATAACGACCCCAAACACACCTCCAAGACGACCACTGCCTTGCTAAAGAAGCTGAGGGTAAAGGTGATGGACTGGCCAAGCATGTCTCCAGACCTAAACCCTATCAAGCATCTGTGGGGCATCCTGAAATGGAAGGTGAAGGAGCGCAAGGTCTGTAACATCCACCAGCTCCATGATGTCGTCATGGAGGAGTGGAAAAGGACTCCAGCAGCAGCCTGTGAAGCTCTGGTGAACTCCATGCCCAAGAAGGTTAAGGCAGTGCTGGAAAATAATGGTGGCCACACAAAATACTGACACTTTGGGCCCAGTTTGGACAGTTTCACTTAGGGGTGTACTCACTTTTTTTGCCAGCAGTTTAGACATTAATGGCTGTGTGTTGAGTTATTTTGTGGGGACAGCAAATTTACACTGTTATACAAGCTGTATACTCACTACTTCACATTGTAGCAAAGTGTCATTTCTTCAGGATTGTCACATGAAAAGATATAAGATATTTACAAAATGTGAGGGGTGTATATGAAACAGAAAAAAAGAAACAAGAAATTTGTCAATTACAATAAAACAAAGGGAAATAATTTGGTGATAAGGTGTTGAAAGGAAATCTTCTGGTTATTTGTTTTAAAAAATGAACTGAAGCCCAAATTAAAATTTTGACTTTTTAAACATTTTGCTTCATGTAAATGTAAAAATGCTGAAAACTGGTACTGCTCAATCAGTTTGGCAGGCTTGACTGCTAGAAACTACACACTGAATTTTTAAAAAAGAGTGCTTTGTTTTTGCTTTTGCTTTGTTTTTGAAGTACCAAGGATTTTCTTTGGGTGGATCTCCTGTCACTCATTCAACAAACCTGGGACAACCTACAGAGGCACATTGATTTTTTGAGGCCTCCCAGTGCCTTTATTTCCAAGAATCTTCCACAAATAGTTTACAGCAAAGAGCAGATTGAGGTTCCTCTCAGATGCCAGATTATACTCAGAATTCCAAACCTAATTTTGTATCTTAAGCGGGTGGCTATTGTAAGGCACTCTGTACTTTTGGTAGATGGAGCAGGAGAAACATGTTATGGAAGTAAATACTTACAAAGTGTGCAGAAAATAAAACACATACATGAGAGGTGCACAACCTCCAGTCCATGGTCCTCCAGAGTTTCTCAGGTGGCCGTGCTGCTTTTCCTGCCAGCCCCTTTCCCTGAACTGCGGGTCATTTGGCAGTTTCCTGACCATGGCACAGGGGTTCTCACATTCTAAGAGACTGAATCCCTGGCAGTTACTCCTGGCAGCAAGAGCTTCAACCTAAAATATGCTAGTTGCCGTTTTTGGCCGTCACTCTTTTGTTCCATCCTCCACTGGACTCTGGTCACTAAGAGTGTCTTAGGACAGAAACAGATTCCATATGCATGTCAATGCACATTAGCAAACCTTTCACCTATTATGCAAACTATGCAGTCAGTGGCTTGTAAAATAATTTTGGGGGAAAGAGAAATCAAGGATGTAAAAGACTGATGGTTATGTGACTTCCCTGTTACTGTGATTTTCTTTTTCACCAAACTCCTTGGCCTCTCCCCAGTGACAAATGACTCCATCCACCATGACACCTTCAGTGTGCCTTTTACCAGAAAGCAAATGCCTGCCTTGGACTCAATTTTGAAGTATTCATGTGTTCATTGTTGTTTGAAATTGAAAATTGCCTGTGCACTTTCCTTCTTTTTTATTGTTTCTTATGAATTGTTGCCCACCATCCTGACAGCTTCATCTATTGGGCAATAGGGATATAAAATAAACAAACATATTTGCATGCATGCAGGACATATAGCTATTTGGGTTTCCTGAAAGGAACAAAGAGGAAATCCAAGCATCCTTTCAGTTAGGAAGAAAGCAGTGTCCTTCCATTGCTTAAAAGGTAAAGGTAAAGGTTTCCCCTTGACATTAAGTCCAGTCATGCCTGACTCTAGGGGGCGGTGCTCATCTCCGTTTCCTAGCCGAGGAGCCAGCGTTTGTCTGCAGATAGTCTCCGCGGTCATGTGGCCGGCATGACTAAAGACCGAAGTGCACGGAACGGTGTTACCTGCCCACCGAAGTGGTACCTTTTTATCTACTTGCATTTGCATGCTTTCGAACTGCAAGGTTGGCAGGAGCTGGGACGGAGCAACAGGAACTCACCCCGTTGTACAGATTCAAACCGGTGACCTTTTGATCTACTAGCCCAGCAGCACAGCGGTTTAAACTACTGCGCCACCTGCAGTCCCTCTATTGCTTAGGGATTGCTTTAAATAAATTTGATTGTAGCAGGCAGGTTCAATATCCAGTGCTTCATTTGTTCAAGCTAGTAGTCATGTATAGTGTATTAGTTCCAAGCTTAAAATACGAAAGAAAAAAGTAGGATATACATCGAATAAGTATCACAGACTTTTGGGGTTACTGAACACTATCAACACTCTCTTTAATAGTGAAATCATGTTATGAATACAGAGAGGACTATCGCCACTAAGACACAAGAGCGGGAGAGCAACTTCTCTGGAATTCCCAACTGTCTCAGAAGTACCACAGACCTTTAAAAAAAGAAGGGCACATCTACCCTCCCTGCTCCCCAAATAAAACATCCATGCAAGACCTGAGCATGCTTAGTGTCCAAGGGGGATTGAATGTTAGTTGGGGCAGTGTGAAGAGAATGGAGCATGGAGAGCAGCACTGTTGCTAGGTGGTAACGCTACAACATTTTGTTGCAGCTTGCACTTGTCGGAGGTCATACTAATCTGAGCACAGGTGAAATTTTCAGTCCATGTTAACTTCCAAATGGGTTTGGCTTGCTCAGTAACAGGGTCCATCCTCCATTTCTCAGCTTCCCATGTTACAATAGTTTCCTTGCCCGCTCTCCCACCTCAGGGTTTCATCAAGGCAAAGAACTACCCACCCAGCACCAATGTGGAGACTGAGAACGACGGCTCTGAGTCATCCGTCTTCAGGCAGCTCTTTCAGAAGTGGACTCTCCCCAATCAAAGCACGGGCTTGGGCAAGACCAACTCACTCGGAAAAATAGGTACGTGCTAGAGCCTGCCTGCCAAGAACTGAAGGTTGCCTCAGCCAGGTATGGGCCACACAGTGGAATTGACCGCAGTTACGAGCTATGGCTCATTTGTGTTCAACTTTGAGAAGGTTTTGGCTGCTTCTCTTTTGTGTTCTCATAATGTCGTCAAAACAAAACCAGCAAATGTTATTTCAGGGCAGACGCTCTAATTCTCCCAGAATCATCCTGGCTTGCACACGCAGCACTGTGGAGGGCTAAAATTTTGGCTGGAGGAATCCATTTTATGGGCCACCACCTGCCCCATGAATACTGGCAGCATGCTCTGCAAGGCAAAGTTCCCCTTTCCCTGTCCAAATTGCACGGGGTTTTGTATTGCATGTGCACAAGCGTGGCCCCAGAAAGGAACACGGTTGGGCTCAGAGGGCACCTAGGTGGCCAGCCTTGGTTTTTTTGTTATGGTAACCATACATGCCTCGGCCTCCTTAGAGGACTACATGTCTATGTGGTCCACCCAGTCGGGGCTGCTTCTTGTCAGTGCCTGCCCGCCCTTGGTGCAACAGCAGGATCTCAAGCACAGCTCTGCCGTTAAACTCCAAACCTACCTACTTACCTCCCTGTCATTACCCTAACAGCCAAAGTGGAACAGGTGAAGTTTGATGCCACCTCTTTGCATGCCAAGCCCGAGGTGGCTGCCCAGCACAAGATGGTGGATGATGGCTCTGGAGAAGCGAAGGTAAGGACCTGGCCTTGCTACTGGGCTTTGGGACTAATTGGATGATTTTAGTGAGCCAAGCTTAGAAGGCAGGTCAAGCTGCAAAGCAAATAGTTATTATATAAGTGGGACTGGATGAGCAGCTGCGATAAATCAGAGCCAAACAAAGCCATGCCGCTTCAAATCTAAGTGTTGCAACTGAAGGACCTGAACATTTCTTTATTTAGGTCTACCCAAATGGTTGTGTTTCCAACAGTTCTGGAATGTGCAGGCTGTGATTACCTAATTATTTTTGGTATTTTGTGGTTCATTGCCCTGGTAGCTTTTGATGGCAGTCAGTTTGCAACTAATTAGTGAGCTAACTAAAATCTAGTTAGTTTTGTACTCCAGAGGTGGACTAGGAGCAGGGTTCAAAGCTGTGAGATGATACATTTCTTTGCAGAAAGGGCAACAAGCCACAAAATGATACCTAAGAACATCAGCCTTGCTGATTCTAACCAAAGGTCTATCCAGTCCAGAGTTCTGTTCATACAGCAGGCAACCAACTGCCCATGGGAAGGCTACAAGCCCTGCTCATGCACAGAGCCATCCTGCTCCTGATGGAGAAGGTAGCACATGGCCACCAAGGCTGGTAGCTCCCATAGCCTTTTTCTCCATGGATTCATCCAAATCCCTCTTAAATCATCTTGTGGAAGTTTAACATTGTGCTCCATGAAGAGGCATTTCCTTTTATCCATTCTGAATATCCCACTATGGGTTCTAGTATTATCAGAGAAAGAGAAACATGCCACCCATCTGCTTTCTCTTTGCAATTCTTAATTTTGTTCACCACTATTCTCTCTGCCCTAACTTGCCTTTTCCAGACACTGTGACCTTTCCCCATGGAGGAGTGGGTCCAACCCCTTGACCATTCTGGTTTCTGCACCTTTCCCAGTTCCATGATATTCTTTCTACGGTACCTTGGCCAGGATATCTAGTACCAGTGATGTGGCTGTGAAAAGCACCAACATTAATGCTGTGTAACTAGAGAGACCTTTGAGCAGAGCTTTGTAAGGACAGTGGGAAGGGGCGGCTGGGGAGGATGGGGTATTTGCTCTGGCTGTGTAAGTACGGCAACAGCAGGAATAACAAAGAGCGGCTGAGAGTCCAACCGGAAGCCACGTTCTAGCAGGTGCGATGCCAGGCTGCTCCACTCCACTTGAAAAGCTTTCAAGAAGTAGCCGAGAACTCCATGCTGGGGAAATCCGATTAAAACTTATGCTCTAAGATAGCCTAAATTTTTACCAAGAAAAGTTTCATCCTGTGCTTCATTTTTGCACCAATTGCTTGTGCTTGCTTTGTGGTGCAAGGAAAGCTACAGCGCAGGGCAAAGTCCCTCTTCCCCTGTGTCTTTGGCTGCTGGCAGATTGCAGGCATCACCTGTGCAGGCCGACATCTGCTGCACGGCCACAAGGGCTAGAAAAGCAGGAGGGCGTGTTTGTGTGAACAGAAAGCTTTCATTCTTAGGTACTTAAACTCTGCATCCACGGTCACACAGAATGGAGAACTGACACGAACACCTATGTATTTTTCCCTCCTAATTTCTGCAGCCATGGGGGACAGAAGCTCTGCTGTATTCAGGGTTAGTGCTGAGTACCACCAACTCTCTCTCTTCCCAAATTTTTACAGCCAGTAGTGTTACAGTAGATTTAGAAATGCAGGAACTCCTCATGGCAATCCCTGTAGCCAAGGCACCAAGCCGATTCCAGCATAGCTGTGTTGATCCATCTTCCTCTCTCTCTGAAGAATAATAATCTTTTGGAAAGCGGTTGCTTCTTGGTTACTGATTGAAGACTAAGCCACCCCAGAATACTTTGCATTGCAAGACTAAGCTCAGAGGGAAGCTGAGGCTATCTTTGTCCCCACCAGTCAACGATCCTGATGCATTATTTCATTCCCGGCTTTACTTGGGTGCTGCCTGCAGCCGTCCTGTTGCTCCTCTCTGACTTGCCTTGACAGGTGTGGCGAATTGAGGACTTGGAAATGGTGCCAGTGGAGGGTCGCTGGCTGGGGCATTTCTACAGCGGTGATTGCTATCTGATCCTCTACAAATACCTAGTCTACAATAAGGAGCACTACATCATCTACCTATGGCAGGTAAGCACAAGCCGAGGAAGATACCTTTGACTAGAGAAGACAGAAGGGGGAGAACAGGCTGCTCAAATGCCACCAGAGTGGGGACCTTGCCCGTGTATTGCTAAGGAGGCACAGAAACTACTTGCATGCTCTAGAGCAGGGGTCTTAAACTCAACTTGCCTGGGGGCCGCTGGAAGTAGAGTCTGGGTGAGGCTGGGCCGCATCAAGTATTCCACCCCCGCGGTGGTGGTGGGCCGCTCATCCCGTGTCGCTCCTGGAGGCCGGCCGGGCGCCGCCAGCACTTTGAAGGCTGCAGGGCCCCTCCCCCGTGCCCCACCCCTCTGGATGGACTACAATTCTCAGCCTCCCCACAACCAGCACGAGAATCTAACACTTCTGGGAGGAGGGTACCAGACTGAAGAAGGCCGTGCTTCAGTACCACTATAGGATGCTGCAGCCTAGAATTCAAGGCCCATAACGGTTCCTAGAGCCCTTACCAGAAAGTTGCCATTCTGTTGCATGCGCCACCCTCCTCAGTGCCTTTGCTCTCTTGCTGCTCCCCAGGGCCGCAATGCCAGCAGGGATGAGATCACTGCCTCGGCTTACCAGGCCGTCATTCTGGATCAACAATATAATGGTGAGCCTGTCCAGGTGCGAGTGACCATGGGCAAGGAGCCTGCCCACCTCATGGCCATTTTCAAGGGGAACATGGTGGTATATGCGGTAAGTAGGAGAGAGAAGGTGGGTGGTGATGGCCTCCCGTGCCTCGTTCAGCCTTTACAGTGAGGAGGTGCTGCAATTCTGGCACTCCTGCAGAACTGTAAAGCTCCCATAGTTTTGGGTGAGGCCGGGTCTGGTTGCAAGCAAAGTTACAGCCTTGTGGGAGGTATAACTTCCTGCCCCCAGATCATTTCCCCTGCCCCTACCACATTCCTGCTTGGGAAAGGAGGAAGTAAAGGCACAGTACAGGTAATTCCCCCACCTGCCCTCAGCAGGGCTCGAATAGCAGATCTGGCAGGTGGCAGTGATGCTATTGCTTTCAAGGGCGAGGGATGCTGAGTGCCGCAGGCCGAAGGCACCTGGAAGGTCACAAGCCTGGCCTGTGCACAGGACTCCAAACCATCCAGAGGGAAATAAAGGCTGAACATGTGCACCTCCCTGCATAGATTCTGCATGATTTTCCTCCTCCCACTGCCAGCTCTTACAGGTCTCTTTCCTCTCCACCCAGGGAGGTACTTCCCGAGCTGGTAATGCAGATCCAGTGCCCCCCACCCGCCTTTTCCACGTCCATGGCACCAACGAGTACACCACCAAGGCCTTTGAGGTGGCTCCCCGGGCCTCTTCCCTCAATTCTAATGACGTTTTTATTCTCAAGACTAAGAGCTGCTGCTACCTTTGGTATGGGAAGGTAGGTAGCCTGCCCTCCAGTGCTGTCTTGGGGCTGAAAGACTTGTGGGCTCAGAGCACCCGCATCAGCTTTGTACAGTGCAGGGAAATCTAGTCCCCTGAAAAGTGAAAAGGCGGGCTTGCAGATAGAGGCACCCACGTACGGGCAAATGGATTAGAAGGACGATGTTTCTCAGAGCACGATGTTCTGGATCCGATTCCTGCCCAGAGGAAGGAGTAGCAGCTGAGGACTGACATCTGTGGGTGGAAGGATGACCTTGGAGCTGCTGTGCTGAAAGCCAGGGGGCCTCTCCAGCGCTTGGCTTGCGTAACCTACCCTGTCCTGGTTCTTTCCCTCAGGGCTGTAGTGGGGATGAGAGGGAAATGGCCAAGAATGTGTCTGACCTGATCTCCAGGACTGAGAAAGTTGTGATCGCGGAGGGCCAAGAGCCTGCAGAATTCTGGGTTGCGCTGGGCGGAAAATCGCAATATGCCAACAATAAAAGGTAGTATCTGCACAGAATTCACAGGGAGAGAAGCTCCACTATTCCCAGGGAGGAGAATTAATACTAAAGTGTCCTGTTGCAAAGCAAAGGGCATATGCTCTCCTTTGCACCCTTTACTTAACCATGCTGGGCTCTGAGCAGGCAGGAGACCTGCTGTGTTCAGTGCACCTCCACCTTCAGGGTCTGGGGAAACACATTCAGGCTGAGCCTTGCTCTTTGCCGCATCAGAGGCTGTCTGTCTCTGGCTTAGCAGGAGCCTGCGGTTGCCAGCCAGCCAGGGGACACTGCTGAGACTTTGACTACAGGTTAACGACGGGCATTTCCCCAAGTCAGTTTCCCAAAGCTCTGGTTCTATTCCCCAAAGACCTGAGTACGAGTTCATATAATAGCCATGTTATTTTCTCATCTTAATTGACATGCAGTCCTCCCTCCCCGCAGCCTGAGTTCAATTTGACTTGAAGAAATAGCTTAATTGTCATGCAAGGAGAATTTCTAGGAGGGTCACAGTTGAGGAAGAAAATGTTAACCCTCTCCCTACCAGTTACAAGGTCTTCTTCCCAGTGTCACCCTCTGTATGACAATTATGCTCAGCAAAAATATTTCCATTGGGTCCCAAGCACCTTGGGGAGAGATTGATTTGCAGTGGACTGCAAGGACCAGTTTTGGGAAGACAGCAGATCGGAGACTGAGGCACGCACAGATATACTGGCTGTTTCTCCACCTCAGATGGCTCCCATGCTGATTCTTCTTGTGGGGAAGAGGGTCCCCATGGCTTTCCTGCATGTTGCTTGTCTGAAATGGGTCACGGAGCCTGGAATTACTTTAGCAGCACCTGGGCTGCTTCTCCTCCTTTTTGTGCAGATTGCAAGAGGAGACAGTGTCCATCACACCTCGGCTCTTCGAGTGCTCCAATAAGACAGGCACCTTCCTTGCCACGGAGATCACACATTTTACCCAAGATGACCTGGAACAAGGTGATGTGTTCTTGCTGGATGTCTGGGACCAGGTGAGTCTAAGCAAGGAGCAGCAGAGGTAGAAAGCATCTCTTCAGTTCTACCCAAACGCATTAGCAGATGAATTCAGATGAATTTCCCCACTTGAAAAAAAAAGATTATTGAATTTTACTTCCATGATTGAGTCTGCATTTGAAAGTTCTTGATTGCTGTTAATTAATCACACAGCTACATTCCATCTGATACACTCACTGACAATATATTTGGCCATGGATGTCTATGCTATATTCTTGGGAAAAACTTTTTCAGAATACTAGGTCCTACTTTTTTGCCTCTTCTCTATTCTGTATTTCTGACTCCCCCTTTCTTTTGTTTCCCAGTTGTTAACATGAAGTGGGTGGGAGGGAAGGGCTGGGGAAGGAATCAGGTTAGGACCACAATTGTGTAGATTTGGAAGAAATTTCTCATGTGAATTGTCTACATGTAAATTGCACATAGATTCTCTTTTCAGTCTGCAGCTTTCACTGCATATGTAAAAGAGGTAACGTACGTACGTACTTGTGTGAGCGTGTGTGTGTCTTCTAAAGAGAGCTGACTTTCTTTGGCTGGCTCAGTGCTGACACTGGTCCAGTTCTGTGCAAATCCCAACAAAGTAATCAAACTAGCAAGGATTCAGCTTTATCATTTCACTCGTTAGCCTTGCTTGTGTTCCAGCCTATTGCAATGTGCATGAATCAGTTAATAGACAATGCTTCCTAAATATACCTTGTCAAGGAAGCTCAGAGCTGTTTAAAAAATTAAACCATTCAACAAGTATTTTGACACAGAGCAAAGGCTGTATAGGTGCATCTCTTCCCAAGTAAGCTCACCATACCAGATTTCAGACTCAGAAAATGCAGTATGTGGGATTTCTAGAAAAATAGATTGTTTGGTTGCCTGTAGCAAAAATGGGGTCCTGAAGTACATTACAAGCTACCAAATGTGTGATGTTGGTTAAATGTGTGGGATTGTTAAAGTACTAGAAGAATTTTTGTAAGCCTTTCTTTGCATGATTTAACTTTTACTGGTAGAACAGCAAGACAGGGGTGGGGATGTAGAAACAAGGAGCATTCTATGGATGTTTAACTTGCTGGGTACTGGGGAAGGAATTTTAAATGCCTCCACTATGACAGGAAGCAAAGGAAGCACTTAAAGAGTTTCTTCCCAAGAGTTTCGGGTGTATAGATAAGTCTCTATCATAGAAGCTTTAAAGGCAGAGTGTTCTGCTGCTGTGTTCTTTCTTGTGCATAGCATAGAAAGGCCTTTCCAGCAATACAATTCTAAACTTGCTGTTGGCTTCTGTTAAGGCAAGTCCTTTCTTCTCTAGGTTTTCTTCTGGATTGGTAAAGATGCAAATGAGTCTGAGAAGGAGGCAGCGGCTGTCACTGCCCAGGAATACTTGCGGACTCACCCAGGTGGCCGTGATCTTGACACCCCCATCATCATTGTCAAACAAGGCTTTGAACCCCCAACGTTCACTGGCTGGTTCCTGGCATGGGATCCCCTCTGTTGGTCGGTAAGCAACATAACGAGGCTTTATCTCAGGCCTAGCAAAAGGAGTGGAGAACATCCTATCAGGCAAAACAGGGATTAACTATTGCAAAGTATGCAGCAGGAATCCAGTTGGAGGCCAATGTGTAGAAAACATTACTTTCCACCCAAAACCATCTTTTTTGCTCTAGAATGGGGTGGGGAGCATTGGTTTCTAAAGGACTAAAATGCCCTTCATTGCTAGCCAACAGGGAAGGATGCTGGGAGTTGCTGTCAAACAACATCTGAAGGGTCCCAAAGATTATCAAAATTAATTTTCATGAACTCTCAGCTTGAATAAAATTCAAGGCAGAGACCGTCAAAGGGCCACTAAACTCTGGCAGGAGAGCAGGTTGCTTTAAGAGTTGCATGAAACTCACACAAAGTCTTCAGTCCTCACTGTGTTTTGAGTACCTACAGTAAAATCAACATCTTAATTATCTGTTTGGATAATGTGGTGTGCCTTTTGGTTCATACAGGACAAGAAAACATACGAAGATCTGAAAGCTGAGCTTACAGATGAGAGTAGTCTCAACCAGGTCACTTCTGTGAGTATGGCTGAAATGGCAAGCGCAGGATAAAGGAGGGGGGATTCGGCATTACCTTATTTCAGCATCATCCAAGGTTCATTGTGGTGATAGATAATAGTGCTACATGTCCACCTAGTTATGATACAAGCTGTAGAAAATGAGTAACAGCATAGACTTGCTCCTTTCACAGTAGCAGCTGCTGCGTAGATGTTTGCCCCTGAACAACCCATGAGAGGAATGGAAGGGCTTGGTTGCAGTAGAAAGTCTTTGATACTTAACTTCCCACAAAACCTTTGTGGAAATACTGCCTCTGTGTTAAAGGAACAAAGCAAAGCGGCTATTCCTTACCCCTCTGCCTGCAGTGAACGTCACTGTATCTCCCCCTGTATTCCTCTGTTACTGTGATGAGCGATGCTGCCTGGCACCCCAAAAGACTAAGGCATTTTGTGGAATGGAGTCCACTTCAGCAGATGTGTGAAATGTTATCCTATGCTGGCACACTGGAAATGTGTGTGTGTGTGTGTGTGTGAAAAATATGAAACTGTATAACCCATGATTTTGTGTGTGTAGAGTTGGGGGCATATGGAATATAAGCACTGAAATTGGAGGGTAAAGAATACAAGTAGTACAGAGTCTGCCAATTATGCTGAAGCTCAAATCTAGGTAAAATCTCTACCATAGATATTTACAGTGAAGAATAATAATGCGAACATCCAGGGACACTCTTACTAATAATGAAGTGGTTGTTCTTGAGCCAAGGCACTTGAAAAAATTAAGCTTCCAAGAAATTCAGTTCTGTTTCTTGTGGCCTGGCAGGAGATGCTGGATTTTTATCTCACTGCAAACTGTTAATTAGCTTGTTGATGCTGAGATGGTTTGTGCTATTAGAAACACTGTTTTGGGAACAGTCACTCATGGTTTTGTATAATTTAATCTTTAATGCAATTATCATTCCATATTTACCTTTTATTTCTCTCTGACCCCACTGCTTATAATCCCTCTCCCACCAAACCATGTGTGTGTGTCAATTCAGAATAACTAAGAACAAAAGCTTACACCATAATATACTGTGTTTCCCCAAAAATAAGACCTACCTGAAAATAAGACCTAGTACTATTTTTGGTACTTGCTAAAATAGAAGACCTACCCCGAAAATAAGACCTAGCTGTGTTTATTCCCAGGGCCAATGGGGAACATAAGGAGCCTTTTTAAACTTAACTTTAACTTAATGCACTGTGTGGAGGAAACATGTTTGTGCAGCTCTGCTCCCTCCGCTCAAGCCGATGCTTCCTCTATAGCGCCAGCTCCTGTCACAGGCGGAGTGATACCAAATGTACATGTATTCATGCATGAATAAGTTGTGGATTGTTGTACACATTAAAAAATAAAATAAAAAAGAAGACCTACCCCGAAAATAAGACCTAGTGTGTTTTTGAGAGCCAAAAAAAAAAAAAAATGACAATGTCTTATTTTCAGGGAAGCATGGTATTTGTTAGGGTTGGAGGAACTACCAAGCTCTGCATTGTTTTTGCTACAATAGGCCAACATAGTTACTCTTCTAGAAGTACAGATATGTGGTAGAATGGGAAGAGTATGAATGATGTTGCAAATTTATTCATAAAATGCCCTCAATCCTACAGCACTGTCATTTGTCATATTATGTCACTTATACTGCATGATCCATTCCTGAAGTGTTTGTTTCTGTAGAACTATTCAGCCCAGAGGGCCAGGGGACGTTCCCACAATTTGGTTTGAACCAATGGTGGGGCAGCTTCAGGTGGCTTCTGGCCGCTGCAAACAGAATCGGGCTCCCCACAGACCAGGCGGCTGGTTGGCAGGCTGCTGGGAGCCCTGCTCTACAGAGATGCAGGGTGCACAGATCCCCAGGTGCCATTCCTCTGCTGAAATGCTGGGATTTTGGTGGTAGCGGCAGGGACTGGTGGAATGGCAAGCCTGGGTGTTGCTCATCCTTGCATTATGCAGAATAAGTTTGGTTGCTATCTTTCCCTTTTCTCTTTCAGGAAATTGTTGAGGCAGAAGAGTCTTTCAATGCCAATACAACCATGGGCAGCCTGTCATTCGCTACATACCCCCTTGAGAAATTGATGAATGTGCCTGCAGAGGAGTTGCCCAAGGGTGTAAATCCTTGCAAGAAGGAGGTAAGAGGCCATTCCAATTTTTCTTGCTTATAGAGACCCCCTATTTTTCGGTAGTGCTTAAGAAAGTGAAAACCCAAGAAAAAGCAAGCTCACTATTAAGTTCGCTAGATTAGAAAAGTCACTCTTGCCAATGTACTGTGGGGTTAAAATACTTTGAAGAGAATAGAAATGAAATAAGATGTATAAAAAATTTAGAAAGATTCCCAGTTTGTCTGACCTGTGCACAAAAGCTTACAAAAATCCAGTAAAGCAACTCAATGCCTGGAAAGGTAGATTTGAAAGAGATGGGAAATTGCACAAGAGTAGCAATATTTGCTGTCAGAGATTGTACTTAAGGCAAAAATCCACTCCAGGTTTCTCACTGACATTCAACAGTGAAGGTAACATAATTCCAATTAGAGGAACCTCAAGAATCACACCTCTTCCTATGTTAACTTAGTGATTACTAGTTACTAGTTATTTCATTCTGATTCTATTAGAGTTCAGTTACCATGGTGCCCCACAGATTCAAGACAAACCGGAAATTATTTAGTAGGAACCTTTGTTCAGAGACAGAGGATGTATAGAGCTGTGCACAGCTGATCTTGCATCACAATATCCAGACTATTCCATGTACAGAATAGGGTAGCATGTGTTAAATCAGTGCTACAAGCCTCTAGTCCTCAAGGGCTTGGGAATAAAAGATGGCTAATACATTGAAGTACCTTCCAAAGGCTAGATGAGAATTACTGAAACCAAGACTTCTGCAGATCCATTTTTTCACAGCCATCCTCAATACTGTCTGTTCTTTCTGCCATGTCAGGCACTGATCAAAAATTGAGGAACACCATTTTAAAGATGCAAAAGCTAACATGCTCAGTTTCAAAATGTTTGGCTACTCACACATGGCTTTCATCATTTAAATTTTCTTAGCACCCCCTGCCTCCGCCAGATTGGCAGGGAACCTGGACAGAGATGTTTTCACAGTTAATGATGTCAGCTCTTCTTGGTTCTCATCTTGTCCCTTCTTTTTCCCATAGCACTACTTATCAGAAGAAGATTTTCAAGCTGTCTTTGGAATGTCCCGACAGCAATTCAGTACACTGGCTACATGGAAGCAACAGGCCATCAAGAAGGAAAAAGGACTCTTCTAAATGTAGATTAAGTTCTGCAGTTAGGTGGATGCTGATTTTTAATTAAAAATAGATCAAAACTTGATAACAGGGTAGTCTTTAAGGTCTCATTTCTCTCTCTCTACCTATGAAAAGAAGCAGAATGTTCTGGTCTGGTATTCCATTAATGCTAAGCTAACTTGAAGCTGTCCTTTATCTCAGTTTCTCTGAATTCCTAATGTTTGGTGCAACATGTGTACTCTGCCCCCTGCAGCCCTTCCCCCCTGGGATCTGCAATGGGACCAGTACTTTTTAAACTTACTCATAAGTTATCCGATTTTGAGATTGAGCATCTAAGCAGCCAGATCTGCTGACAGCACCAAATTATTTAGGTTGGTTAAAACAAAAATGGATTGTGAGGAGCTCCAAAAGGATCTGTTCAAATGGGGAACAGGCATCAAAATGACAAATACAGTTCAGTGTCAGGGAGCATACAATCCATACTGGAGCAAGAACTCCCAGCTTCAAATGATCAAGGGGATGGAGCAACTCCACATGAGGATAGTGACAGTATCTAGGACTGGTTAGTTTAGGAAAAAAGGCAAGTAAGGAGAGACATGCTAGAAGGGTAGAACATGGTGCATGCTGTGATATAGAGACATGTTTCTCCCTCGTAACAGTCGAACCCAGCATCATCTCATAAAGCTGATTGCTATGAGATTCAGGACAGATAAAAGGAAATACCTCTTCACACCCATGCAAAGTTAAATGATGAAATTCATTTCCTCAAGAAGTAATAATGGCCAACAATTCTGAGCACTTGAATATGGGCTTGGACAAACTCATGGAAGAGGCTGCTAGTCCTGGTTCGCTTATATCTGAGGCAATATGCCTGCGTTCCCCAGCTGGTAGGGTTGTTGTTGTTGTTAGTCGCAAAGTTGTGTCCAACCCATCGCAACCCCATGGACAACATCCCTCCAGGCCCTCCTGTCCTCCACCATCCCCCGGAGTCTACTTAAGCTCACACCAACCGCTTCAGTGACTCCATCCAGCCACCTCATCCTCTGCTGTCCCCTTCTTTTGCTGTCAATTGTTCCCAGCATTAGGCTCTTCTCCAGGGAGTCCTTCCTTCTCATTAGGTGGCCAAAGTATTTGAGTTTCATCCTCAGCATCTGGCCTTCTAAAGAGCAGTCAGGGTTGATCTCCTCTAGGACTGACCGGTTTGATTGCCTTGTTGTCCAAAGGACTCCTCCAGCACCACAATTCAAAGGCCTCAATCCTTCAGTGCTCAGCCTTCCTTTTGGTCCAGCTTTCACAGCCATACATTGCAACTGGGAAAACCATAGCCTCGACTATATGCACTTTTGTTGGCAGGGTGATGTCTCTGCATTTTAGTATGCTGTCTAGATTTGCCATAGCTTTCCTCCCCAGGAGCAAGCGTCTTTTAATTTCTTGGCTGCAGCCCCTGTCTGCGGTGATCTTGGAGACCAGGAAAATAAAATCTGTCACTACCTCCATTTCTTCCCCATCTATTTGCCAGGAAGTGAGAGGACCAGATGCCATGATCTTAGTTTTCTTAATGTTGAGTTTCAAGCCAACTTTTGCACTCTCCTCCTTCACCCGCATCAAGAGGCTCTTTAGTTCCTCTTCACTTTCTGCCATTAGAGTGGTATCACCTGCATATCTGAGGTGGAGATATTTCTCCTGGCAATCTTAATTCTGAATCTTAACTGGTGATTCATCTAGTCCAGCCTTTCTCATGATGTGCTCTGCATATAAGTTAAATAGGCAGGGCAACAGTATACAGCCTTGCCGAACTCCTTTCTCAATTTTGAACCAATCAGTGGTTCCATGTCCAGTTCTCACTGTTGCTTCTTGACCCGCATATAGGTTTCTCAAGAGACAAATAAGATGGCCTGGTACTCCCAGCTCTTTAAGAACTTGCCACAATTTGTTGTGATGCACACAATCAAAGGCTTTAGCATTGTCAATGAAGCAGAAGTACATGTTTTTCTGGAACTCCCCAGCTTTCTCCATGATCCAGCGTATGTTGGCAATTTGATCTCTAGTTCCTCTCCCTCTTCAAAATCCTGCCTGTACTTCTGGTAGTTCTTGGTCCACATACTGCTGGAGCCTGGCTTGTAGGATTTTGAGCATCGCTTTGCTAGCATGTGAAATGAGTGCAATGGTGTGATAGTTCTTTGGCATTGCCCTTCTTTGGGATGGGAATGTAAACTGACCTTTTCCAATCCTGTGGCCACTGTTGAGTTTTCCAAATTTGCTGGCATATTGAGTGTAGCACTTTTACTGCATCGTCTTTTAAGATTTTGAATAGCTCAGCTGGAATACTGTCACCTCCACTAGCTTTGTTGTTGCTCAGACTTCCGAAGGCCAATTTGACTTCACATTCCAGGATGTCTGGCTCAAGGTCAGTGACCCCCCCCCCCCCATCGTGGTTACCAGGGATGTTAAGCTCTTTCTTGTATAGTTCTTCTGTGTAATCTTGCCACCTCTTCTTAATCTCTTCTGCCTCTGTTAGGTCCCTGCCATTTTGGTCCTTTATCATGCCCATCTGTGCATGAAATGTTCCCTTCATATCTCCAATTTTCTTGAAGAGATCTCTGGTCCTCCTTATTCTATTGTTTTCTTCTATTTCTTTGCACTGTTCATTTAAGAAGGCATTCTTATCTCTCCTAGCTATTCTCTGGAATTCTGCATGCAATTGGGTGTATCTTTCTCTTTCTCCCTTGCCTTTTGCTTCCCTTCTTTCCTCAGCTATTTGTAAAGCTTCCCCAGACAGCCATTTTGCTTTCTTGCATTTCTTTTTCTTTGGGATGGCTTTAGTTGCTACCTCTTGTACAATGTTGCGAACATCCATCCATAGTTCTTCAGGCACTCTGTCTATCAGACCTAATTCCTTAAATCTATTTGTCACCTCTACTGTATATTCATCAGCACTAGGCCTGAGTGGCCTAGTGCTTTTCCCTACTTTCTTCAAGCCTAAATTTTGCAACAAGAAGCTCATGATCTGAGCCACAGTCAGCTCCTGCTCTAGTTTTTACTGACTGTATTGAGCTTCTCCATCTTTGGCTGCAGAGCACATAGTCAATCTGATTTCTGGGTTGACCGTCTGGTGATGTCCATGTGTAGAGTCGTCTCTTGGGTTGTTGGAAAAGAATATTTGCTATGACCATCATATTCTCTTGACAAAATTCTACCAGCCTGTGCCCTGCTTCATTTTGTACTCCAAGGCGAACCTTGCCTGTTATTCCAGTTACCTTTTGACTTCCTAGTTTAGCATTCCAATCCACATGATGAGAAGGACATCATTTTTGGGTGTTAATTCTAGAAGGTGTTGTAGGCCTTCATAGAACTGGTCAACTTCAGCCTCTTCAGCACCAGTGGTTGGGGCATAGACTTGGACTATTGTGATGTCAAATGGTTTGCCTTGAATTCGAACTGAGATCATTCTGTCATTTTGGAGATTGTATCCCAGTACTACTTTTCCTACTCTTTTATTGACTATGAAGGCTGCTCCCTTTCTTCTGAGGGATTCTTGCCCGCAGTAGTATACCTGATGGTCATCCGAATTAAATTCACCCATTCCTGTCCATTGTTGATGGTCAGTCTTGTCGTCTCTTGTTTGACCACATCCAGCTTGCCTTGATTCATGGATCTTACATTCCAGGTTCCTATAGAGTATCGATCTTCGCAGCATCGGACTTTCCTTTCACCACCAGATACATCTGCAACTGAGTGTCCTTTCGGCTTTGACCCAGTCGCTTCAGTCTTTCTGGTGCTGCTTGTACTAGCCTTCTGCTTTTCCCCAGTAGCATATTGGACATCTTCCAACCTGAGAGGCTAATCTTCCGGCGTCATATCTTTTTGCCTTTTGGTACTGTCCATGGGGTTTTCATGGCAAAGATACTGGAGTGGGTTGCCATCTCCTTCTCCAGTGGATCACGTTTTGTCAGAGCTCTCTGCTATGACCTGTCCGTCTTGGGTGGCCCTGCATGGCATAGCTCATAGCTTCATTGAGCTACGCAAGCCCCTTCACCACAACAAGGCAGTGATCCATGAGTTGGGAGGGTACTGTTGCACTAATTTTCTATTTATGGGTTTCCTACAGGGATCTGCCTGGCAACATTGCGAACGGAATGGTCAACTGAATGGACACCTGTTCTGACCCAATAGGGCTCATCTTAGATCGGAGTCCTCATACTTCTTCAACAGGGGGTCAGTTCACTGTCCCTCAGACTGTTGTGGGGTTGGATTATAGTTTGAAAAAAAATGAATGAATTCCTATGCACACTGCACATTAAAATTTAATTAACGTCAAAATAAAGTTAAAAAATAAAAATAATTTAAAATTAATTAAAATTAAATTAAACATTAACATTTTAAAATTAATTTAAAAAAATAAAAAAAGCTTGCTCACTTGCTCGGGGGCATGAGAGTCCTGCAGCTTTCTCCAACTAAGCTTTCTCCGCCACGGCTTTCTCCGAATAAGGGCCGTAGTTTGAGGACCCTTGTCTTAGATTCTTATCTTCATGCAGAGCTCTAGCTTCATTTATAGGGAGCAGGTTACCATGCTCCAGTGTTACCAGACAAAAGCAGGTCGGGGACAACCTTGTTATCAGGCAAAGGTTATTGCATCTTAGAGAAAGCAAATTTGTAAAAAAAAGTAGTTTGTGCACGCTATGTACTGGCAGTCCTAACCTCTGATTTCCCTTAAGAATACAAGGGCATTTCACTTAAAACTTCATGCTTTGTGACCTAGAATGAATTTTGGTTCCTGAGCAACTGTCAGGTTCTGGGCAGCCCTGGGGCTCCATCTGGTGTCCAAAACTCGAAGGGCCACTGTAGTAATTGAAGGACTGGGCCCAAGCTCAATAAGCACCAGCTGAGAGATGTGGGGGAACAACCACGTAAGAGCAAGCTCTTCCTCCACTGGTAGCCTCAGTAGCACAAGCCTAGCTGTAGCACTTTCCAGCATCTTGCCTAACTCTTGCTTGATCCAGTTTCTGCCCTGCTGAACCCAGCCTTGCTCATTGCTGCTGCTGAGGTACCTTGCCTCAGGTACCTGCTCCCTGCCCTATCCTGATCATGACTGGATTCCTGCTCTGTCTTGCCTTACTGGTCCTGAAGCTCAGCCAACAACAACTTCATCTTGCTTTCATATATGCTCCTAGTTCTCAACTTCTTGTTGGCAACTCTGCTTCCAACCCAACTACCAGACCCTGGAAAGTGCTCAGAGCCCACCCTTAGAAACATAGAAAACAGTGTGAGTCAGAAGCGGCCTCCTTGGGCATCAAGTCTGACCTCCGACTGGCTCTGCTCATGACATGCCTACCATGTGCATTTCCTTAAACACCCTCACGGATGACACTTCAACTACATCCTGTGGAAGCCCATTCTATACCCTGGGGTCCTGTCAGGAAGTACTTTCTGGCATTCACCTCAAAACTTGGCTCCCTGAACTTTGCTCTATTGGCATGCATCCTTTCCTCATCCACAGGGGAAAAAAGGTTATGACCCACCTCTGCATGACACCCCTTCACATACCTGCATGGTGCTACAGTCTCCCCTGAGTCACCTCAGGGCTGAAAAGACCCAGTTCCCTCAGTCTCTCCTCATATGGCTTTCCCTGGAAACCAGCCACCATCTTGTGGCCCTTCGCTGCACCAATTCCAAACTTGCTGTTTCCCTTTTGTAATGAGGGGCCCCGAACTGAACACAATACTCCAGCTGCAGGTGCACCACTCCTATAGAGTGGCAGTAATACCTCTCTTGATCTAGAAGCCACACTTCTGGCTATGCAGCCAGGGGTGGTGTTTGCCCTCTTGACCGCCACATCACACTGCTGACTCATGTTTAGCCTGCAGTCGACCAGCATCCCAAGATCCTTTTCACAAGTGCTGCTCTCCAGCCACTTGTCCCCTAACCTGTACTTATGGCACCTTTTCCTATGCTTCAAGTGCAAGACCTTGCACTTATCTGCATTGAACCCCATCCTGTTGTCTTGGGTCCTGGTGTCCCTGCTCTGGATCCTGACAGCAACTTAGGTTTTTTTTTAACATTGTACATTCATGTACTCCACCTAACCCCCCACATAACATACATTTCTAGTAGGTTTAGGCATTTTAAAAAATACCCCAGAGCTCAAGTGCCCCCCAAATAATGAAATATGTCTTTAAGGATTAGAAAAATAAAAGGCAGTAACTTCAACTGCTGCAGAAAAATAGAAACTGCTGCGAAAAGAGACAATTAAGTTGCAAGGCCTTTGCATCTCTCTAGAAAGAAATATCAGAAATTCAGCATTAATAAAGAGTGTTTAATGTCTCTGAAATAAATCTACACATCATTTAAAGAAAAATGGCAGAATTGTCAAGAATACATTGAAATAAGTCTGTTAGAACACAGAAAAGTGCTTCTCCACATTAAGTGTCAAGGGACACAAAGTGACTTCCAACATAAAAAAAACCAAGGCATCCACCACAATGCACATGCCAAGAAACTCTTGCCTCAGCTCACTCCCTCCCCCAAATTTGTTATAGAATAATTCACTAAAGAAGCAGGGGAGTGATGAAGTGGATTATTCCAGTAAGCAGACAGCATAGGGAAATGCTTCTCTTTCCCTAACATTCTTAGGCAGTTCATGCCTTGTTTAGATCCATTTTCCAGCTCTCAGCTCCTCAAACACTCAACATAGGCAACTGAAAACATCCATGGATTTTTGTTTAGTTGTAGATAATTAATCCACCCTTGAATTGGTTGTGGCATTACTCATCTAGCATCTCATAGACAAGTATGAAACAAGTAGTACTTTACTGTCCCTTAAGGATAGAGAAATCACCAGAATCCTTTGTATCCTCGTCAGCTATCTTACCAGACTTGAGTTTTATGCCTCTTGTCCTATAAAATGCTAAGTACACATTTCAAATACAAGGTCAAAACTGAAGCAGATTTAACTTTGAGTGGAATAATAGTGCCTAAAGCCCTACAATTACATGCTTAGCTATTCAATTACGTTTTCACAGGCTCATAGCTAGAAAAAAGTTTTTTTAAGGAAAAATCTGTATTAAAAGAACCGGTGTTTGGTTATTTCTGAAGTTTTCTTCAGCAAACTACCTGAGCTATTTAATCCATGTATGTGCAAGATTCTTCTTTGGGGATGAAGGTTGATAAGAGTTTAATTAGTGCAAACACATATATGGCTATTTTTCTTTATCAAAAGTAAATATAGCAGAAAGATGGAGAAAAGTTGATCAAAATATGCTAGAGTACACATGTATGAAACAGTAACTTCTATTGGCTGAATTCATATTTAGTTTTTGTATTCTTTTGGAAACCAAGAACAGAATACTTGAGACGATGTCTCAGAATATTTCATGTCATGCTGCTGCTCCAGAAACAAACTTCATACAATTCAATTCCCTTTAAGTGGAAATAGAATTCTTAAATACCAGCACCTGCAGCTCAGATTTTCAGGAGGCCTTCAAGGTTTCTGTATGATTTCTCAAGATGATCCATAATAAAGAGTTGCTAAAAAAAAAAAAAAAAAACCCTCATACTTCAATGGTTGGTTTAAAATAACATCCTGTATGATTGGGAAAACATTGCACAAGGGCAATATCTTGTACAGTTTCAGCATTACAACATGTTAAAAGTGGGAAAAATCAATTTTGTGTAACATAGGACTCATCATCCTCTTACAACAGTTCTACAGATTTGGAGCAGACAGGGAAATACAAGTCAAGATGTAAACAAAAATGCCCATACCTATGAACCATCATGTGGTTCCCACTTTGTTTTAGCTTAGAAGAAAACAATTCTATTTAGAAGGCTAACATAGGAGTACTTGACTTGTTGCTTGTCAGACACCAGTTCCTGCAAAGTAAGAGCTATGCTTCCAATAGCAGGAAGATACATTATTTCAACTTGCATTCTCAGCTCTGGATGAAACAAAGCTGTTGCACATTTAAGGCTAGAGTACACTTTCTCATTAGACCATCACTTATTTTACCTGTAATTATGCTAATTTGTCCTCACCATCTTTCAAGTATGGAGTTGTAGATGTCACAACGGCTTATTTACACTGAGTTGTAGCCAACCCTTATGTGAGTGGAAATCCACTTGTGTAATGGGACTTCCTTACCTTCCCCACTGCAGCCCTGTCCTGTGATGCCTCAAATCCGCTCCAGAGGATCTCTATACACTCTGGAGCTTATCTGGGAGGCACACAGGGACTGAAAGTGTGTGTGGGGGGGGGAGGGGGGAGTCATTCCATCAATAGTTTACACCCACTGGGATGACACCATTAGATGGAACTAATGGTTTGGAACCGGTCCCTTCCATTCATGGAAGAGACCGAAATACAGCAGAGGTTGTATTGTATTGTACTGAGGGAGGAGGGAAAGGGATTTTAGTTTATTAGCCCCTTCTCCTGAAGTGCCTAGTGCAACCTCCCATGTTGTTTCAGGTTCCCTTAACTCCCCAGAGCAGCTTCACAGAGGGCACAGAGAGTTGTCTGTGGAGCAGGGATTGGGAAAATTGTCTCCCTGCTTCCACAACTTTCATAAGTGTTTGTGTATCTGGAATTAACCCAGTCTCTCACTATGTGGAATTTGGAGGGGTGGAATAGAAGAAAAGATGGCAAGCACCATCTCAGAATAGGTCATATAATCGGTCGGCCAGCCTTACCTTAGAATCAGGAGTATCACATTTTAAGGCTTTTTCATTGAAAAAATATCTTTATTCCTTGCTAAAAACATACTAAAGTAACTTTGACTGTCAACAGTACAAACTTACAGTGGCAGAGTAAGTTAGGGCATGATCCCATGTATGTTTAGACAGAAAAAGGTCCTACATTTTGCAGCTTGCCTCAGCCAACATTCATGCCTGGACCATACTGAGAGTTGAAGGGCTTTTCTTTCTGTCCAACCATACAGAGGTCTCCAGCCTTAGCATATGATGCTTCTGGGAGTCTAATTCTGAAAGACTTGGTTGTGGTTGATGTCAGATAGCATTTCAAATGATTATGCCTGTTATTATCATAAACATGGCAAGTAACCCTTCAGAGCACTCTTTCTGCAACAGGTAATATCCATTTGTCTACTGCTTTGTATTTGCTAGTCCCAGGATTTTAAATTTTAGTAAGCTCCAGCAATAATAAAAAGAAAAATCCCCCGTCAGCAAACAAGGGGGAAAAAACATGACACCCTCTCAACACCTGTTAATCTATTTTCAAACGAGAGGCCTGAGTTAGAAGTAAATCAAGAAGCACCCCAATTATTAAGCATTTCATTGCCACAAAAGTAAAAATGTGAGTACAAGAATTAACTTGCAGCACTAAAATGAAAAACTGGCACAACTTAATCCTAGACAGTGGTGGTTTTTTTTCTTTGCCAAAAATTCTTCTAAAATGAGTTTGTTATCTAAACACGTTTTAAGTAACAAAACTCTAACATATCTGCTCTGAAATGTCTTGCAAACAGCAAATAATCACTTGTGGGAATTTTGATTTTTTTTTTCAACTGATTTAACTGAACTTGCCACACAACTGGAATAAAGCCAGGTATATTTTAATGTTTCATCTGTCACCATATGCCCCTGGCCCAATATCATAAATCTGAGATAGCCACTCCCGCCTCCCATCAAGCACGTGCAGTTTTTCATGTCAGGAGACTGATATAAGCAAAGAGAACACAGAACAGAACTGTTGCTCGTGCTTCCTTTAGTACTCAGCATTGCCTAGGGACTGCTTGAAAAGGGCCTGCCCAATGCCCGGACGTGAATGTCCACTGTTAGCTGCCTCTCCCACAGCCCAAGTGGGCAGTCTTCAGTGAAACACAGCAAATATATAGATATATGCTCACATACATTCACAGAGAAATAAAATTGAGCTGCAAATGGCAGTACTTAGGAAAGAAGTCAGAAAGAATAACAACTTTTAAAGTTAAAATCTCTCTCCCATTTTTAAACAAGGATGAAGGTGAACTGTGTGAAGAAGGTGTATGCAACATGTTCCAGAGCACCAACAGTTTGTTTCCTGGATCTTTATGATCCTGTATTACAAATTATTCAGTGTCCAAGTTCATCTGTTTCAACAAAGCCAGATCACTCCCTTCAGCTAATCGCCAGCACTGTCCAATGAATGTTAAGGACACGATATATGTCAGCTAACAGGCTATTGCTTATTTTGCTGTTGTGCTGGGAAGATGGAGAAAGCCACCCAATATGCAGGATTTTCTCCACTCTCCTTTGTTAGGCAAATGAATGAGCTTGTCATCTGCTTTCATAATATCCTTTGGATGACTTGCTGAAGGAGTTGTTAAATCCTCTAGCCTGATTAACTCAATTATGGAAAATTATTTCTTGAACAGAACAAAAAGCAGAACAAAAAACAAAAAAGGAAGAGAACTCTTGGTAGGTGGTTAACTGCATGGCTGAAGTCCACAGGAAGGTGTGGAATGTTCCATTCCTCCTATTCCAGGGGATTTGTCTCAAACATGCCCTGAGTGCTTGTGGGGCTGCGGCTCCTGCAAGTCAGGCAAAGTTCAAAGTCCTTTGTGCGCAGGAAGAGATATAGTCTTCACAGAGGCTGTCGAGCAGGCTTTCCCACCTCCATGCAAGGCAATTGTATATTCTTTTCCATTTCTAGCAACTCATTAAATATTTCCCTAGGGAACATGAGACATATTTGTATCAATGTGAGAGGAGTGCATATATGCACATCAAAGGCATGTGGGATGCAGAAGACCAATGATGATATTCAATGGCATTTTATCAGTCACAGAGATCTACAAAGCACAGCCTGGCCATCCTTGTCACATAAGTGACAACTGGCTGTAAACCACCCTGAGACATCTAAGTATGGGACGGTATAGAAAAGTTTTAAATAAATAAGTAACTCAGAACCATACTAGAATTAACAAGTAGGAAATTATGAACATATTTTAGACAAATAAATGCTTTTAGAGCTGGGGTAACATGCATTTTCCAGCCCAAGGACTGAATTCATTTTTGGCAGAACTCTATCTCCTTATGTTTTGCACTTTAGCTCCCATCAGCCCCAGCCAGCAGGCCAAATGGCCAGGGAATCTGGATTTTACTTCAGAACATCTGGAGAGCACCAGACTGGAGAAGAGTGTGCTAGGGGACTACATTCCATGGGTGGGCAGTGCTGGAAGCAAAGCAGGGTTTGGAAGGCAAAGAAATGAGGACAAACTACAAAGAAGTACTAGGCATATTGTAAATTAAAGCTCTTACTTCCAGTAAGCCAGCCTTAGGAGAGGCATTTCAGCCTCTGAAAATGGGGGGGACATCTGTGCAGAAAAATGGGAAACCACCAAACAGTCAGTGGTCAGGAAAGAGGTGAATGGCCTTCTGGGAAACCCCTGCGGACTGAAGTGAGGTAGCAGGAGGGCTGCCTTTGGTCCCTGGGGTTCAGGTTCTCCACCCCCAGGATGGAAGTAAAATTAGGTGGACCAGGCTTTACAGTGAAGATAATGGATATTTACTTGTGCATATAAAAGAAAATGTAGCCGCTCCGGTCTCTGTCACTCTGCACAGAGGCTTCTTGAGTTCTGGATACTTCCAAGTCATTATAAGTGTACCATGCCTGCTTGCGAATGTCATATACATCACTAATGTAGTGACCTTAAAAATGATGGAAGAGAGAGAAAGGGGAGAATGCAATGAGAAACGTAATTTCCAAGTTATATTAAGACCCCAAAGTATTTTCAAGGCAGTGTATTATGTTTATATCTGGCAAGTACAAACTGGAAGACCTAAGTAATGACACCATTTGTTCAAACAAATCTATTTTGCTATTTCTAACATGACTATTTTAAATAATTTTAATGAAACTTTATTTTTTTTTTACATACCACAAGCCTTTCATGGTCTTCCAGTTGCAAAATTTACTGTTCAATAAATGCAGAGTTGTTATGGAGTACTCCCTACTTAGGAAAATGCATTATTAAGCACACAAAAAGTATGGGTGGCCCTGAGAGAGAGATATTTTCAGTACAAGGTACAGCTGCTAAAGTGATGGTCCATGCCTTACCTGAGGAGGATGTGTCTCCAATATGGCTGACCACGCTAATGAGACGATAGGAGTTAGGAAGCTCTCCTGTCTGGGGAAGAATTCCATCATCAGCTTTGCTGTATTTCTGAATGATTCTTTAGTTTGGTTCAGGCAGGCAAGTAGGATGATTATGGTTTCTACAGTAAAGCTAGGCCACATTACTCCAAGCACCAGCATAATTCCTTTGAAATCTAACTACTTTACTCAAATCTGCTCTTACACCTGTAACTCTAATATCAGCTGTCAGTAAGTCACCCATGCATGATCAATAAATCCCCCAGCCCTAAACTAGAGATTGCGGTATTTCCCTTATTATTTGTAGATATCAGATTAATCCAATGATGTAAACTTTTCTTTTTTAGTTTATAGTACTCATGCAAATCATTCCATGTGTTTACTTCACACAACTCTAGTGGACAAGTGAAACAGCAAAACATATTATGAATTTTCATTCTATTTAAAATATACATTACCAAAATGGAGTGTACTCATAACACACTAGTGGATTGTTTTCCCATTTTCCCATATACTTCCTAAGGAAAGTATTTTATCCAAAACTTCCTCTGATCAGGAAGCAGCCCTCTTCATTCCATTTGTTAAATTCCCAGAAATTCTCAAGTGTGTGACAGCTAAGTTCCACAAAGATCAGCATGAAAATTCAGATTTTGCTGCTGTGTGTGGCCACAACCTGCATCCAAGGATGAGCAATCTCCAGTCTGTGGGTTAGAAGCAATCTATGGGGATTCCTTGTCTGGCCTGCAGTGTCTTCGCCTCACAATAATTAGGTTTTTTAAAACTCTCCAAGGCTCAATGTCTAATACTATCTGCTGTCACTCACCACTTGTTAGCAGCAGTGGAGGGAACTTTACAACTATCCTCAAAGATGGCCAAGTGTACCAAGCAATACAAGCTGCACTATGAGGAAAGTCTCCTTTTAAGCATGTTATACATCTGTTCCATATGTATAACAGAACAGAAAAACTCTCAATATCATCACCTCAGCATTTCTTTTCAGTTCCTCAGCTTCTGCTTCTGAGTACTCCATGTCTAGAAAATCCTCATTCCCAGAGTCCTCATCAGAACCAAGACTGTCCAGAAGAGAGCTGTTAAACTCTAAATTGTATGAAAATGATACTGTGTAAGACACAGGATAATTGGTAAGCCTTTATAAAGTAGAGTGGTGAACTTATCAGTTCACTGTAAATTCAAATATTCAACCCTTTTTCTTCAAGGAAAGTAGCACGTGCCAAGGAAAAGTTTCTATTATATACTCAGAGCCACAGCAAAGATTTATTTATATATTTATTTAAAATATCTCTATGCCACCCCATTCACAAAAGATTGTGCTTTCACTCCAGCTGTTTAAGTTAAAAGACAACACTTTCCTTCCAGGGCTGCACTGAATTGCTAGAGGTGCAGTTTTCAAATGCTGCTGCTCCAGTTAAAGAGTAGCATGCACCCAGAACACTGCAGCAGCTTGTATTCTTAGTACGTACTCATGGACGTACTCAAATTCTCTTCGGCCAGTTCACACTGTTTGCTTGACTGAGCAAACATCATACCCTTTTCCTTCAAGATGCAATGCTGCAGCAACTTAAACTTCAGTTTTCACAGTCAAAGGCAAAAATTATTCTTAAGAAAATTGCATGCTGCACTTTTATTTGTGAATTTCTCCTTATGCAACAAGGCATTTTTATTTCTTCTTCCCAGTGCATTCTCCATTCTCCCATGCCCTTCCAAAATCTTCTAGAGATCCCCCTGCACACTCAAGAAAAGTGTTGAGGTTACAAAGGAGAGGGATCATTTCTGCTGAAGAAAGATAGTGAGCTATACTAACTGAAACCATTGTGGAAATGTTGAAGAAAATGAAACTGGAAATGAATTTAGGGATTGTCTCTGGAAAACATCTGAGGAATTTCAAGGAGAGCCAAAAATGTTTCAATAAGATTAACAAAGCAGTTTAATTGGGGTGTCACCTGCCCAACATGCAGTGATGAATTGCAGCATGTTGCTTTTTCAAAGTCTGCAGGGGTTGAGGTGGCTAGAAGGAGTCTCTGGGGCAGTGGGTGAGGGCTTGGGTGGACTCCAAGGGATGCTGGAGGACAGGAGAGCCTGAAGGAATGTTGTCCATGGGGTTGTAATGAGTCGAGCATGACTCTGTGACTAGGCAAAAACACTCACCCTGTAAACTTAATTCAGTGGCTCGTTTAAGGTCATCGTCTTCTTTTTGTTCTCGCGCCTCCTGCTGGAATAGAGGGCCAAACTTAGTTTACTGAGACACTTCTTGTCCTTATGGTAGGCTCCCCGCTCTTGCCACTGGGAACTATGCAGCTTCTACAACTTAATTCCCTGCATTGGCAGGACTATGACCAAAAAAAGTCCAAATGCTCTGATAAACATTTAAGCCTTAAGTTTGTGCAAGTTGGTTGAGCTTAGTATGCAACACAGCAAGTTGCTAGTACCACAAAATGCTCTCGCTACAGTTTGTCTTTGTAAAGTCTAGAAATGGAAGTGAACCACTTGTAAGGCAAAGCACATTAGCTTTGAACAAAAATCCCCAGTGTGACCAAATGTATGCTACTCTTGGTCTAAGTTACCTGGGAACAGAAGTACAATTATTGGTCTTAACCAATAGGGATGGGGGATACCTACTGTGTTTTAAAGTAATTCAAAGACTAGCAGTGCTGTTAAGCTTAATGAAAAAGAGACCTCACAGATAGGTGTCTTGCACTGTTGATTAGCCTCCAAATAGTTCAATTACAGGTAAACATTTATTTTTAGTATGTTTTCTCTTAATCCCATCCTCATCATTGCAATTATTCACAATGGTTGTGTCCATACCATCTTAGTTTATCAATATGAGTATGTCTGCAAAAGCATTTAAATCCAGTATTATGAACTAGGTGGCTTGTGAATGGGGTTAGGGACACTTCAGTGAAGTTTCTGCATTTCACCAATATCTGAAGTTAAATTGGTGAGTGGATACAGCAGGGCCTTTTAAGCAATGACATGAAGGCTGTCATGCTCATTGCTGAATTGCCTGCTGAAATTCACTGGTGTGGCAGTAGCATCAAAAAGCCACTTTTCCTTTAAAACAAGGTGTAGAGGGAGCCTATGCCTTGTTTTAAAGCAAAACTAAACTCCTGGAGATCCCAGAAGAAAAGTGTTATTGCTTTAAAACAGGACTGGGCTGTTTGCATCTCTATACATATTTTGGCTTACTATGCTTTAGGTCTATATAATACCTTACCACTGGCCATGCTGGCTTGGGCTGAGAAATATGAATAGGTCAGAACATCTAGAAGGTCACAAGTTGCTCATTACTATTTCCATTCATCTTTTTTAAAGGAAAAATGTGGCTTTTTTGTTTATTTATACATTTATTTATAGACTTCCTATATCTGCTGAGGCCTTTTTTGCCACTGCCAAATTTCAGCAAAAGCAGGAGAGCTCAGATCAATGGAATCTGTCCAAGCCTGAAATAGATTAAGACTGCTGTTACTTTCTTTTACTGTTTTTCCTCCCTTATCCTGTTCATTATCCTTTTCCCTTTTGATTGTTAATGCTTTTGACACATACTAATGTAATACTTTTAGAATTTAATTGTATTGTTTTTATTGTGCATTTAACATTTTTGTATGCTGTTCTGTGGAATTTTGGCCAAAATCATAAACAGAAACATTACAATATTTTCTAGAGAAGAATGGTGGGTGTTCAATGGAGAAAAGCTAGTTACTGACCTCATACTTTTTATGGGGTACAGGGACACCATGACAAATCTCTCCAAAAGCAGTTCCCTACTTTGGAGCCCATTTTGCAATATCTAGTTTGTGAAAAATGTCCATGCGAGAAGTAATGAAATACAAGGTTTATGAATTCTAAATGTCTGAGCATGTTAGAGTGGTTGACTCAGAGTGGTTTTAGGTTGTATCTAAAGATAGTTCTACTTAGAGAAGGGCCCTTGAAATGAATGGGACTTAAGTCAGACTACCATTGGATACTTTCCTTTCTCTCTCCCTGTGTATGCGTGTGTATATGACATTTTCAGTAGCCCTGGGATTATGTAAAGGGAATCCTGGTGTTTTCTTCTGCCTGATGATAGCTGTTCTTTTCACAGAGATTAGCAGCTGTGCACCAGGGGATTTATGCAAGGATATTTTCTCATAACCTTCTCATGAACCAAGACTAGTAGAAATATCACAGGAAGACACCATGGACTGATTCTATGGCAGAAAAATATCTGACTAGAAGGTTTTCCATTTTACAACTGAAATTGAAGTTACTAAAACTACTCCTCAGAAATATGCCAGATTCAGTAAGACACATTTGTGTCTTTGCTTAATCATCCCTCTATAAAAAACAGGTATATTTAACTCTGCCATTAGCAAAGGTTTGCAGTTCCGTGTAATTTAATGAGCTAAAAGGAATGCTTCAGCTGCTTCCCCACTATCAGAGAAGCTGAGTGTGAGGGTTGCATTTGATTTCATAGCACCAGAGAAGGCATTTCAGGGTAACTGTTTGATTTCTAATGCTTTAGCTCTTACTTGCTCTTGCAGGCTCTGAGCCAAAGCCTGTTGTAGCTCCTGTTCTTCTCTTTCGCGCTCCATGTCATACTGTTGCAGCCAATCCACCTCCCCCTGAGTGCCTTCCGGGGTTTTGTTTTCCTTATTCTCATCAAAATCTTTAGTAATCTCCGTGAAGTTGACAAAACCTATGGAAACAAAAACGCCAAATGAATGTTTTAATCTGCTTTGTGGGAGAATTTGCGGAAGACAGTTCTCTTGGTGGCCACCAGTGAAGACTTTTCCATGCCACTTCGATCCCAGAAGCAGAGTGACATCTACTGGCTCAGGAGTACAGGATAGATGCTGTTTAAGAAAAAAGAAAGTTACAGCAGTGATTAACATTTCCCCACATAATGAGGGTTCTAAAGAGGGCTATCAAATGTCTATCGTACACATTTAAAACATCAAAATCCATACCAGCTAAGGATTATTTGTAACCATTCTTCTGAAGTGTGCTGCATGAGCAAACTATTTTTCCCTTTTCCAACTTAGCTTTGCATTTTTAATTTCTGCATTTTGTTTTCAGATTATAGAGATGACTTTTGCATATTTTTTTTATTTGGGTTGTTGTTGTTGTTGGGCACACCTTCATTCCAGTCTGTGAATCACAGTGATTTCCATGATAAGATACTGTGGACTCATAAATTTTTACAGGTGAAAGTGCAGGACTTGTTATATATTTAAACATATTCACCAGAGTCACATGACATAGCAACCCCACATTCATTCATTATTTCAATTTATATGCCGCTACCATAGCCCATAACTGGGCTCCCAGTGCAGTGTACTAAATTAACACAACAGTTTTCTAAAATCATTTGTACTAAAAACATTAATAAAACATCAATAATGCAAAAACAACCCAACAGATTATGATCATTGCATGAAAAATTTAAATAAGCAAACCATGAATAAATAATAGAAACTAAACTAACATTATAAGCCAGGGTTATGTTAAAAACATTATTATCATTACAATCAACTCTTAAAATAGGTGGAAAAGAGATACGCCTTTGCCTGGCACTAAAATTATAACAACAATGGTGCCAGGTGCATCTCTCTGGGGAGCCTCCTCCAGAGATGGGGCACTACCACCAAGAAGGCCCTTCTTCTTGCTGCCATTCCCCTCACCTACCGTAAGGCATGGCTCCTTAAAAAGATGGCTCCTCATTTGGTCTTAAGACACCAGGAGAACACAGTCCCTCAGGTATCCAGGATCTAAGCCATTTAGGGTTTGATAATAAGTACACACACTTTGGCCTGGACTTCCAGTGGTAGCCAGCTTAGATAGTATAAAACTGGTGTAATATGGGTCTGCAGGTGGCTGCCTGTCCCACTTTTTAAAAAGAATTTTAGGCCTGATAGTGCACGAAAAATATTTAAAACTGCCAAATGCCAAGCCCCACTCTTACAAGTGGGAATCATCTCCATTGTTAAGGTTCCTCTTGCTGTTAGCAGAGAGGAGGGAACACTTTCAAAACTTGGGGACCACTAGTACACCTGATCTCCCCCAAAGGAAGCAAGAGACTGCACTGCAAAATGGGGTAAGAGTTCTTTATGTAAAGTGCAATCCCCTGGGGCCTCCCTTTGTAAGGAGATGTCAGCTTGAGACCTGTCAAATCAGAGCTATCATCTCCCTGAAAGGAGGCAGGGAGTGGGAAATGCCTGCAGCCTGCCGTAGATGCATATAGTGTGGATGTCTGCTGCATTTTTCCAGCCTACCCTGGCCAGTTTCTACTTCAGTGTCCCTCCTGTATTAACCCAACCTGCCCACTTTAGGTCATGAACAAACTTAATAATGCACTCAGTAATGGGCCTCAACGAATCTGTCTAAAAGGCAGCTTTTGTGATCTGAAAAAAAGTTGTTGTGAAAACAAAAGACAAGTCAGATTAAGCCCAAGGCAGCTCAATGGCAGCTCTAGGGAAACCTTGGTGCTCCCAAGTCGTCCCCTCATATAAGTGAAGGAGGAGTGAGGGGACAAGACGCAGGACCAGACTCCTACTATATCTGATTGCCTGTCAGATACTTTGGGGGCAAAGGATAAACACTGGGTGGCAATATGCCAAAAGTGAGTTGGCAAATGGGTGAGCCCACCCATTAAGTCAATAAAAAGTTTCAAGCAACTGTAGTTCTCCAACCCTCCAATTGTGGTTCTCCAACCCCTAAATGCAGTCCTTAGAATGTCAAGCTTCTATAAAAGTTAATCTTCCCATTCTCACCTGATTCTGCAACTGCTTTAGGTTTCTCCACCTCCATTGGTTCCATATTTTCTGGCAACTCCTGGAGCTCATCATCTCCAAAGCCAGTGTCTGGGCTATTTGTGGGTTTGTCTTCATCATGGCTCAGTGTCAGTGATGCTTCCCTCTTACTAATTTCTAGAACAGCTGCAAGAAGCTCATCCTCACTCATCCCATCAAATCCAGCATTTGGTGACTCTGAAGCCTTATCACTTTCTGTTCTACTTTTTTTTGAAGCCTAAAAATAAATAAAAAGGCATAATGTGTTGGATGTAAATGACTAAGAATGTTTCTCTCTCAGGCTACTGTGCTGCAGATGTTAACTAAGCTAGGCAATCCAAATACACACACCCAATGCAACTGTAGGTATCGGGCCCATTTTTTCTACAAGGGAACCTACTAGGATAATGGAAACAGAATCTGACTCAGATGAGCAGAAGATGTTAGAATCTGCAGCTGAAATGCCAAAGCCAGGGAACCCAGAAATAAGCCAGGCAGTTACTGAGAATCAGAGTTCCGAATACGTGGGATAATTCAGTGTGCATGCTAACGTGGAGGTGGGAAAAAGTTAGAATTATCAATCCCATGAAGTTAAGATAGCGAACTACTTGAGAAGTGTTGAGAAGGCTGGCCCTTAAGCAGGAGGATCCACTTTAAAGGCATGGTTTGCTCATTTCAATTTGGAAGGAAGCAAAAATATTCAGCTTGGAATCAACCTCATACGAACTTTTTGCTATTGGCCAGTATCCTAACTAAGCTTATTTCTTTTGTTATTTACTACTGCAATACTCTTCGTTTGTACTTTAAAGCCAGCCTAGCTGGTCTGTTTTAACATAATAAAGGCTTTTAAGTTACAAACCCATTGTCCTGGTCTGTGTGGAAGATGGGGGAAAGAACATTCCTTTGGGTTCTACTGTTGCCTGTGACTACTAGATATATAGGCATTAGGTTTGAGGATTTAAGGTATACAATTAGGTCTCCATTTCTTACTGTCTGACTTACTACAATGAACACTTGGCACACACTGTCTCTTCTATTTCCAGTGCAAGTCTTAACCAACATTTGACTATCAGGAACTATTCTTGCATTTACACTAGTCTGTGAGCTGGTTAGGTAATTTGAAAATCTCTCCACATGCCACAGCTCACAATGAAAAAGGGCACGCTACTGGATGCTGGGAAGTGTATATAGCCAAAAATGATCCTAATCAGATTGTCTTCTTCCACATGTTGCATCCCCAGGAATGTTGCCAGCTCTGGGTAGAGATGTTCTAATTTCTAAAGCAGCAGTAGGCAGTCTCCAGGTCTTGGTATAATGATGCACCGGTCTCTTTCCAGAACTTTTATCACTGTCACTAGAAGTGGCCAATGCAATCCAGTGATTCTACTCATGAACTAGACACACTTGAAATAGAATATACATGAAAATTGAACTATCGAACTAGGCCAGTTTGAAATTTGCAAAAACTTAAAAAAAAACAAAGTAGTGCTGAATGACTGGGGGAAAATCAAAACTCAGCAAACTGCTCAAATTCTATAAAGTTGCCAGAGTTTGCCTAGCCCTCTTGTACTTTCAAGTAAAGCCTTTCTATGTCAGTAAAACTTCCCAACACATACAGTACCAGTAGTTTCTTTACTGCACCTCCCTCAAGGGCCCTAAGTAAGTTTTGGGAAGTTAAAAGAGCTGGAAGGTACCAGCAATAAGATAAATGGAATACTCAATCCATTTTTACAGTACTGAGTTGTTCATCTCTCCAGGCTTTAGTACTTCATACTTTCAATTGGGCTTAAAAGTGGCCATGGCTACCCCTAGGTACTGCTTAAAAACTGAGGGTGTACAGATTATTTCCCCATTTCCTGTTCTTTCACTGATCAGCGTCACAGGGCTGAGTATTTGGATAATATAACATGTATGCTTTTTCCTCTCCAAAATCATTCTCCTTACTTTTTCTAGCTCCTCTCGCTGTTGTTCTCTGCATTGGAAATCACACTGCTTTTGGCTGTTTGCTACCGACCGTTTCAATGGCTCATCTTCACTGTCTGAATCCGCAGAGTTTAAAATAGGACCTTTAAACTTGAATGTGTACTTTCTGAAAAGTAAAAATACAACCTTTATTCTTTATATTTGACGAAATCTTCCATGGCAATAAACATCAGGTTAATCATAGAATAGTAGAGTTGGAAGGGGTTAAGAAAGCCACCAAGTTCAACTCCCTGCTGTTGCAGGGCACCAAACAGATACATAAGATATTCATACAAGAGCTAGAAGGACTACATGATTTTAATACAAGGATTACTATTATTTTGTGAACTTTAATTCATTAACCTATGGGAAATTCTGTAGTCTATTTATGACTACAGAGAGATAACAGAAATATTTTTAATGCACATTTAGCATGCTGTGCACAGGGAACATTAATATTTCTAAAAATCTTGAGCAGAGAGATGGACCATTACAAAGTTGGATTTGGTTCTTGTTTATCGACATTTTCCAACTCTCACATTTGGGGTCAGATAGTAGCTTAAAAATTCTGATAAGTAACTTAGTAGCTTTGAACTACTAGTTCATTTTATCCCGATAACATTTCTACCATTTCAGCAAAGCTCCTACAAAATACACAATACATTTCTCAAGTTCTTTATTTTTTTAAACATACAAATTGAATGCACAAATATGACATCCCCTAAAATTTTGGCAGCAAAAATATAATGGGTGGATTTGCAAGCCATGCTAAAATCACTCTGCACATAATCCACAGTGGATTGGTTGTTCACTTGGCGCCAATGCTGAGGCACACTGGGAACTGTAGGACCTTTTTTCGGTCCAAACATGCATAGGATTGTACCTTGAGAGCCTCATTGAAGCTGGGCATTCAGGGACAAAAATGTAGCACACAGCTCATTAGTACTTTATCATACTTGGCCTGTCTCATTTGAATGAGGTCTAAACCTGAAGCACCTGCACTAACAAAAGGTTACTGAATTAAAATGTTATTTCTTTGTTTCTGATTTGAACAAGGAAAACGTAGGATTACTAAATCCAGAAATGTATTTTTTCAATAATTCTTCTATCTGCTAATTAATCACTGCACTGAATTAATTTCAACATAAGAGAGAGAATATACAAGAACTTAGTACAAGAATAAAGGACAGCAGCAACAGATAAAACCAGGCCAACTTTTTATACTTACTCACTATAGGGTTTCAGCCCTCTCAAACATCTAAAATCTTTACTCACCGACATGGAGTGGAGGTGCTTACTGAACAGGAATTCACCATCTGGGATACTTTCAGTGGCCGTGAGCTAATAAAAAAACAACACAGTGTATACTGCTAGGTGCTCAAAGACCTACCATTGCATCACCATTTTGACAGTGATTCAAAACACTAGTCTATAACCAAGTAAACTATAACAAAAAGTCTTTGAATTAGTGTAACAATGGGCTTTACAAAATGTAAACATTGTAAACCTTTAGAAATTTTGCTATGCCACTCAGCAGGAAACTTGCACAACTTTTCCCCACCTAATGCTCCTTTCCAAGTCCACTCTTTGTTGTATGTTTATCCTCAGGGGATGTCCTGCCACCCTTAACAGCCTATTCTCAAGATCCATGGTAAACCCTAGAAACTATAGGCCAATAAAAATGACCCACAGAATAGGAAAAAATAATCAAAGCTGTAAGATTGTTTACCGAATATAATATGAAATGGAAGTAACTATGTTCCTTTCCTAAAGAAAATAATCTATCATTACTTGAAGATAATATTAAGCATACAGGTAAGGGCGATCTAGTTTAGTTTACAGAAGATTTGACAGGATAACTTTACTAAAAGGTATTCATTTAGCTAACTTTGAATCCTAAAATATTTAAATGCTACATGAATCAATTTTTCTTATGAGTATTATCTCTGTAAGGGAATAACTTACATTGCTGACTGTGCACTCCATCCCAGATTAAGTGGAGGTCTTGTGCTTTCTGTACAGTGAGACTGCAGGGTTAAGAATCTTGGAATAATCACTTGCTGTCCAACTTTGTGATTGAGGGAGAGTGCCACATTGAAGCTGTACCGTTTCAGATGAAGAATCAAGACCCTTCAAGATACAATTGGAAATTCATTTCTACATAGAATAAAAGATGCTCTTTATTCTCAGGTAAGAAATAGTACTCTTCAAATATACAGCTAATTCTGTATTCTTCCCTCCCTGCTACCAATATCTAACAAACCTATATGGGTTAAAAATGTGATGTGTTCTTTCTGTCAACAGACAGATAGACAGAGGTATTGTGGTCTTTTTAGTTGTTCTAAACTTTTGAACTTATTCTGTTTTTATGATTCTCACTGAAATTTTATTGTCTGTTTTTATGGATTGTTGTAAACTATCCAGAGAGCTTACAGCTATGTAGTAATATAGAAATGAGATGAATTGTGTATGTTTCTGGGTGTACATGGGGGGGGGTGCATCTAGGTTCTTTTATGTCAACAGGAATATTCCCTCAGACTGCTCAGATTTCCCTCAGATTTCCACTCAGACTGCTCCTGTGTGAGTTGCAATAGAAAGGTGGAGGAGAAAGCTATCATCCCTGATGCCTCCTCCTCTGCAGCCCCTAGTACAACCTCCCCCACTGTTCTGGATTGCCCCACAAACCTCCAGGGAGAGGAGAAAATCAACAAATCTCACAGGCCTCCATTCTTTCAATAGAACTCCTCTGCTGGATGAAAAGCTTCCCATGAACAGATGAAGCTTTTCTGTGTGCAAGGCGGCCAAGTCTAGATTGAACCCATAGTTTTCAATGTATCATTGACATATACCATGTTTTTATTCTTTGTTGTGTTTGTCTCTAGATTGAAAATTTTGCCGAAATCAAACAGCGAGAATATAAGCAGTCTAAAGAACATTTGTTGATTGCTTGTACTCTCTAGAATGTAATGTCAATTTATATTTAAAGACATATAAGACAGTCATTGCAAGGCCACTATTAAAGTTTTCTTTCAATGCAGTTCATTACAGACATATCCTACATGCCCTGATATTATGATTATGTTCATACAATCCCACACGTACCTGGGAAACCGACTGAATTTGTGTGTAACAAGAGCTGACTTCCCATTGCACTTCTCACAGGAATACTCTATCTCTTCTGCCTAAGAGACACAATACAAAGAATGTACATATGAAGGTTGTCATCTACAAAAACCTGTTTTAAAACCAAGAAACTGTCTCTCTCAGCAGAGAAGGTATTCATATTACAGAATGGGCTGCATTCAGTGTCATGTGAACAGACACTGCACAAAAAATTCCACTTGCACAAAAAATGCTTCCTTTTCCTCTCCTCCCATATACCACTAAACTCAGCTCTAGAGGATTCCCAACCCTCCAGAACATATTGGAAGGCACACATGGATCAGAATACACTCCACCACTGGTGTCCATTCTGCTGGTGGATAGATACCTCCAGATACAACTCAGTATTTTCCAAGGAATAAAAAGCAGCACAGAAGCTGAATAGCAAAAGGAACGTATTTAATAAAGAAGCATATTCTTCACATCCATTATAGTGCCTTGGCTAGTCTTATGCTCCCGGTTTTATGGGAACTGCTATCAAATGAGGTATATGCCTAAGCATATTAACATATAAATATAACAAGAAATATTATGTTCCAGTACTCATTCAATATATAGTGCAGTCCTACCTATGCTTACTCAGAGGTCCCATTGTTTTAAAGGGGGCTTACTAATAGCTCAAAGCCAACCTTGAGATGAAAAACGAGGGCACAAATGAGAAGCATACAAAAATGGCAGCTATCTCTCTCTTGCATGCATTCTTCATGCTACTCCCCAAAGAAAGACAGCTAACTCTTCTAGTTGTCACATATGGGCCACACACCTGCTGGTGACTGGCTTCTGTGAACATAGCATGCTGGTCCTTTGCAGGCTGCATTGGCTGCCGCTTGCCATCCAGAACCAATTCAAAGTGCTGGTGTTAGCATACAAAGTTCTAAGCAGCTTGGGGCCAGGATATCTGAGGGAATGAAAATCTCCACATGTTCCTCACCAGAGGCCCTTCTTCGGGTCCCTCCTCAAACAAAGTGAAGGGGGAGATGACCTTCTATGTAGTTGTACCCCACTACTGGAATTTACTTCCACAAGTAATTTGCCTGGCATCTTTACTCTTTTCCTTCAGACACTAATTGAAGACATTTCTATTTCATCATCATGTTGGTGACTGAGCTTGGTTTTTATAAGAGTTTACTGCTACTGCCACTGTATTAAGAGTTTAGCCTCCAGATATTATTTTAAATGATTGTTGTAAATGGTTTTATTATCAACAGACTGTTTAATTTTGTTATTCTATTTTTAACTGGTTTATACTTTAGTTTATTATTTTATGATTTACATTGAATTGTTTAATTTGTAATTTACTGTTGTCTATATAAACCGCCAAAAGAGCCTTGGCTAAGAGGTGCAACATATAAATACAATAGACAAATAAATATGTAAATCTGTGGGAAGGTACACTTGCCTGCTTTTAAGCAAGATTCTGTACAATGACTGGAGAAACTGTTCCAGCATTCCTGGTAAAGAACAACCTCCAATATCCTAGATCCCTCATTGGTTAACAATAGATACAGACAACTGTTTTGACCTATTCCCCCATTAGCAATGTGTGAGAAATCTGGTTTGGGAGTGGGAATCCATTGGATTTCTCCGTTTTCCTTCCCTAGACCTTCAGCCTGCTTTCTCCTTCCTCTGACTTATGCTAAGCATTTGCACAGGTGCCTGGTAAGAAGTGAGTCTGTGCGGCTGGCTTGCATACATGCTGCACGCTGTCCATATATCCACTGTGCAAGCAAAGCTCTGTTTCTGCACATGTGACTTATTTTGCACACTTTGCGTAAGAATAATTCAGTCCCATGAAGGGGGCTGTCAATGTTCACAAGCATTTACAGATTTAAATCTTGGCTCAGCTCACTTCCTAAGCCAGGGCCAAGCGCAAGAAAGAAGTCTGACAAGCATAATTGCAGAGGAGAGCCTTCTCTGCAACAGTGCCCCAATTATGGAACTTGCTCCTCAGAGGTGCGCCTGGAGCTGACATTTTGTTTGCTTTGGTGCCAGACCAAAACCTTTTCATTTTCCCAGTTTTTAAATCAATAATGAATGTACTTTTTATTAGTTGAAGAAATGTGGGAACTGAAGTGTTTTTAACTATTTTACAGCTGTAATATGGTTTTAATATATTTTTTCTGGCTTTTTATATAACCCCTCTTGAGATTTTATAATAATCAGACAGTATACAAGAAATTTTAAGGAAATAAATAAGTGAAACAGCATTACTTGGGCATACTTTTGGGGCTTGTTCAACTACTGTTCGTACAGTATCAGATTAAGGTCTACTCCAATTTCTCTTAACTAGTTAGCCTTTAAATGTTTCTAATTGTATCCAAGCATATGATGATGTGAAAAAGGAATTTGTAACAAGGAACTTATGGATATAATTTATAACATTTTTAATAAGAAATATGGTAAAATATGACATACCCTGAAAAAGAGATCCAAGGAATCTTGGATTGATCGAGACGGAAGAAGTTTTCTTCTTCGTGGCAAGTCAATGGAGAGGTCATTAAACTGCTCCCGTTTGGTGACTGTTTCCCCACACCTGCATTGAAAAGAGATGTTCTTGTAATTTTTTAAGAAGAAATTAGTTTTAAAGAAGTAACCCTTACAAACATGTATGATTTGCAACACCATATAAAGTATGAGAGAAAAAAAAATCTGTTGACATTCATAGTGCAGGCATTGCTGAATAAAAATAGAATCCAATATTATTCAACTTGCAGAGCAGTTCTTGAACTGACAGATTCTTCCACTAAGAGAAAAGGAAGGAGGAAAATATTTATCACTTCCCTCTTCAGCCCACACATCACCGAACATGCTGTGGAAAAGAATGTAAAGAGAAAAGCAAATTGGCAACAATCGCCATGTTTGTCTTCCATTTGCAGAAGTCTCTGGCACATCAAAAACCATTCTGTGAGTGAAACAACAAGCGGGATTCTACATCAAGTTCTAATATTCTTAAAATCAGGTATGTGCAACGTGAGTGCATTACAGCTTCTTCCTTGACTCCTTGCAGCCCTTTGGAGGGGTATATCCAATATTTACCATTTCTTACATTTGGCCTGCAAAAGTGCTTGGCCTGAATTGTGAATAGGTACAGGACAATGCTTGTGTCACTCCATCTGAACTGGAGTTCTTAGAAAAGTTAACAACACTCTTCCTATCTGTGGCAGCAAGTTGCTCACTGTACGGTCTCCATCTGTATCAAACTTCCCCACTGTGTGAATTGCTGGGAGGAGGGAAGCTTTGGGTGCTATTACAAACAAACTCAAATGAAGAGCAAAAGACTGCTGAGACAAATAAAGACATGTTTTAATACTTACATTTTACATATGATAGAATGCTGAACCTCAAACTCTAAATTTGTGATAACTGGACAGGTGTAAACTTTGGTGGCTGATAAGTCATCACATATGCGTCCTAAGGAATTGTCTTCACCAGAAACTGACTCGCTTTTCCAGGTTTTGTTAAGTTTCTCCATGTCCTCCTTCAACTGATCTAAGCACTGACTCAAGAATTCATGGGCATCCTGTAATCAAGCAACATTAATGACCTGTTCATAACTTCAAATAAACTAAATATATATTGTGGATTCAGTAAATGCTGACTCCCACAACTAAATTCCTACCAGAATCCCGGCTAATAAATAAAAACTGAATTGTGATTACCTGGCCAATTAATTGTTAGAGAGCATTTAAAACAGTTTCAATAAATCTAAGTTTTTATTCTTAATATGAGATCCTTATGTTCCCAATTAAAAGTATATTTTAGTCTGTTTAGTAATGTATCATTGCTTTTTTATTTATATTCTCTTCTGTGAATGCCAAAATAGATGACAAAGGAACAACAAAATAAAGACCAAATAGTGATCACCAAAAGCGCTCTGCTCTCTCACAACCCCTGCACCCTTTGTAATATGTTGCTACCACCTTTCAACAGAAATCTAATTTTTCAGTAAATGTCATCAACTACTAGTTTTCTAAACAGTGCAAAACTGTTCTAAGCATTTTTATGCAACTGGTTTTGCTAAGTTATTACTATTGTTTAAATTCTTGGTAGCCTTAAAAACATGATACTTACATTTTGCATGTAGCCAGAGAATCTCTCTGCAGTAGCTGAAATGGCATTTTTCACCTTTTTGAGTAAGTCTTTCTTTACCTCAGGACTACAAGCATCTTTTCTAGCAAGTAGATGGGTAAAGCGTCTAGAAAAATTAATGCAGTGTCATTCATTCATTTCCATTTCTATGTTGCCCCATAATCCAAAGGTTCTCTTTAAATGTCAAAAAGCAAATTAGCAGTGATTAACGCTATAAGTATACTGTGAATACTATGGGATGGTAATCTGTGAATACCTTCCCACTGGCCTCCCCAAAAGAAAGTTTTATCCCATTAATATGGCATGGTATCAGCAGCACAATACCATTAGAAACAAGTAAGTCCTACTCCCTCCCATTCCTTTAAATGCATTTAACATTCAACTAACTTAAAATACATTATGGTTATTTCTAAGATACACTGACTGGCCCAAGTCATTTATATAGGAATGTACTTGTTCATATTATGCAATTCACTGTTAACTATGGGCTGCTTAGGGATGCTCAGAAGCAAATAAGCATGGTGACTCCAGACTGCTCACCTGCTTCTTGGGTTGTATTTGTGGACTGTTTCTACCTCATCAAACCAGATCTGGGCATAATGAAGAACAACCCAGAGAGAGAGCATCCCTGCTTATTTTTGTGTGAAAAAGGACACTTTCTTGCTCCCAAACAGTACATATGCATGTTGCATTCAAATGGGCCAAACTCTGGTGTACTCCTCTTCCTATACCAAAATGCTTATTGCTGTTTTTTTTAAATACAGCATGCATATATAGTACTTGCTAAGCCCTCTACAATGTCATATAGAAATGTATTTGTTATACCACTGCAAAAATAGATGATTTCAGAGTCTCAACAAGTATGGAAATAAGGCAGTAATAGCAATAGTATGAATATAAAGAGACTATATGCAAGTCACATAAAATATTGTAAAAGCTTATATAACAGGAGTGACCAGACTTGCTCAACAAAAGAGCCACCTATAGTAACTGTCAGATGTTTGAGAGCTGCAAGACACGAACAAATATTTATTTATTGTTTATTTATTAGAACCAAACAAAGGTTTATTTGCTGCAAAGATACTATCCACAACAAACACTTCCTCAAGCCATGGAATAACAAGACATCCAATCAACTTGTCTAAACCTGACTCCTTGTGGAGTCTCCTGGTTATTTTGAAAGACAGGCCACCTAAGAAGCAAACTCTTGCCTTTCCAGTAGGCTCCACCAGTCCCACTGCAGTTTGCTTTGGTCCACACCATTTCTATAATGGCCTTTGCAAAGGTGAAACTGAGCAAAGGATCCACTGCGGTAGCAGTGCACACCATTCTAAAACAGACTCGTAATTTTGCCCTTCCTGCACGCACACCTTACTTCCATTGGCCCAGGCTGGCACCCCAATTGGCCACAGACACCCCCACAGCTCGTTGAGGATGGAAGAATGAGTGCAGCGTAGTTTATATGGCAGCTTTGCTGGAAGGTGCTCTCATTTGCTCCTCTTTCATTGACCCCAAGCAGAATCATGCATTTGGCCCCTCTGCGTGCCACAAAAAAACCTCAAAGAGCTGTAAGTGGCTTGCGAGCCTCCCCTTGGCCACCCGTTATATAACATATATAGTTGTCAAAGAAGCCAATATGGCATTGGTAACTAAGGCAAAAAGTGCATCCATGTCCTAGTTATGGTTAATTTAAGGTTCAGCTATAACTAAGTACATTTCTACTAATTGTGGAAAAGACAAAAGCTTGAAGAAAATGGGTAGCATCCATGATGTTCTTCTGCCAGCAAAACTGACACTATTGACAGACTAAGCTTCCCCTCTATGCTGCCGCCTCCAAAACTATTTCAAAGGGTTGAAAGTTGTGCCAGAGCAGATTTATGGATATGCAGGGCACTGTAGAGGGAGGGAGAAGAAACTTCTGTTGTGAGGTAAGTCTGTTCAAGTAACACTAGGTTTAGCACAAGTCTATTGGCAAAAGGCTCAAAATCTAGGAAAAGGTTGTGTTTCTAGCAGGCAATAGGACACCCATTCTTTGTATCTACCTATTCTTCTCTAGAACTTGTTCTCAACAAATATTCTCAACAATAAATATTGTTCACAAAGCCCCAGGCATCTAGTGAAAACACAGAACTTGCCTAAAAGATGCCAGCACCTCATTATCATGGTCAAGCAAAACTAACTCATGTCAATTACCAGATTTTCTATTCCTTTGTTTTGAGGGGAATGGCTTCAGAACAAGAGCTTGAAACAAGTTTCTCTATAAAGGAAATTTCACAAGTGTACAACAGAATTCCTGCAGCTTTGCCAGATCTTCTTCCTTAAGTCAGTGCTCAATGCTCAACAACTATTATATACTTAATTTAACAGGAGGATTTTGTTAAGGTCTGTAGGATTTTGAAGCCTGAGTTTTCATTTATGCTTTCAATTCCAAATCACCAAGCTATTTTACAGAAAGGAACTAGAATTGTGCATATTCATACATTTCAACTAGTGACTGTACACACACATCCTGATATTTCTTTTAATGCTACAGTCAAGAGAAAAGGTTTACTTTACCTACAAAGTTAGCACTCACCTGATAAGTGCATTGAATGGAACTTTTTTCCATGGGATATTTTGCTTCAAAAGATCATTAGCAAACGACTGAATTGAAAACAGAGATTGTAAAATAGCATTCATGTAGCAGGTATTTCCTAAGTTTGTAAATCTGTAAAGACCAAGACAACACTGATTACTGCAATGTATTGTACATACATGGGGTTACTTTTGAAAATGGTTCCGAAATTTCAGTTTGTTAGAGAACTGCTAGATCATTAACTGGTCTGTTCAAATATGATCATGTGATACCAGTGCTTCATCAGCTGTACTGACTTTCAGCCCATATCCAAGCTAAATTCAAAGTGTTGGTGCTGACGTAAAGAGTTTGGGACCAGAGTATCTAAAGCCATGTGCCCTCCCTGTCAAAACTCTTAGATCATCTTCAGAGGCCCTCTCTTGGGTACTGCCTGCCAAAGGAAGGTTGTTACAAGGGACTTTCTCAGAAAGAGGTTCATCTGGCATGTACATGCTATCTTTCTGGTGCTAGGCTTTATGTCTGTTTTATTGATTCCTGCCCTATTTATTATTTTGCATTATGTTGTAACTTATTCTTTTAAATATTGCTACTATATTTTATATTTTACCTGTTTTACGAAATTTTAATCTTTTTACCTGCTTGTAAACCACCTAGAGAACATTAGTTACTGGGTGTACTAGAAATGTAATAAAAAAGATTTATACAATCTGAAGAGAAACCAGAGTATGTCTAAAAAATAGAAATATTAGCCAAAAGTAATAATTTCCAACACAGTCATGAATTGTTATACTAATTACAGTGTGTGAACACACACATTATGTACTCTGTTTCTTACAGATTAGGAATGAGTTTACCTGCTTAGGAAGATTTCTGGGAGTCTAACTAAATAAAAACAAATTGGAGAGTAAAGAGAAAAACAGACCTTATTTTGGGTTTTTTTAAAAAAATCGATAATGTTGGTTAATAGTCAGGAGTTCACAAGTTGATAATATTTAAGGTGCACTCCTATGGTGGGCTTTGCAGATCTCCCTCCCCATCTCAGCTGCACCATTGCCACTGCTATTCTGAAGAGCAATAATGGTTGTTTCAGCAGAGTATTGTGATAGCAGGCAGGGGGCCTTTGATCAATTAGGTCTAACATCCCTCCTGTTCCTGGGAACTGGAAGAGAGTATGTCAGCTACGCAAGTAATGGAAGGGGGAATGTAAAAAAAGTGATAATAAGAGCCTTTTTGGACTGTTCTGTCCAAAAAAATGAGTAGGTTTGTATCTGGAAGCTTTATAAGCATGGTCATAGAAGCAATCTGAAGGAAAATTTCACTGCTGCTCAAAGTAAGCTGAAAAAAATAATGAAAAGCTAACCTTTTAAGATGTGACTAATTTTCTTCAAATATAGCAACAAGTTTTCTAACAACCGTTTGAACAGCTCTTGAAACCGTGCAAGGAAAGATAGAAAATGATGCAAGCTAAGATTTACCACACAGTGGGGGACCTTACTAACATAAGATTTTTCCAGGATTGTTTGACAGGACTGAAAATGAGGAAACCTTGCTACAAATGTTTAACATTCAGACCAAGAGATAAAAGGGAAAGGGGAAGAGAGTCAATAATATGAAAATAATATGAAGACTTAAACACACCTGATCTTAAAACACAAGCTACCTTGGTTTCCCTCTAGCCATTTTCTTAACAAACCACTACGCCATTAAATTCTGATTTCAAAATGAGCAGCATGCTATCCAGAGCACGTAAGTGGCAGCCCTTGCTCAGAGGAATTGTATGTTAAATGTACAAAGTGGGTAAAAACAAGCTGTGAAAATGAAATAATAGAAATAATGTGCTGGAAGGACATTTGGTTGCAGAAAATGCTAAGTTGGGTTTGTTTCTGTATGCTTAGCTGAGGATTTGTGTACATGTGTACATGTGTACTTCAATAAATATTGAAGATATGAAATTTTACCCTTGTAATTGCTGCTGTGGGTGAGTTGAAAGGGGAACTCGTGGCTTGTTCCATCCCGTATAATCTTGATTAGATCTCATCTTTTTCACAGATAGAGGGGCTGGCTGGGAAAAAAACCCCAAGCTTCTTTTAGCAGAAGGAGTCTGATTCAACACATTAGACCTATGTGGTGAAATGATAAAACATTATATTTCTTAAGTATAACAGTCAGCCACTGCCACTAATGACATAGCAACAGTCACAATTGCATTAGATGAACAAAGATTATATGACATGTGTTGTAAACTGCCCAGAGAGCATTGGCTATTCAGCAGTACAGAAACAAAATAAATATGACACTGGAGTGCCACAGCCCCCTCTGCCTGCTTAAGGTTATTAGTCACAATTTTCATTCAAAAATAAACACAAGCATTTTTACCTTTCAGTTATAGAAATCTTAACAAAGGGAGATAAAACTACAAGTAAAAAATAGTTTTGTTTTTTTATATTCATGATTTTCGAGTTCCTACACCTTCCTGCTCGGGGCGGGGGGCAGGCTTCCTTGGCTACTGCTGTGAAGAGATAGCCTGTAAAACCAGTCAAGGCTGGAATGTTCCATGCCAACATTCCCTGCAGGAAAGGGTGAAGCAGTTTGCTTCCCTGGCCACTACAGCTGGGTAAAGCAGGGCAGCAAACTGAAAGGTGTTACCTAGATGGCTGGGAATTACAGGCAATAGATAACTAGTACCTGATGGATTTGTATGTGTCAATTTACCCGGTTATATACCACATTATATGGCTTCCTTAAGTCACCTTGGTGACCTCAATCAGCATGGCACTTGCTAAAACTACAATTTGTCCATTACAAAGCACAAAAAGGTAAGTAACATAAAAAGTGGCTTTAATGGATAAATATAAACAATATACACAACTTGATTAATACAATGCTCTGATGATGAAGCATTCAGGGAGAAAAACCATCTTTTAAAATATATTCTGTACCCACCTGTCCAGATTGGAATTACCAGATGAATACTCTTTTGAAGAGGACCTGCTTCCATAAAATGAGGATGTCTGTAGAGGTAAACCCCCTTAAAAAGGAAAATAAATAAACTTTTATACACAATGTCTTAGTTGATCAGTAATATGATACTGGCTAACATTCAACACTTCAAAGAAGATGCAATATCCTTTTACAATTAAAAGGTGCTAAGTTCTGTCACCAAATCATTTGACTAACTCTAGAATTACTGGAATGGATGTATATGCTAAGCAAAATGCAGATATTTCTCAATCTGAATCTTGGGAATATTTCCCCCTACATCATTTCTCCAGACTGTAACTCTTTGCTACAGCAATGATATCTCAAGCCCCCATATTTGTTGTCCAGTGAGGTGGATTTACAAGGAAGACAACCCGGAACAGAAAAACAGTCAAGCCAATTTACAGGTGGATATGTAGCAGTACTCTCTGCTACTCATCTTTCATTTCAACAGTTCCCAAGATAAAATTCTTCTTTGAGCCTCCAAGGTTTGAGCTATTTTCCAGAGATATGGTTCTTATTTTAATGTTTGCCTTTTTAATGTTTCTCAGGGAAGAAGCAAGATAATTCTATTATTCCAGCTGGGCAACCTGTGACTCTCCAGATGATATTGTACTACAACTCCCATCTGATCTAGCCAGCATAGCCAATGATGATGGAAGTTACAGTCCAAGATCATCTGAAGGGACACAAGCTGTCCACTCTTGTACTATGCAGATTTTTTTTAAAGATAAAAGTTTAGAATGCAAATTAAATAATTGTTTTAGTTTACCAAGTTAGTCATTAGATTGGATTGATAAAAAGTATAGCCTTGTTTACCTGATGTCCTGTTCTCCTCAATTTGTTTCAAGTTCAGCTGTTTCTCCCTGCTGCTAAGTAAGAATTTCCTTGCTGGATCAGTCATAACTTTGTTATTGCTGCAGATAAATACATACAACCTATTTGAAGTTATATGTAAAACAGCACTGTAAACTGTACAGTGTTTATATATGCCCATATTTACATTCACTACACTCACAGGCTCTCCAAACATTTCAGACATCATGATTTCTAAAAGTTTACTGTACTCATATTTTAAAAGCTTGCCTTGTGCTTTAATATAAGTTCACCAGATTAAAGTCATTGAATAATCACTACAAAAAGCAACACTAAAGCTTAACTTTAACAACTAGCATACTGAAACACACACAATGTCCTGAATCACTGCATTTTTCAGGCATTTTAGCACTGGATTTTTCAAAGATCATTATGTTATGCTGATTTAAGAGGAAAATGGGAGTTCTCAATACATCCTTCACACTGGAATTGGGAAGTAAAAAGAAAAGACACAGAAACAAGGGAAGAAGCCATCAAAATGATACCTTGATGAATCATTCTCTTTAGGATAATCTTCATTCATTTCCGAAGTAGGAGACATCCTTTTTCTCCTTCCACAGTTTCATGAGGAGGGAAAAACATTCTTTCAATCCACAAGGAAACCAGAGGAGCCCAATCTCTTAATATTTACGCCAATATTTTCAGGCAGTGACCAAATGGCCTCAGTTTTGAAAGTGCTTCTATAAAGGGTAAAAATGCTTCACCACTTTCTAGCTAGTTCAGCATGCAAGCTTTTGGGACATTTTCCAGAGAATTTATTCAGACATATAAACAAATTATGGTAACCTGAAAAAGCAACATAATTTTCAAAGCCATTGCTATTTTAATGCATGCACACCGAGGACTGCAATGCCTTAAAAGTTTGCTCTCATACCGGTTTTCCAACAAGCCAGTTCTGTGAGGTGTTGAAGCAGCAGAAGGAGTTGAAATGTTGACCCTGTTGCCAGACATTCCAGTTACTGGAGAATTCTTAACTGATGCTCTTCCTGGGGTACCCAGCCCCTTACGAAGCGGAATTTCATCTTTATTTTCTACAACCCCTCTTCTGGAAGGAGTCTATAAAACCAAAACATACAATGCTTCTAATCATAACAGTCAGAGCCAGGCATGAAACTCAGTAGATTGCATGTAGGTTGGAACACTGGCCACTTACCATGAAGATTCCTTCTGGTTTGGTGTGACAAAGACATCCAAAAATGTGCTGAGTCTCCCTACTGTCCAGGAAAGCCAAGGATCACAGACAAAAATTGTGTCTTGTATATGCAATCCATTAATCCTCTTCTTTACTAAGCCTAAGACAGAAGATCAATCGAAGAGCCCAGCAGAGGTAGAATTGAAAAGCAAGGTGAAGAATGGAAATTTTTCCTCACATGGAGGGACTGTGATAGAGCGGGACTAGAAACTGAAACTTTTATTCACACGCGGTTCCTTCTGACACAATCCAAAAAATTAGGGCATGGCTTGGATACTTTCATCAAAGAGGGTAGAGAGAAAATAGTTTGGATGGAGGTATATTACTATTTATAATATCCACCTGCTGAAGGATGCTTCTGCAGAGGAACAGGCATTGTCTTCTAATGAATGTGATTGAACTGAATAGTGTGGCAGTAGTTCTGCATACTTCAAGAAAGGCTTGGTGCTAAACGCTTCTGAGGTGGTCATGGCTCTGGTTAAACAGGGGCTTGGGATACTTTTGGCCACTTTTGGATACTTTTGGAGAGTGGCTTGGGATACTCTTGTGGCCTCAGGATTAAAGGGGATTAAAAATATTCAGAACATGTGCATTCTACTTTGTGTTTGTGATAAATGTTTAGAACCTTGCAAACATTTAGCTTGTGCCATGCTCTATCTGATGAGGGAAACTGGGCAGGAGGAGAGAAGGACCAGTCCCTCGCTCTATGCAACGGAGCTGCCTATGGAATGGAAGGATTTGGCCACAGAAAGTCCTGTGTTTCTATGAAATATAATTGACAGAGATAATTCAAAAATCTTTCTTACCAATATGAAAGCCATGAGAAACAGAACTTTTTGGAAGTAAGAGAAGAGAGATACAGACTTAAGCGGGCTGAACTGAAGCTTGGTTAATACCATAAAGGCAATGTGCAGGTTCCAGGATGGGGAAAAAGTAAACTATGGGCAGACTCTGTGAAGATGGCTCTCTCAGGAATCAATGTGTTGGTGAGATCAAAGTGGCTTTGATTTTGACTTTGACAGCACACACAAAAGTACAAAAGTCCATTGGGTTTCAAGCCCAGGTATAAATCTGTTGAAGGAACAATAAGAGCTCTTTTAACTCCTGCTAGACTCTGCCAAGATGCTACCATCTGTACCACTGGGTCAAGACCTTACAAGACACCTCATAGATATGCAAGATAGATGGCTTTCTAGAAGACACCAAGGTGTTAATCACTGTTTCTGAATACCGTAAGGCTAGTTATCTAGCCCTCTTAGAACACAGGTACAGTTGCTTCATCCTATACTAATTATCTGTGAAGACTTGGTTGGTTTTGAATTCCTCTGTCTTCTAGAAGAGAAGTGACTCATCCCTGTCCTTCTTGAGGGGTGCAAATAATAGCAACTATTACAAGGCTTTTTGCTTCCTTCTTATTGGAGATGGTATGATTTTTTAAACTTTAGTTTCAATTAGAAACAAGTGTGCTCCTTTAAGGAAAACTGTGGCCAGGCTACCCTTTGAAAGGACATCCACACTATGGTGATTCAACCATAGGGACTATTTTCCGCACTCCTTGTCACAGTCTTTAAGATCTTCACACTGGATAAATAAATTGCTACCATACTGTTGGAGAATAGGCAGCTAAGTAGTATGGCTGTATGCTTTTCATGAAGAAGTTGATCTGGGGCCACAGTCCCCTGCAATCATTTGAAGAGTGGGGGTGTGCTCGCACAAGTTTAAGTGATGTTCCTAAAAGCTGCTTTATTTAACTTGTTCCAATTTTCTCCTACATCTGGAAGGAAATGGAGTGGAATCTTAAGGAGTCTTTACCCTAGATTCAGAAGAGGTCTGACCCTAACCTCTTACTCCACAAATAGTTCATCTATGAGTTTATCAAGAACTGCTTGTTTAATTTGGCTGACATATATCATTGGAGGCAGATGAGCACTGTACTAGAAAACCTGTGGTGGAAGCGAATTTCACTTTTATTGGGCTAAGGCAAGCTGTAGACCTCAGGGTAGCCTTACTCCACACAATGCTGCAAACAAGGAAAAACAATACCTGATTGTGTTGCAAAGTTGCTGAGGAAATCCCTGCTATCCTTGCTTCAGAGTCACACCTCCCCAGTTTTGCTTTTGTGTCTGAGGCAAAGAGGACCTCTCCAAAGAGCCTGCATGACATCTGGAAACAGAGCGGGAAGTCTCCAGTTGTGGACATGTATTACACCAGGTTGTTGAGCAGGTGCAGTATCATCCAAGGATACAGCATTTTTCATACTGAAAGGTTGCCCCAGGTTGGTGAAACTGCTCTGTTGGCTGGAGCTGGTATATGGAACAAATAGTGGGTGAAGGTGGGATTTACTTGAAAGTATCTTCCCACAATGTCTCAGCTGTTGGTGCTTCAGAGACTGCTCCAATGGAATTTAGTAGAAAAGGAGTGTTTACGGTTCCTCTTGATTCTAATATGTTCGTCTATTGCCTAGTGATGCAAAGATCCACTTGGAATCCAGCTCTCTGGAGGCTAGCTGGACTTCTCACTCCCATTTGGCTCTGGCCTAAGAAATTATCAGAGCTGAGCTCAAGTCTGTGAATGTTTGCAGATGCGCTGGGCCCCCTTCTTTATGCTGAGTTATTCTTCTACTAGGTATGTAAAGCCTGCAAGTCACTTGTATAGAAGCAGAACTCACACAGTGGGTGTGTGGGCAGCACGTATACAAGCTGGCCTTGGTAGATATATCTGCACATCTGTAATATAATATGCAACAGTTGGACTCAGTTCCTGCTAGACGCCCACAGAGAGGAGATAGAGAAAGCAAGCTCTCATCTCCAAACTAGATTCCTCACACATTGCTCATATTTTGCCTTCTCCAAGCATGAAATACGTTTTTTCACACTGGTACCACAGGAGGGGCAAGGCAGGAGGAATGCAGAGGCGCAGAAAGGAAAAAGCAACAAGATAGATACTAAGGAGAAAGGATAACTTTAATTGTTCCAAAAGTTGAAGGCTAAATGGTGAATGAAACCGGAATTAAGTAGATGAAAAAGCTGAGATGGTTGGAAGATGGACAGAAATACCTAAGAGGCAGCAGGGAACTGGGAGAGAATCATGGAATACATTTTCGAAAGATCTTTGCAATATAATTCCTGGCTTCCCTGGACATTAGGAAAACCTAACCCCCTCCTCAGATGCTTCCTCACACTAAACAGTAAAGTATCTGTAAGAACTAGTGTTCCCATGTGGGACCTTTACAGAAACCCAGTTTCAAGCAAGCACAATTACAGGCCTCAGTGGAACTACTGGTTCATGCACAGAATCCCAACCAGGTTGTGAACCTGCTGGAGGACTTGTATACTCACCATGGAACCACGACCTGGCTACATATAAACACTTCATATCAGAAGACCCCTTCCCACGGGTGTGCATACAACAGATGTACAGCAGAAATAGAATTCTGTGTGTGCTTGAAGAAGTTACAATGGGAAAAATACACACCCCTTCATCAGCACTGCTTGTCAGTTTGTTATCAAATGCCTGCTTTTAAAACTCAAAAACAACTATCAAAATTTTATTTCCTGGAGTGCCCCTAGAAAACTTCTTACCGTCCAAATCCAGTTAAGATATATGTGTTGTGTTTTGATTTAGTCCCAAGGAGCCTGTACATCCAAGCACTTAGCCTTTATAGCACCTGTAACCTAACCCACCAAATAGAGTCAGAAGCAATAAACGGAACACTGGATTTACCATGAGTGTTCCTTCTCCTTGGAGATGAGAGGGCATCCTGTGAAGGGTTACCTGAAAGTCACTGAAGGCAACTTAACAGAAATTCCTGTCCAGCACTTAAGGGAGGAATCCTCTCCCAAATCAGAGAAAAACAGTAAGACTTACAAAAACACTACAGAGCTACTAATTATACTATATATATATATATATATATATATGTATTATGGTACTCTTAGCTGATCTGAAACAGCAGGAAAGGGGCCATGCTCTCTCTTGGTCCTGAGGAGAGCACAGCAGAGCAGAGCAGAGCATCAATCTTAATGGGCAACGAATCCTATTTATCAGTGGCAGTAACATTTCCAAAACTGGAGGTGGGGAGAGGGAATAGATGTCCTCCAAGAAAAGGAACACTCACAGTAACTGCACTGTTCTGTTCACCTTTGGAGTGGAAGAACTGCCTGTGAAGAACTGCGCAACAATGCCCTTCCATCCCAAGTGGGACAGCTGCTCTGAACAAGAATATAACATACTTTGCAGGACTCTCCTGCTGAAAGAAGCACTTACAAAGTCAAATATATTGATTACATAATTATGAAAGTAGCAACCTCACAAATGTCCTCCAAGGAAACATTCACGTGATACCAACTATTGTGGCTTCTCTTCACATTGAATGGACCAAGCACCTTCCAGGACTGGAAGGCATCAAGACTCATACATGAGGCAGACATATTCACCAAATCAAGCTGACTTTGAAATATTTCTTGCTCTGAACAGAAGAGTGAAATATGACCAAAATACCCCATGAAAATCAAAACTCAGCTGCTACAGGTAATTGTATACACACAGAGTATGTGCTACTCATTCTATATTGGGTACAAGAAGTTTCAATAGGAGGTAAATCTCCTCTGTTTTCTGGAAGACAAACATTATTTCTGCCATAAATGATGGATCAATTTAAAGCACCACATTGTCCTTGCAGAAAAAGCATATGCTGAGTTGAACTGAAAGGACTCCAAGCTATGAAATTCATTCAGTGGATGTCACTGCCACCAGAAACACTACTTTGGCCAGGGAGTCATCAGGTTGAAAAAGCCTTAGTCACCTGCAATTTCTGTAATATCATCCTCAGAGTTTTTCCTGTCTGGGTTTAATGACATTTTCTCCTCACCAAAGTCCTAACCAATATCTGCCTCATCCTCCAAATGAGAGATGACTGTGTTGATACACTTGCATTTGGCTAGGACTAGAATCTCCTGAGTCCCAATGCTGTACTCTTAACCACTGCACTACACCGGCCTTCCTATGCATGTGTGCAGCGCACTGGAAAGGCATCAGAATCCAAGTGGTTTGTGGTCCAGGCTCAGGACTCTCCTGGGGCACAGTACGAAGTAGATTCTCAAGACCCCACAGGAAAATTTCAGAAAAACAACCATTCAACTGTCCTCATAAGGGCAGGATGAAAACTGAGGGAGGACCCCTTCCCCTATGTAAAATGGATATGCAATTAAGCCCTGCTTCTACAGACCAACAGGTGGAATAAGCCTCCACAAGATGCCTTCCCACTCCAAGGGAAAACTTAATAATCACATACAACAAAATAAAACTGTTACCCTGTAAGCTAGTTTAAACAACAGTTATATTTTACTTGTAGCTGTTTAGCTTGTTCCTGTTCACTTGTAACCATGTCATCAGTTTATTTACATTTCTGTTTATCATATTTAACTTCTAAAAATACTTTAAACATTCTGAACATTACCTCCAATCCAAAATCATGACAACTGTTCTTCAGAGGCCTAACAGATGGACAGTACCTATTAAGCCAGAGAACAGAACACTGGTACTTACCGAGAAGTTTTCTTCCGGATTGCTATGTGGAAAGCACCCCACAATTGTTCATTCCCTCTATTGCCCAGGAAAAGCAGGGACCCGTGTGACTGAGTTTTGCATATGCCATTGGTTTGAGGTTCTAATCTGATAGTTCCATTTATGGCAAAAGCTCAGTAAATGAGGAAGATAACATTTCTTTGGATCACAGATCAATTAATGACCACAGAAAACAAAAAAAATGTTAATATATAGAATATGAATTGAAGAAAACTTTAAGGAAAACCTTTAAAACGTTTGTGTTTCTGGCCAAAGACAACAGTATAACAAGATGCAGTTGGGATGCCTTCCACACACCAACTGAGAAAGAACCTTCTCAGTAAGTACCAATGTTCCATTCTCCAGGTTGGTGTGAGGAAAGCAGCCCACAATAGGGCATGCTAAACCTAAACCTCAAACAGGGAGAGAAATGTATAGGACTGCATATATGGTACTGCTATTATTGCTTCTGGGGTGCAGGTAGAACAAATAGCCAGAGTGAAATAGATGAACTATTCCACAGCCAGTTAGCTAGTCTGAAACACTGTACACCTGAGTGGAAGAGTGAAACCTCTGAAACAAAGTCTGGCTATTGTAGAAGGAGCTACAGTCTCTGCTGTGCTTCAACAAGCATCTCAAACATGGTTTTCTTGGTCAGAAAGGAGGTATTAGGTGACTGTCATGTGTTCCCCCACTCCTTCTGACAGAATTCTAGCTAACAGTAGAACTGAAAGGAAAGCACAGAGTATCTGCAGGTTTGGAGAATAGTGTTATTGTTTTTGTTTTGGCCAGTTAATGTTCAATGTGTCTATTCCTCTGGTTTGTGGAAATAGAATCTGGAAAAGAATAGTAGTAGTTTATGGTTGTACCTAGAGATGAACAGGTCCTGTCAGTGGACTACACTGACCCTGGGTTTCCTGGAAGACAGCAAGATATAGACTTCAGTGCTACCTGTTATTGGTTTAGGTAATCTGCAGTTCAATGCCCCTTTAATATGATGAGCTGAGATGGATATTAAGTTCTGCTCAAGTCATAACCCTATGGTCTGAATGTCTAGGTGGAGGGAGCAAGATTTTGTACCCCCTTGCTATATAATGTGCCCTTAAGAATAGTGTGCCCTTAAGAATGGTGTTGCCCATTCTTACTAGGATGTAAGAGTGAAGTAACTGGTATGAGAAGGATTTCATACCTAGACGAACTGCTCTGACCTGCATTTTTATTCTGCACTCCAGTTTTCTTAAGCTATTAAATAAAAGCAGCGGGCTCGCTATCCCTTGAGACCAGCATCACTAATCAGTTTGCCATTGTCTGGGCATGCCCACCTGTAGATGGAGATGTTACCCTCACTCAAGAATCTATGAGGTGTTGAGGGAGGTGGTCCTTCATCACCATTTAGCCTTGCAAGGATATCAGAAACTACTGCACAGCAATGGCACAATCTGGGCAATAGAAGTATGCAAAAACACAAGTTCAAATGCAGTAGAAGTGGTGTATGCATTTACTTGGTTATTCTCTGTTGTTATTTTTCTTGTTTGGTCTTGGAGTCTGATTACATTTTCTGAGATGAATATGAACCTCTTGGCAGTGTTCATTAGCATTCATAGATGAGGAAGGACTTGAGTGGGCGTCAGGTAACGTTTCTTCCTGTCTATGTTGAATCCATGACAACCTAGGTATTTGACCATTATTTTCAGGTCCTGTGAATTCTTGCCACTGGAGACAATTGGATGATAATGTATGGATGGATAACTATGAATAAACAACCACATCTTTTAGTTGAAGGTAGGTTACTAGCAACAGTATGATTTTGGTGAACAAGTTGAATGCCAAGGTTAAGTTAAATTACTTTGCTTTGTATTTTAAAAGTTTTGTAGTTTATTTCTACTGTATTTTGCAAAACCAAACTAAGCCATACCTCAAAGAGGGGAAAAAACCCATTGTCAACTGAAATATTACAGTTTCTTACGTAAGATTTTAAAAGGTCCACAACAGTAAATGGAATATAGACTGTATTTCCCTATGTATTAGGGAAAGATACTACTGTTGTTAAAAATAATTATGCACACACTTCAACAGGGGCAGTTCAACTATCCATATATTTACCCATTTGTAAATTATGCCTAAAGGAAATCCATTCAAAAATAGAAAGTTTCCTTAAATGGTTCCCCCACTGTACTTTTCCAGTGTTGCAGTATTAGTATTTTACATTCAAAAAGTGTGGAAAAAATCATTTATGTTAATCTTGTGTTAAATTGCAAGAGAGAAGTTAAAAAGGACATGCATATCATTAAAAATTAAAGAACTTTCCATCACAAAATTTATCCAAATTATTACCTCTTCCCAAAAGAAGTTGCCTTTGGGCATTACCAGAATATATGAAGGAGTATTGGAAGCATTACACCTCCAACGATTCACTGATTTAATTAAGCCCTTATCCAGAGCCACTGTGGTGTCCAGGATATTCAAAACATCAATTTTTGCTGTATTAAACATAGGAAAAGGTCCATTACCCCCATTCTGCAATAGGTAACAATGAAACCCTACATTGACTGGGCAACATAAGGTTCATTACTCCATTCTTTTGGTACCCTGTGCACCATAATTTTTCACCAATAATAAATATGTATAAATTGTAGGTCAATATAGCCGTTCTGCTCCAATCAATACTTCCAATAACACCAGCAGCAATGAAGCTGTAAAAGCAGCAGGACCAAGCTGGTTGTAAACCACCCTGAGACCTTTGTGATGTGATACTATAGAAAAGTTTTAAATATATATCCTAACAAATGTTTCAACTGCATATATTGCCATGAAACCATAGCTGGCAATTTATAATTAGCAAACAGTAGGAAACTGCAAAAAGTTATTAGCAGGGCTGAAAACCTGATCAAACATAAAAAATCAATCTGTCCATCATGGTCCACCAAACAAAAGTTTTCTTGGTAATCTTTAAATTTAGATGTCCTTGCAGTGGTAGAGGACATTATCTATTTTAGCATAAAATAAAAGATTGCCTCTTTTTGGGAAGAGGTGCCAAACATGAAAATTCCAGAAATGGCAGGTAAGAAGTATTTTCTCTCTAAGCAAAAAAGACAAAAATCTAGTGCATATCAACAAATAGGCCCCATGCTATCAGGAAAAATCGATTCTCACTGAGGTAAAGTTGCATCCTTTTGAAGGATATTTGTGATGGAATAGAACCCCATAAAAGTATATGAAACAAAACATGATATAAAGAAATAGCACTGAAAACATTAATAAGCCTATCACACAAACTTAGCTTTAAGGAAGCCCATCTGTCAATGACCCTTGAAATCTCATTAGTCAGCTTCCTTAAATTTAATTGTTTATGATACATGTCTAGGGACAAGTACCCCCAGACGAGTAATAAACTTAGCACAAAGTCTAAACAGCCAGTTAGTTAACACTCTAAGGGATATATTATCTTCAACAGACATCAGATCTAACTCTGATTAGTTAATAAGCAGATAAACATCCCAAATTATTAATAATCTAAATCAAAGCTGGAATAGATGACCAGAGTTTCAATTAAATGACACAAGATCATTAATATAAATAACTTTACATTCTGATATATTATGTACAAACCCATGAATATTAGGATTTTGTTTAATAGCATATACCAGATTCCAAACTTAACCCAAATATTGCTGTAAAGCACAAAAATGTTCTATAAAAAGATGAAATGGGGTTGTGCATAAACATCCCTGGGAGTTCTACTGATGCCAAAGATTCCACTTTGTGAAGTGCTTCCCTGATGGTCTGCAACATGAATCCCAAACTTTTTGGACCTGTGGGCACATTTGGGAATTTGAAAAATTTCTGTGGGCATTACCTCAAACATCTCAATAGCAACAAAAATTGTGTCTACTAGACATCACAATATCTCTTTAACATGGTATTATATAATGTGACTAATTGGTGCAATACAGCTAAGCTTGTTTAAGCACAAAAATTGCTAAAATCCAGTAGTCACTGCTTTCGAGGAAGAGATTCTTACATGGATATTTTGTACTGAAACAGTATTTAATATTCACTTATGTACGCATCCTTTTAAATTATTTGCTTCATGGAAATTAACAAATGCTCAATATAATTGGATTCCCCATGCCCTATGGATTGTACCCTTCATGACCTCAAGTCCCTGAATTTGGGGCTTACAAAGATCCAATGCATCAAAGGAAGACTTAAGCCCCTGCATTTTTTGGTTAGATGTTCTCTTGTACCTGTCTGGATTTTTTTTGGAGGAGAGAAGGAAGCTGGGGAGGCTTCAGAATAGTTTGCAAGGCTTCCCCATCTCTTCCCTTCCTTGTCTGCTGAAATGCTCTATTCCTCCCCGCTCCCCCACCCCCCTTCTCAAGGTTGCCTTCCACTCCAACTGTGAGGGGATCAGATCTCTGGTTATCTGCTCTGACATCAGTTCACCATTTCCAAAAATAGATTAGGGAACCTGAACTATCCTATGGCCCGTAGATGCTGTCTATGGGCAATAGGATTGCTCCCCAGAAGAATATCTCAATACTGGAAGGATAAATACTCAGCTTCCACAATGCAATGGATTAAGAACTTTATAATGCTTTCAATATTTGAATGGGTGGCATATAGTCACTACCTTCATATGGAAACTTATCTGCATAGTTGGCCTGCTAATTGAGGCCTATGTATAATTGCAAGAAAGCCATGTGTCTCTCACACAAATTCATGTTTGCCAATTATACACACACACACACACACACACACACAAATTAAACAGTTGTGTGGGCACCTACACATACCACACAGAAGACTGCTTTACAGACACCACTGGAAACGCTGATAGGCAACATGGCATTTGCAGGCACTGCATTGGAGGCCTGGACAGTATTGTAATCTGTCTGTACCTGACAAATTTCTTCAGTTGTTTGAGGTCCAGTATGGTTCTTCAGCCTTTGTCCTTTTAGGGGACCTTGTAGAAGATGGAATAAATGCCTTTGGATTGTTCTTGAAAAGGTTCTATCACTCCTGTTTGAAAAAGGTTCTGTGTTGTGGTTGACATTTTTTGATACTGGCTATTTCCAGATAATCTCTGGGCATTGACTCCAGAACTTAGCCATCTGATATTGTTACTATGCTAGGAAGAAGTGCTGACGTCTCCCTGCTACAATGGATTTCCTGGTGTCAAAACTGTTGTCATCCTGACTTGGAGAGCTGGAATGTGTAAGGTTGACGGAGTTAGAAGAGTTGGATTTTTAGATAGGAAGCAAGACCTGATCCTTTGAAAACCTGTCACTTTTGGATTGAAAAGAAGTCTGGTTAATACTCCTGAATAGACAAAAGGTACATAAGGTCTGACAGGAGGTTTTTTATCTTCCTTTTGAGAGGGCAAATGCATTACTTTTTACTTATCTTTGGTTCCTATGAGCATAAATGGAACAGCAGGCTACACTGCTGGCTGCTATGGAACACATGGTAAACTGGAAAGCGTGTTGTGTGGCATCATCCAGGTAGACAAAAGATTAGAGAGCTTAATAAGTCTTCTATATAAAGTGGTCTGCTTTAAGTCTTCGCTATTTATTAAGTCTTCAACCCACAAGGCAGATGCTCTTGTAAAATAAGATACTGCTGAAGTTCTTAGAGCTAAAGTTAATATTTCATATGCCTTCTTTAGGGGTGAATCAGACCTTTGTCTATAGTCTTTCATAAGAGTGTCCCCATCTTTGTGCATCATGGCACATAAAGACAAAGCCACCACAGGAGCATCAACTAAAAGGACTTGCAATTTTTCCATCTTCTCATGTCAGAGTATGTAACATCTTTGTGATGCTCCCTCCCTTTTTTCCATGTACAAGAGATTTCCACCCTTTATTAGTTTGTTAAAGGAACCTGGAAAGGATACTTGGGTTGTTGGCTTGGGACACATTGCTGCCATCTGGATAGTAAATGGTTTTTCTTGGATTGTGCTGGGTAAATAGTAAGGGGGAAAATTACTTTAGACAAAAAAATTTTATGTTGAAGAATCTGTCAAATGATGAGTTGTCTATAATTTCAGTGACTGACCATTCCTCCACTTTGCTTTTGGAAATGGCCTCCTGAAGTATGACAAGAGAAGAAACACTGTTTGCACAGGGCACAGCCTCAGCTGTCTGGGACCTATTAGCCTGACCTGTGTCTGAAGAGAATAGGTCAGGTAAATTCTGCTGAAAAATACTGACTACAAGTAAGGATACTTCATTTTGGTTTGGATTGTTTATTATTTTCACTCTTATTTTTAAGATTAGGATTAGGGAGGAGAGGACATGTGAACTTCTAGTATGATTTGGATCAAGGCTTGACCTCAAGGTTTCTTTCTTTAATAAATGATCAGTCAAATTATTTCAGTACTGCCTTATCGATCTCAACTAAAACCAATTCATTTAGTCATGCCTTATTATTAAGGGTGCTGGTTCTCTCTTGATCCCATATGAATAATGGAAGAGGTTGAAGGTCTTTGCTTGTGGGCTGAAATCAAACGCACTACGTAAAGTGGCTGCCCTTTTGTGTGTGAACGAGAGGCTGCGGGACAGAACCTTCTGATTCCACCCTTGCACTCAGAATATCTGGGCTTTCCATTAGAGCCTCTTCCAGTGTGTGTGTGTGTGTGTGTGTGTGTGTGTGTGTGTGTGTGTGTGTTTCATTGCTCTATTGCCTAATTAGGCAAAATTACTCTCTGGGCAGTTAAAAATAAATTATTATCATCTAGTTCAGGGCCCAACTTGTGATCTAGTATGGCTTCTGCAGTGTTGTGGGAGAGGCTGGCATGCCCTGACTCCTTCAAACTTCTGCCTATTCTTCTGTGACCTAAAAACACCTTTCCTGGTGTTTGTGAGACTCAGTGGGCAGCCAGAGCCAGCAAGCTAGAAAGCTCATGCCTGACTTTCATGAGTGCAGTTGGCCATCAACTTATCTGTTGATGGTTTCCTAATGATTCTCACAAAAGTCACTGTCTATAATATTTTTTCAGGACTTAAGTTGGTTTCCTTCACCAGGGAAGCCAAGAAGAGAGTAATAAGCAAATAGAGAAAAAGAAAAGTTGGCAGTGAATGTTTTTTAAAAATTTTCAGAAGAGATTGAAGATATTAATAAGAAAAAAGGATAGAAAAAATAAAGATATGGCTTGAGATAGATGAGAACTAGTTCTATCCTGGGAAAAAGCAAGAAAGAACTGGTAAAGAAGAACCTCAAACTGATAAAATACTCAAAACACATGCAGGCCGTGCAGGTCTCCGCTTTTCCTAGGTGATGCGAAAGTTAAGCATTGTGGGATGCCTTTGGCAAACCAACCTGGAGAATGATTTGCCTAAACTGGGCAGAATAAGATGCTGAGAATCTTGGTCTACTTTCTTTTCACATCAGACTTTTCACAACCCTCCAAGAGTTCCCAGATTTAGCTCTGCCTTTGATTTAGCGCCTGCCTCATCTCATATACCCTGGAGTAATGTTTCAAAGCAAATGCATGCACAAGTGTGCCTCAAGAGAATTTATGAAGGGTTGATCATGGTGGCACAAAGAGTCTGAAATCACAAGCTATTAGTAGGCCTTATAGCTGTTAAGGCTGGCTTTGTCATCATATCACTCTATTGATTCCAGTTGACTCCAATCACTCAAAGGGCTCCCTAAAAGCAATTTATTCCAGAGAATGCTCCTGTTCTTGAGGGTGAGAAATGAGAATTTTCCTGTGCTGCTATTTCACTGTGCTTGCTCAGAGAAGGCAAAGATGTTTCTCTTTTGCTCCATTCCATTTTTACCATGGGATGGGGAGACCCACACACATAAGCATGAATATGCACACACAAATATTTACTTTTGGAGTTGCCCACTGCCCAGTTTAAAATCAGTAATGTGCCCCAAGATCAAACATATCCCCTTCATCTAATTTAAGATATAAACATAGCGTCCTCCAGCTCAACAGGAAGGCTCACACAATCTATTATTTCTTCTGACTAATTCAAGTGACTTAACAGCACATTATTATAATATTCCTGATTGTCTAAGAAAAAAATATTATTGTAGAACAATGTTCAGAGAAGGAACATAAGAAAGAGAAGCAGAACAAAACATTTAAAATACCTGGTTTTCACTGTATGGGAACTGCCTGTTGGAATCTTTCTGCGTGGTTCTATTGCCCAGCACACTTCCAAAACTTCCAGAACCTTGGGAGGATTTTGCAGCTAAGAAAGAAAAAACACCATGAAGTTCTATTGCACATTTACATATTTGCTGCAGATTGTTTTTTTTTAATCTTGTAACTGTAAAATCATTTACTGTACACAAAACTGCTTTTATTTTAAGGAAATACGGAGGTCAGCTCTACATATGTCCTCTCCCCTAAACTAGTAAAAAGTTTTATACTAACCTGTATGAGCCCTATTTTGAATGGCCTCCAGATATAGCTTCATTTCATCTGCATCTTTGCAGGATATTTTATCCACAGTCAGGAAACTAGAATCCTTTAGTGATATCATCAAGCAGCACAATTTCCCTTTACTTGGTCGCACAAGCACTTTTTTAATATTATGGTTTAGCTAGAAAGAAAATAAAGGAGAAAAAAGTGTATAGTTTAATGGAAAGTTATGTGTTCAAGGAGTTCTTTCCTCTCAATGGTAATTTTAAAAGACTCTTTATTGATTACCTATGCCTGTTCATATGACTCCACATGTCTGATTATAAGCTCAAACTGCACTGTGATATTATGCTTAGCCTACTTAGCCCTTAAAAAAACCTAGTTATCTTGACTCATGTTTTGTATTCTTGCTATATTTGTGCAAAGTGAGCACACAATTAAGGATACTGATTATAATAAAGGATTACTAAATGAACATTCTTAGCTTCCATCTATGAAGTACTTCCAAACCACAATATATTCTAGCTTCTAGAATACAAAACCAGATGGACGTCTTTCTGGATTGGATATAAGCTAGTAGATACATGTAAAGGAAATACAGTGCAGCAGCAGACAGACTACAGTCCTATGCTTATTAGTTCATAATTAAATATTACTTTGTCCAATGGGGCTCATAGGTAAATATGATTAAAAATACAACAAGGTTATATTCTTGGGTACAAAATTCACCTATGTTTTGACAATATGGATAACAGCTTATCATGAGAACAATGTATACAGAGGCATGGGGATCTTACAGTGAACCTACACCACGGCACTACAATGAGGAGAAAGGCAAATAGAGCCAACAATAAAGCATTTATCATTCATGTTGCCATAAAGAGTAGCACCCCAATACTTTTCCAAGTTTTCTTTTCTACCAAAGTTTAAAGCTTTTCATAATTTCTATTTTGCTACACAAGAGCACTTAACAGTATACACCTGAATAATTCACAATAAATTATAGTAAAATCAGTATTTCAGAAAGAAAAAATAAGAATGAATCTCTGAAGAAAATTCAGGTAGAAGCTAAATGGACATGGAAGTAATTCATGAACTACTAAATTCAAGAGTAATTTATGAGCTACTAAAATTTAAAAGTCTTTTAAATTCTGAGATACCTGAAATATCTTTGGTATTCCTCCAGCACTGTAGTGAACCACCAGCGTCACTTTGCTGTCCTTATCCACAATTTCAAAAGACCCTTCTTTCCATTTTGTAGTCCCAGTTTGCATGCTGCGCATGCGAATAGACCCCCATAGTTTCACTGGAGTCATGTTTTCATACAAATAGTTTATGAAAGTAATGAAGTTTTAAACGCCAAGCCTGTTTAAAAAAAATGTATAAAAATTAGGAGCTATGCAATAAGCATCACCTTCAGTACTAAGTGACCATTTTAAATCAAATAACATATACATTGTCTTTCTAAAATATAAATATATACCCCCCCCCTCAAGTTGCTTAGGAAATGCTTCATGGATTCTACCAATTTGCGTTTCTCCATCAACAGAGAGTAATAGAGTCCTCCTCCTGCTGTGATCCCCAGATCTGCTCCAGTGGTTTGGGATTTTCTCTGAGGCAGATCTAGGTGCATGGAGAATTGCAAACAGAATAACAGAAAGTCCATACAAAGAAGACTGGATGTCACTCAGTTTTACTTATCTCTGAAAAGGTCCAAAGTAGGTAGCTCATTACAGACAATGAAAATTTATGGAATGCAATTGAGTTTTGAATGTACAGTGGTACCCTGGTTCACAAACTTAATCCGTTCCAGAACTCTGGTTGTGAGCCAAGTCAAATTTCTCCATAAGGTTCATTGTAAATAAGGTCAATCCATTTTATAACTATTTTTTTAATCAGAAAAATTTGAAGCAAAGTGACCAAGAACATCAAAGATCACAGCCATGTCTCCCCCCCCACCCCCCCAAGCAGGAATGTGGCCATCTTCCACCCCCCCACACACAGCACAAGCACAGCCATAGACAGGAGTGCTTGCAGGGGGAGACAGGTGCATTGGGGGGAGAGATGGGTGCGATCACAAGTGTGGTGATGGGGGGGAGAAAGCCAAAATCACAGGCGCGCTCATGCAGAAAAGATGGGCAGCCATCTCCCCCCCCCCCCCGAGAACACAACCACAATCGCGCCTGTCTTCCCTGCACGAGTGTGACTGCAATCATAGCCATCTCCCCACTCGGGGGGGGAGGGGGGATGTGACAATAGCGGTCACCACCCAATGTGAAGTTTGCGACCTGAGTCAAAATTTTTATGAAATTTTTGTTCACGACCCGATTTGGTCGTGAACTGAGGTGTTCGTGAGCCGAGATACCACTGTATCATCCAAATTTTGACCACAAGTTGAATTGGATGTGATGGATAAAGAAATCTTTTAAATGAATAGTTCAACTTAAGGAAGCCTAGGAACTCTTGCAATGTTACAATAAACTATGCAAAATCTAAACAGATTGTTAGCTTTCTAAACATAAATTTGTTTTGATGAAATGCACCAAGTTATTTATTCTTTTTCTTGCATTCCATTAATCTCAAGTTCAAGATTTCATCACACAGGGGAAGTCTGTATATCTATTAATTCCAAATACTGCAATAATTCCCACAGGATTTAAAAATACACTTCTGAACTACTAATAACACATACTTAAACTGAAATAAATTAAAATGACTTCTAAAACTGATGTGTGCTCTGTGTCTCTACCTAAATATATGATGCTGCAGAGCTCTTTTACTTTAAAAAGATTACTAATATGTTCTAATGTACTGTTATTAAGTTATGTCACTTTATTATGGCCTTTAAGCTGGGGCAGGCTGTAATGTACATAAATAAAACAATGCCAGGACAGAAAAAAATTCTAGCAGTTAGACTCATGATGGATAGACAAACAATCAGGAGTTTTCTAGCATATCATGCACATGAAGTGAAAAGTGGCATTGTTGTAACTGTTTAAGTAAATGGATGAATACAGAGAGGGTAAAAAGAACTACTTTAAAGGCAAGATTTAGGGTGCAGGGTGAGCAACTTATGTTATTCCAGATCTTGGATGGCAACTCCCATCAGCCCCAAACACCACAGCAAATAGAGTCATGGGAATTATAGGTCCAGATTGGCCATATGTGCTATAAACATTCACTTTGGAGTAAGTGTAATTGAATTAACTGTGACTTATTTCTGAGCTGACCTTTACAGTATCACAGTACAAAAATAAAGACAGCGTACTGTTGAACTGGGCACTCGAACTAATAGAAACTTTGTTATGCTAGCACAAGCAGCCTGTAGCGCAACATAAGTAGTGTTAGTAGTGTGTAACAGCATTAGCCAGAAAAATGGTCACACCAGCATTACACTAAAAAGTCCTTGAGTAATTTAATTCCTCTAGCAATGTAATTTACCTTAGCATTGGATACTGCCCACGGTAAAAGCCAAATTACAATATATGAGTAAAGCAGAGTACTGAACAAGTGTCAAAACCCTTGAATTCAAGAAGTGTTTTCCTTAATATTTTAAGAAATCCAAAATATTAATGTATAGCTGACCTAGATTATAATGGTTATTTAACATGCCTGTGATAGGAACATGCCTTATCTTTCATATTTAACTACAAACTACGTTTGATTATTTAATCCAAAGTCAATGAAATTACATCTAAGAACAGCCTACACTTAAAATCCTCCAAATTACATTTGAAGAATTTGAAACCAACTGTAATGTCCAAGTGTCTACATCTTAAGCACTCTTACCATATAAAAACGGTTATCTCCTATTTATGCTAATTTCCCAGAAAGCAATGAAAAACTTATTTAAGAGGATGTTTCTTGAAATACTAGCTAATTCATGGAGGCCTGTTAGTAAGCTTTTCAAACATATGCATTAGTAAAGCATGCTAAAATATTTTTTTGAAAATATTTGAGTTACAGCCTCCAACTATTTCCATACTTCAACAATAACTTTATCAGCTTACACTGCACTTGTTAATTTTTAACAGACCAATCATCTATAGTAAATGTATCTGAGCCCACCAGTTTCAAAGTTTTAAAATGCTTCTCCCTCTGCACAGGATTTGGCTGCAAGAGTGCAATGCTCTGGATGGAAAGTCTGATCTGCCCATATTACACTTTTTAAGCTTTTTCACAAAACACTTTTTACAATCAGCTTTCATTCTAAAAATTCTATATAAACCATAGAACAGCAAAAGCACCTAGCGTAAATCTTCTTATGCAGCCAATTAAGGAAAATGTGCAGCCCACATTTTAACATAAACAAGAGATACTTCAATTTTCAGTCAGATATCTAGGAAACAGGTACCTCTGTAGTTCCACATAGATCATATCCTGCAATGGTTTTGGGCACACAGTTTGCCTGTAAATAATGTCTGCAGGGTAGGTTTTCAACACCTGCATTACTATCTCTACAAAGGCATGAGTTCAAAGACAATCTTGCATGAAAGTGATGAAGAAGCCCTAAATACAAATCCGTGTCTTATTATTCCTTCACCAAATTCCCTCACCAGTTCTGTTGCACTGGTTAACATTTTAGGTAAAACCAACAGGATCAGTCTCCTTCAGACTGCACAGCATGTATTATACTGACTTACTATAAAAACCAAAATTTTTGCTACTCTGCTGCAAGCAAACTTCTAATTGATAAGACAAAGTTAAATCCAGAGAGCCCAACAATACAATCCTACACATATTTCCTCAAACAACGAGCTTACTGCACAGTATATTGCCTAAATATCAGATAAGAGATTAGCATAATCTCTTCCCAAACAAATTTTAAGAGCACAAAGCAATTAGTTTGAAGGAAGGTACCAAGTGCCACTTTTTATACCGGTCCTAAACCTACCTGTATCCGAACAGAATGTAGAGAGAGATTAAGTGGCCACAGTTCCACCTCCAAGCCCGGAAAAGAAGCTTCGTTTGCCTCATTTCCACATGCCAGGCTAATGTTACAGAAGGCATAATCGGAACGCCAGTAAGTTGGCAACTCTAGCAGTCTAGAGTTAGGGCGCGACCAGGAAGGAGGTTAACCTGGGGGGAAACGGGCCGCGGCTAGGGAAAGATTCAGGTGCAGATTTGAACCAGCCGCGGAGGGTCTGAGGGAACCGGTGGACTGAGGGATCCAGCTAAGGTCACGGCTGTGAGGTGATGGCGAGCGTCTCCCCGCCATACCGACAAATATCAAGAGACCCTCCTCTATCGTCACATTAACCGCTCAACAATCGCCCTTAATATTGTCTCCTCGGCCCACCCGGTCCCGCGTGTACGAAAAGAACTCTCTCACGGAAAGTTAGTCAGTCACCCCTTCAACCCACTCTTGAAAAACACCGGCACTGCCCGGCCACTCACTAATGTCGACGGCGGCAGCGGCTTTCCTTTTCTCCAGCTTCTCCACAGACCGGTCCTTCCTCCTGCCGCCGCCGCCGCCGCCGCTTTTCTTGCTCTACGTTCGAAGGTAATCTGCCCTTTATTTCCACAACGCGCCGGTCTGGCTTGGCCAAATCCAGCCCGGCCTCCGCTTAGCTTAGTGAAAAAGGCAGATGGCGGGAACCTGATCGGCCGCGCGACCGTCCGACTGACGCAACCACGCACGACCCAAAAAAAATTGATAAAAACAACCGCGCAAGGAGATAGAACGAGAGACCTCTACGTCATCACGGCGACGGCTGGCTCGTTCTCTCATTCGTAGCCATCTACAGCGAATGAAGCAACTTTACTCGAGACTGTAGTTAGCGCGCGAGGCCAAGTGACGACGGTCGCACCTCTGCGCACGCGCAATTGGAGAGCGCTCGGAGGGGTTACTATTTACGTTGCGCTCCTTACTACGCATGCGTCCACGGATTCTCCTCGGGCCTACTGCTGATGCCCAGAGAGAGGTCAGGGGTCACGGCAGTGGCAGGAGTAAAGACAGCAGCAGGGCTAGGAGGAGGAAGAGGCGGTGACTTCTGCTCAGATCCATGATGGCGGCGACTGAGGTAGAAGCGGCCTCCTGAGCTTTGGTAAAGAACTTCCGACCATGCACAGCTTGGCGACTGCCGCGGTAAGGCCAGGCCGGGCCTGAGGCCGTTTGCCAATTCCCGACCGGGGGCGGGGGGGACGAGGAACCTGGTTGAGGCGCATGGAAGGCTCTCTCTCAGCTCATTGGTCGACGAGATTAGAGGGGGGGTCAGAGAACGGAGCGGCGCTCTTTTCCCGCCAAACTGCCCTCCTTAAAAAGCGCTCGTCCTTTAACGCGCCCACCTTCCCTCCCCCGATCCCGAGGCGGGTTCTGTCGTATGTCCTGCGGGGGAAGTAACTGGGGTGCGCGCGCGCACAGGCGTCTTATATCGAATATGTGCGCTTGTGTGGAACTGGAGACGCTTGTGTACCTTTCGCATATGTTAATATAGGTCCGTAATCCCCAGCTGCTTAATGCTGATACGTAAAAACTTGGCTCGGGAGATTGGTGGTTTCCATAAAAGCTTGCGAATTGATGTCTGATGTTTATCCGTGTCTTCAGTTTGCATATGCAGATTTATGGAGACAAACTTGGATCGAGCCTTTTGATCATTTGATCACTGTCATTCAAGTGCCTCCCGCCAAGGCATTTATCAGCCTTCTAGGATGTCAAGCCTGAATTAATGTATTGTTTATATAGCAGGGATTGCTTTTTCTTAAACTCTTTTTTGTATGCTTGTTCCTAAACGTGTTTACATGAGAGTAAGTCACACTGAATTGAATGAGTGTTACTTTTTGGAACGTTTAAAATTGCAGCTGTAATTTGTTTGACAGCATGAAACTTCCATGCCAGTACTTGTTAACAAATTAAGTAAACAGCAGTTTGGGCCAGAAGCACAATTTATAACCAGGGATGAAAATGGAAGTATAAATAATTTAGATACAAAAAGTAATAGTAACAGAAAAGATGGCCTGGGGTACAAGCATTTTCACAAGGGTCACTGTAGAAGATACCACTTCCCCAGTAAGAATCCAATTCTCCTCTACTTCAGCTTAACAGAGCTTGAATCTTTCATTTACTGTTCAAGTCTGAAATCAACCAAGCATGTGAATGAACCACTGTCCTCCAAACTATTCTGCAGGCCACAAATGCTCATGATTCTAAAGTTTGTGGGTGGGCTAATAAAAGCCAAGCGGGAATAGGACATTCATGGATTAACAGGAAACCATGTATTACTTCAGTATTGAGGGTCCTTTGATGAAGGTGGATCGTCTGAAATCTACTAGTATGCTTGAATGGTGAAGTTCATCAGCAAAGCTATATGGTTAAAGAACAGGGTACAACAGTAAAAAAAGTTTTCCACATGCAGACCATCTTGATTTATTCATTGATTGATTTATTAGATTTATATCTCAATTTTTCCTTACATTTCCTTACAACAAACTCAAAGTGGCTTACATATTTCTCCAGATGCTCTCAATCTTATCACCACAACAACCTGTGAGGTAGGCTGAGCTGAGATTCTGTGACTGACCCAAAATCACCCAGTTGACTCCATAGCTGAACAGGGACTAGAACCCACATCACCTGAGAGCCTAGTCTGATGCTAACCAGCCTTCCCCAACCTTTTGTCTTCCAAACATGTTTTGACTGCAACACTCAACATTCCCAGTCAATGGCCCTGCTAGATGGGAATTCTGGGAGTTGCAGTGCAAATGGTTCTGAAGGCTACCAGGTTGGGGAAGGCTTCTCTTAACTGTTGCACCACACTGGCTTGCAAACTTAGGTGGCTCTTACCAAAACTTGAAGATAAATCCAGAAGTAGCTCAACCCTAAAGGCTGTCCAACCCTGGCTTAGATATAAAAATGAGAGTGAGTGGTGCTTTCCAGTGGTAAATATCTAGATATATGTTTACAAAATAGCAACTTACAGGAAGCTACATTTGTAGGGTTGTAGGCAGGACTAGGGATGCCTACTAGCAAAGAAAATGATCTCTCTCTATATGCAGAGGAACCAGACACCATATTCTCTGCTTTGTCTATGTAAGTTGAACTAAGAACTAAAACCACATAATATGAAATAGCAGAAAGGTTTTTTAGTGGTCTACAATCTCTGTCAGGCAGGGTGCCTTCTAACTGAAAGTAGCTGGAAAGGGATTTTCCTGTTCTGAAATGTTTGCTATTCCACGTATGATAAATAAAAAAGGTATGCTTCCATATAATCCTTACACAAAATGGACATTGAAATGGGGTTGAGGGGAAAAATCCAATGTGTTTTCTCTTTGTCCATGTGCTTTCTCCCAGGATGTTTGAGGCTGAGCATTGATAAATAGGCTTTGGATTTATATTGTGATTTCATTTGCCGAAAGCCACTTTGTGAGAGGTTGGTCCTAAAATGCAACCTAAAAGTATATTTAATAATACCAGTATTCCAAAATTAGTAATACTGCCTGCTAGGTAGACTGTTGTAAACATTTGTAACCTAGGTTATCCTCTCTGATTGGTAGACCAGTCCAAAGTGGATTTGGGAAGAACAAAATGGAGGTTAATCTGCCATATCCCAAACGATGCCTGCTTATAGCAGTAAGCATAGAAGCTGAAAGGGCAAGTTTCTTGGGTGTTTTAGCTTGGCAAAAGTTTCACTTTTGGAAACCTACTCCTAAAATAGAGAAATTTGCTACGGCAACTCCAATCTGAAGGCCTCTTGACGGAAAGGAGAATGCAAAGGCACCCCACAGCAATCCATTTTGGGACATTACTAGTGGTAGATCTATATATGTCTAGCTTTCTGTGATTAAAATCAGGGCCTCAGGGCAGGTATGCTCCCACTCCAGCCAACACATCTGAAGCTCAGGACTGAATGGCTTCAGTTTAAAAAATGGATGAAACTGATGATACAAAGAACATGGGGCTGCTTCCAAAAACTCCAGCCTTATGTCAAGTTCTACCTAGTCTATGGTGAAGCAAAAGCATGGTATAACCATGTCATATATTTCATTTTTCCTGCTTATTAACAGCTGTAGCAAGGGAACAAGAAAACACAGAACATTATATATTGCCCTGATTTCATACTGCAAAGGGGGTTAAGGAGAATGTTGCACAGACTTTCTGGCTTTGGTCACAATCCAATTTTATCATGTCTAGTTCTGTTTTTATAGTGTATTTCAATATAACAATATGTGCAAGTACCACTTATTAGGAATACTACTATATTTCTTCTTTGTGTTATACAGTAGACTCTTGACTATCCAGCTTGTGACTATCTGGCCTCCGTACTATCCGGCCTAGTTAAAAAATAACTATCAATGAACAGTAAAATAAGTTTAAATAATTTTTGTAAGAATTAATCCTATGTTTTACATTAATGTTTTGTTTGTTTTAAAAGTGTATGTATTCATACTGTACAGTGTACGTGATTTTATATTTCCTGCAATTAAGTTACACATTATAAAATTTATCTTAAAATGTGTACAATATTTTTATCCTTGGACTTCCTTTTTCTGTAATATTTTGAAATGTACAGTACATAACAAACATTTATAAAGTACTGGCCTGTACTAAGAAGTCAGAAAATATGAATAAGAGCGGGTTTTGGTATAAAAAGGATGTTTTTAATGGTATGGGTGGGGTAGGAAGTGAGCATTTATAGAACTCCGGCCTATCCAGCAGAACTCTGCCCTTCCACCACATCAGGCCGGATAGTTGGGAGTCTACTGTACTTAGAAAAACTTTAAACGAACCTGCTAAGATTGTGAATAACTGATTATCCAAACTTATTCTGGTATGCATAATGTATGCATTCATTTTTAAGTTTGTACTTGGAAGTTCTTGAACTGTGGATATTTAATACATACGGTAAGTACTGATATAGCACAGCCTTTGCCCTGAAAAAGTGATTTAAATAAACTGCCCATTTACTCAGAAAATTATGAAAAGAAAATAGTAATTTTCATAGGCAGGTATCTTTTTGTATAATGAAACCAAGTGAATCAGTAGATGACAGTTTGCACCTACAAACGTCTAACTTACAAAGGCAGTGCTTTGAATAAAAATAGCAATTACTCTGGAAAAAAGCTTCCACAGTTTTTTTTAAACAATGTAAAGGTTTTAAATAAATAAAAACATGCAATTTCTAAATACAATTGGGAAATAGGAGTCATAGCTTCTGCTAATTCCTTTATCTTGCATTAGTCTACTGTCTACTGTTTTTCAGTTGTTCATGCTCTAGTAAAGTTCATCTTCAGGCACTTTTTTGTTTGTTTATTATCATAGTTGACCTTAAGATGTTTTCAGTCTTGCTTCTCTGTCCCTTTTCTCTACCCTCAAGTTTGTTGAACCTGTTTTGTTTTGAGTGGGAGCCAACTAATGAACTCTGTGTGTGTGTGTGTGTGTGTGTGTGTGTGTGTGTGTGTGTGAGAGAGAGAGAGAGAGAGAGAGAGAGAGAGAGAGAGAGAGAGAGAGAGAACAGCAGATCCAAGCAACTCTAAAACAGAGCCCCAAAATAAGAGAGTGTCAGCTAGCTAGCAATCCAGCACTCAGAATTTCTTTCACTGCAAAAGCTCTGAGCTCTGGCCTACCACTGAATGTAGTGATTGAAGTTTTTTTTTTTTCAGTAGTCCTTTTTCAATTTTCTTGAAGCAACTTTTCGCAGCCCTCCGGATGTTTTGGACTAAAACTTCCCTCCTCCCCTACCATTGGTCATTCTACCTGGGGCTCTGTTCTACAATGTAAAACTGGTTTGTAATCTGCCTCAGCTTCACTCATTTTTTTAAATTTTGGAATAATGGAAAGGCTGCTCCTGCCATCTCCCCATCATTAACCAATTAATCTTGTGGAGAAGCAAAAGTTGGCTCTCACCTAACAGCCACAGGCTATCCTATCAGGTGATGATGCACAAATTGGCTACCCAAGCAGGATACAAGAAGTATAAATACTGAGCCTATACAGATAGGCAATCTTTGGGTCCAGGCACAGGTTGGATCGATGCCACTGAAGAGTAAATTCAAATGGCAATATATCTTTTTTACCCCACATTAGCTGCAGCAGTGTGGTAGGTAGGGATATTTGTCTGTACATGGCCACTAAAGCTATGCAATCTAACTTCTAATTTGTTATTTAATTTAGGCCCTGTCGGAAGCTTCATTTTTGTCTGCTATTATATATTTCCTCTTCAATGCTGCCATTGTGTCCAAATGAAGACAATACTGGGTCCAGAACAAGCATATATATTTACTCAGGCTAAATATTCTTGATTGTCCTTAATTGTTTTTGCGTGTACTTTAAAAATGTTTTGTATTGTATTTTGAAGGTTTTTATCTTTTGTAACCATCCAGAGAGCTTAGGCTATAGAACAGTGTAGAAATGTAAAAATAAAAATACTATCTAGAAACAATCCCCATTAAAATGAGACTTCATGCCATCTATTTTTACTTGAAAGTGTCTATTACTTGCTCTTGAAGTTTTATGTGAACAACTATTGGTTTATCTCTGACCGGCAAACTTTATTCAATTTCCTTTCTCATTTTAAAGCCTGTGCCAACGGCACTGGCTCAGGTTGATCGAGAGAAGATTTATCAGTGGATCAATGAACTTTCTAGCCCTGAGACTCGTGAGAACGCACTGCTGGAATTAAGTAAAAAGCGAGAGTCTGTCCCTGATCTTGCCCCAATGCTTTGGCACTCCTTCGGCACAATTGCAGCTCTCTTACAGGTAGGTAGAATGTCTCTTCTGCCTAAAATAACATGCTAAGCTATCTGATGAACAATTTATTTGGCATCTTGCTGTATATCTAAATTATTTTCAGTTCAATCCTATAGTTATATGTTCAAAATTTAATTTTAATTTAATTTAATTGGACTTAACTCCTGGGCAAGTATGTATAGGTTTACAGTTTTAGGAGCTTGCTGTTTTTTCTCCTAGCCCTTATGACGGCAAAAGAAGAAGGGGACGGCAGAGAATGAGGTGGCTAGATGGAGTCACTGAAGCAGTCGGTGTGAGCTTCAGTTGACTCTGGGGGATGGTGGAGGACAAGAAGGCCTGGAGGAGTGTTGTCCATGGGGTTGCAGTGGGCCGGACGTGACTTCACAACTAGCAAGCAAGCAATTAGTGGGAGTGTTTGACAGTTCTTGGACATTGGACTAATGAAGTGGGGAAGCATTTTCACCTAAATATTTTCTATTTTCTATTTTCCATAGGAGATTGTAAATATCTACCCATCTATAAATCCACCAACTTTGACAGCTCATCAGTCCAACAGAGTCTGCAATGCTCTAGCACTTCTACAGTGTGTTGCGTCACATCCAGAAACCAGGTTTTTATGCTCTGTATATTGATTCTCTTGGGGGGGGGGAACTTACAATAAAACCCTTGTATCTACTGTTTCAGTTACCACGATTACATTTAACTGTGGTTGACCATGTTCCAAAAAAGACGCCCTGCACTGGAGTGTGGCCTGTTCTGGGGGAGCTTCTCCTGCATTGCATTGCAAGCCTCATGTGTGGCCTCATGCCTGGTCCTGAGTTCAGACTCCCCCATGCTTGCCAGCAGGGCAGGCACACTATTCTGGGCCAGCTGCAGTGGTGGGCAGGAAGGAGAGTGTTCCCCATGCAGTTGTCTGTTCCCGCTCACCCAACCCTCCCACACCCATCCACAGTGCAGTAGGCCGCAAAATTCCAAGAGTGTTCACCACTGTCCCGGGTTTCAGGCATCCACTGGGGAGCAACTTGGAACTGATCCCCTGCAAATATGGGAGTCCCTTTGTATTTTGTTAGGTTTATGGCTGGACAGGGGAAAAGTTGCCATCAAGCATCTTGCCTGCAGTTAGTTGCATGTTGTTTGCACTACAATTAACAGTTAAAAAAAGCAACCCAGATCAGGACTGCATGTTTAGCTGCCCCCATCTGGAAAGCTGATCCAATCCATATGCATATGTGCCACTTGTGCTGAAAATATGTCTAAGTTCCTCTTATAAAAGGCGCTAACCACAGAGCAAATAACTGCTCATCTAGAAAGCAAGTAATTACCAGAGTGTCAGGTTGGGACTCAAGAGATCTGGGTTGTCCATGAAATTCATTGGTGCTTTTGGGCCAGTTATCGAATTAGTGCCTGACATAATTCACAGGTTTGTTGTGGGGAGAAAAATGGAGAGGAGGCAGAAGCTCTTGTAAGCTGCCTTAGGATCCTTGCAAAAGGTAGAGAGGCTGGGATGTATTGTAGCAATAATAATGAAAATAAAAACTAGCTCCACGCAAGCAGTGGAGAGTCTGGGTTCTTAATCAGCAAGTGCTTGTCCTACATGGCAAGCCATGCTAGAAAGTTGGGCAAACTTTAATGTGGAATACTGTTGCATTGTTTTTAAAGATAAAACTTACATTGGGTATGTTTTCAAGAGAAATCTAGATGGTGACTAATTTGTACAGATAGGATGTATTGTAGGCTACCTTAGTAAATAATAGTTATCTTGTTAATTAAGGTATCAGTAGGAAAGCTAGTTATATAGATACATTTTCTCCTAAAATCGTTGTTCCTGGAGGTAAGATCTCAGTGCCAATGTAGATTGCTGGAAAGGTGAGAGAACAAAACTGAGTTTCTTAGCCACCACAAAATAATTCTTTGTCCAGCACAGCTGAGTATAATGTGAGTTGTAGCCTGGTGCTCTTGAGCATGTGTGGAGAAACTTCTTTAGCCAAGAGCAGCACTCCCTCCAGAGAGTTGCATGTTGGTGGTGGATGAAGCCGAGACAAAAAGTGGGTGGGGCATCCCTTTGGCTAACTGCTTTCTCTCTATCTCTTCCCCACATCCATTTTCAGTGTCCCCCATTCCTGCACGTAAGATCTGCCCTGCAGCACCATAATGCAATGATTAGGCTAGAAAAAGCCTCTTGTTAGAGTTCGTTGGGAGTCTTATTCAAGCCTAGCTGCTGCATGAAGGGATGTACAAAGAGATGCACAAAGATTGTATTCCTATTGTGGCATTTAAGCTTGAGAGAAAACCTTAAAGCTTAATTATCACATCTGGTTGAGAAATGGAAGCCACAGGCTGGAACAGAAGTCTTCACACATCAGCAGTTTTGTACCCATGCTGTATTGCTTGGTAGTTGGCTTACGTGATAAAACAATGGTATCACTGATGCAAGTTATATAACATATTGACCTGGTTCACACAACATGACCAGGTCATTGTGGGTTATTTAACTAGTGGCATGTGCTGTTTTCAATACTGAATGTCCAGTCAGAGCAATTGGGCTGTGCGGTGTCATGCAAACTTGGACATCATGGGTTATTTGAGGGTTAAGTAACTCTCATATAATCTCATATGATTACCAGTCATAGTTTACAGCATTTGCCATTTAAACAAAAAGACATCTCTGCTCCACTGAGCATACAGTTGAAAGTTTGACCAGAATGGAAGAGTGGTTGACAAAACAGCCTGTACAGGTGAGAGTAATTGAAGAGACAAATGGACAAGGGGTTGTAATTGTGCGCACATGTAATGATATATGATCTTGTTCATTTTGGTTGGATTGAGGCTTGAAGGATTAAGACAAAGCGATTGATTGATTGATTGATTGATTATGGCTTTTCTATACTGCCAATTATTCAAAAGTATCTCAAGATGGTTTGCAGGGATGAAAACCTCAGATATTTAAAAACTTCAAAGCAATTAAAAATTCTGCAGTGCCAGTGCTTTATATTAAAGTACAACTTAAAAACACTATCTAACAGTTAGTTAGCCTGGCACCAGAATGAATAAAGTATTGATACCAGGCACACTTATCTGGGAAGCAGATTCCATTGCTGGAGTGCTATGGCAGAAAAGGCCCTTCTTGTAATGGCCCTCCTTACATCTTTCAAGGAGACTCTCAGAAAAGGACCTCTGCAAGTGATCTTAAGGTCCAGGCAGGCTCATATGAAAAGAGGTTGTCTTTTTGATACCCAGGCATAGATTATGGGTGGATTCTCACATAATACCAACTCACTGTGGCAAGTTGCCACAATTGGTTCTGCAAAATACTCACTATGAGCCTGGCAGATAGGCAGGCTCATTGTGGACAGTTTGCTTCCCCTTGCGGGTGATCTTACACACCATTCCTTACAAGTTCCTCATCTTTTCTCTCCTCCTTACCATTTAGTCCACATCTGAGAACTTTTGGCTTTTGTCTCAAGCCTCTAGAGCCTTATAAAAGGCTAAAAGTACATTCCTCCTCCCCACAATCTTTTCAGGAGAAATCATGCTTGACGGTCATCTGTCAAATGCTAGAGCCCTTTATAAGAATGGGTGGAGCTGTTTATGTGAGTAAGGGTAATGATCGTTGCTTGCTTTTGTCATGTAAGTGATTCAGAATGTGGTCTGTGAAGACTTGGTTAGAATTAACATAAATGCAACAAGTTGAAGTTCCAGACAAGGAATATGTCAGTCAGTATGAATTTCTGTCTTCTTTCCCAGTTATTGGGCATTTTTTCCTTTGCTACCCAGGGCTTGATACTTACGTTATTTCTCCTGCATTGATCTGAGTGTATCAGAGATATTTGCTGCCTCAATGTATTGAGTGTTAATGTAATGACTTAGGGCCTTGTTTCCTGAAGGAGTGTCTCCTTCTATATGTGCCTGTCTGCCCTCCCTGAAGGAGATTAGGAGGGTGACTACCTGGAGAAGGGGTTTCTCTGCGGTGGCACCCCAATTGTGGAATTTGCTCCCCAGAGAGCTTCGCCTGGCACCATCACTTTATTGTTTTCGGTGCCAGGCCAAAACCTCCTTATTTTCCCAATGTCTCAAGACCTGACTGTTTTAATTGGAGTTTTAGTATTAGCTAAATTTTAGGACACTGTGTTTTAATTTTTTTTCTTACATTTTGTATTGTTAAACCATCTTGAGACTTTGGTAATGGGACAGTCTACAAAAGTTTTAAATAAATAAAGTCCACATACACATTTAACAGCACTAAGATTACATTAGAAGATTATGTCTTTTCACAGTTTGCTCATTTGCCAATGTTTCTTTTTTCGCATTGTCTAGGTCAGCCTTCCTCGCGGCTCACATCCCTCTCTTCTTATATCCCTTCTTGCACACTGTCAGCAAGACTCGTCCCTTTGAGTATCTACGACTCACAAGTCTTGGAGTAATTGGTAAGCATCTATTCTAATGGTGGGGATGATAAGGTCTCACTTTTGAGAAATGGTGGATGGTTTGACTTTACCAGTTAAAGGGTCATTAAAAAGAACACTGTCCTGATCTGATATGAGCTCTGCAACTTGTGTGTTGTGAAAGAATTTTAACATTAAGTAACTATCAGTGCTAGAAAGAACTTGCTTCTGAGAATGATGTATGATGGAAGTAAAATATTAGACATGAACATAGCATCAAGATTGAATGAAGGGTCAGTCACAAGTTTCTGATGCCATTCCTAAGCTTCCTGATTCTTTCTTCCAGTTTGCCTCTTTATTTTTTAATTAATAAGAACAAAATGGAAGTGTTAAGATTTGAGGATCCTGGCATGCTGAAGAAGCTGCAGTTGAGAATTATTCTGTGGACCTTAAAAGTCCAGTATGCAACTTAAAAGTGCTTATAGTGGCCATGGGCCATATGTGACATAATTTATTTTTTAAACTCTGTGTAATATGTGCCTGGCACGTTCTGTAAAGCTTAAGGGTCTTACATCTGTAATGTCAAGGACCAATTATTATAATATACTTTCTGCTGGATTAGCCTTGATAACTGGTGTGCCACGCCACTGATAGCCTTTTCTATTGATAGGAAGTAGGAAATGCACAGCCACTGCAAAAGCAGCTGCATTGGTTCCTAGGTAGCTTCTAGGCCAAGTTCATTGACCTAAGTCATAGAAGACTTTACAGAACCCTTATGCCTTAGGGCAGTGACAGCTAACCTTTTAGAGACCGAGTGCCCAAACTGCAACCCAAAACTCACTTATTTATCGCAAAGTGCCAACACTGCAATAAAACCTGAATACTGAGGTTTTAGTTTAGAAAATTTACATCTTTTGCCTTAAAAGAAAAACACAATAACAGAGCTTTCAATGATACAAACAGCTTTTTATTGAAAGGTAAAAGTTTGTATTTGGTGTGCTTTTGCACAATTAATGTGAACTTTGCTGTTGTATGTATGCTGATAATTTGTCAAACCTTGGCTCATACTTCATTAGTTTGAGAGCAACACATGCAGGTCATCTGTTAGTCTGTTTCTTGTATCATAGAAACAGAGCAAGTCAGAAGGGTCCTCCTGGGCCATCTAGTCTGACCCCCGGCTCCGCTCACAACATGCCCACCATCAGATTTGATATAATTTGTTAATAAAAATGAATGTATTAAAACTCACAGCCAGTCCAAGCAAATACATATATCCTTGGCAGCGCACTGACCAGCCATGCGAAAGCTTGGACAAGGCACAGCTAATGAGTCGCAGCTCGTGACATCATCACTTGGTGCTGCTACTCCTTTCCAAGCATGCGCATGGCACCTATGTGCACTGTTATCTGATGATCGGTTACTGGGGTGATCAGCTGGGGCGACTTGGCTTGCATGTCAACAGAGAGGGCTCTGCATGCCCACTGCAGCATGCGTGCCATAGGTTCACCACCACTGCCTTAGGGAATTCTGGTCTTTTTATGGTGTTTCCTGTCCTTTGAGAAATCAGCTTTAAAAGCAAATCTGTAATGGGCCATAGCAGGTTCTTTCCAAAGACAGTTGAAGACAATGCTGAATCTGAAGCATCTCTGTACAGTAATGGGTAAACTAATGCACTAAAAATGCTGAGTATCTTACATTCTGTAGCTTGGAATATACAAGCTTCAGATAGTTCATTGGCAAAGAGATGAAACCAGGCAGAGGAGGAACGGGTGAAAATGTTACTGTTTCTATCCCTTTGTATTTAAATTTCTGGATCCTTCTGTATCTAGTCAGTTTCCATTCCATTCCAATCCAATCCTTCTCTACATAAAGGTTGACTCACTAAATAAAAATTGAACAGGAAGGTTGCCATTAGTTTATGTTAAATGACCAGAATGCCATCTGGTCATTTATTTATGCATGAACAAATATTTGTGCATAACTAGACTGTTCTGTTGGCTTTTTTTTTATGAAGTTTTAGTTTACTGGTTTTCTGTTAGGTCTGCTTGATTTTTCTACTTCTTTTTGGTCTTTGTCAAGTTATAAGAAGCTATTCTTTATTGGTTTTGCTTGTGTTTTTAAAGGGGCGCTAGTGAAGACAGATGAGCAAGAAGTAATCAACTTCTTACTGACGACAGAAATTATCCCTTTATGCTTACGCATCATGGAGTCGGGCAGTGAACTTTCCAAAACGGTATTGCTTTTAGTCTAATGAATTGATTCTAGCTTCTTGGCTGCTTTCTCTTTCTTTCCAGTGCATCATGTTCCTGTGTGCAGCAGACCTGTTCTCCATCCACACTTAGTTGGCTTTTTCTCTCTGGGGAGTGATTGCAGATGCACCTGCTTCAGATTGTCATGATTCAGCACCTCCTTTCAAGCCACTGCTTTGCGAGTAAAATGAAATAATGAATCTCTATTTCCTTTTTGTACTGTTTCTCATTCAGGATGCTTTTTATGTTCACTTTGCCTGAACATCTGAGTGGTATAGCACACTTCAAACAAATTATCCCCTCAACACAAATTCAAAAAGGACCAATTATTACTTGGCAGAGACCTATTATAAGTTATGTGAAAAGCCTGCAGATCCTGGGCCATATCTTGGTCAGTTTAGGCAACATATATCTTACATATTTGTTACTTTTTATTTTGTCTATTAATTTTGGCTAGCAAATGTTCTGCCACCATTTGTTGACATAGTTGACACTAGTTTCCACCTATCAGCTGGACCCATTAAGCTTTATTTACTGCCTATCTGTGCAGCCAGGACAAATACTTTATTTGAATTGATTTATTTTATTTCTATACTGCCCAGTAGCTAAAGCTCTTTAGGTGGTTCATAACAATTAATATACAAAAAGGTATAGTATCCCTTGTTCCTCTTGTCCCTGTGTTCTGTAAGGGTTTGTGGCAGCCAAATTTGTGTCTTATCAGTGTAAGTCAGGGATGCAAAAGCATTTCTTTGGGAAGGGCTGATGTGCCCCTATTGCTTTCAAGGGGTGAAGGCAGGGCAGATTGGCCATAAGTTTTGACAATGTGAGCAGGAGGTAGAGTTCCATCCCAGGATAATACAGTGATGCAGCTCAGACATTTAACCATTATGTCTTCTGCCTTGCAGGTTGCTACTTTTATTCTACAAAAAATACTGTTGGATGATACGGGACTGGCTTACATCTGTCAGACTTATGAACGATTTTCTCATGTTGCAATGATATTGGTAAGGCTTTTCTGTTTGCAAATGACTTGATAGCTCAATACAGCTCTAGGGTCTGTAGAGCAAGATGCAGTGAATGAAAATTGGATCACTTGTAGTGGAACATCTAATGCAGAGATCATTAGAGAAGTGTAAACATTCAAGAAATTTAGAAGCGTGTCAAATAATAGTGCACACATACTAGTCATGTTTTCTTCTGAGGCTTTGTTGCAGCAATTCCCATTGCCCACAACACAAACCATTGTTTGGTTTAAAATTGCTAGCCGTTTCAGTTGTTAGATCTGCAGTTCTCAAAACTTCAAAGAAGCTCCAGCTGTTACATGGGTCTTGGTAATACAAGCATATCAGGATTGCTAGCTGCAGTTTTTCATTAATAGATTTGCATTTTTTCAGAGCCCAGTTGAATAATACCATTTTTCTCTGTGCCCGTAAATGCTATTTCATAAAGCCTTTTGCGAGAGGTTGGGGAGATGGTAATAATTGCATTTACTGACTTTGTTTTTAGTACTGCAGTTGTGGACAGTTCAGGTAGCCATAGTTTGTTTGCTTTTTTTTAAAGAATCGTGCTGAATAATTAAGTATTGGGTTTGGCATAATAACCTGTGGTGTAGAGCTTCTTGCTGAATCAAAATAATAATAATCCCTTTGTGTCTTGAAACCCTTGGGGAGATAAGGCAATGTTCTTGGCCCTTGTTTACATAAAAGAGGGCTCTTGTCCTGTGAGAGTAATAGATACTACTCTTCCCCAGTTTTGAGGTCACTTTTTCTGTTTCCTATATTAGATTAGAACACTGTGGCTAGAGCAAAAACCTGAGAAGTCAGGCTTGTGTCTCTGCTTTTGGTCTTGCCAGCAATCCATTAATTTTTGGAGAGCAGGGAAGCAAATCATAGTCTTATCACTACTATGTATAGGAAGCTGCATGTCTTTTGAAATTACTCTACGAATATAGTACAATAGGTGTACATGGCACTTTGTGGAATAAAATAAGGGTAGATTGCTGTTCCAAGAGGATTATAGTCTAAACTGGAAAGGAGATGACAGATGCTGGTAGCAAGGCTAATGAAGGATGAAATATAGTTACATGTGCTTAGCCCTCAGTGCCTCTCCCTGTTCCAATTTCTGTTTGTGTTTTTGACTTAGGGTAAAATGGTCCTGCAGCTTTCCAAGGAGCCTTCTGCCAGGTTGCTGAAACATGTGGTCCGTTGTTACCTTCGCCTTTCTGATAATCCAAGGTAGGCATCTTAGAAGTTTCTTGGAGTGCCTTGGTGAGGATGTTTTGGTGATACTCTGTGGAACTAGAAATAGCAGTGCCAGATTGAGGATCTGCTTCTACATCTCCAGAGGCAAAGAACAAACAGAATATGGTGGTGTGGTTACAGAAAGTGTGGTGGTCTTCTGATATTTGGTGCGTATGGCTCAACCTCTGACCTGTGTGGAGCCTTATGTATTCGGAGGGGGGCTTGCTCCCCTCTTGTCCATTTGAGTTTATTTGTTGGTCCCTCTCTTTCTTGTCTCCTGATGTAGGGCACGGGAAGCCCTCAGGCAGTGCCTTCCTGACCAGCTGAAAGACACCACCTTTGCCCAGGTTCTGAAAGACGACACAACCACCAAGCGTTGGCTGGCACAACTGGTCAAGAACCTGCAAGAAGGCCAAGTCACCGACCCCAGGGGCATCCCCCTTCCTCCACAGTGACAGCCAAGGAGGTGGCAGAACCCAGGAGGAAATAGCTCAGGTTTACAGAGAGCCAGGAACCAATGACCTCTTCCAGATCCTGTCAGGCATGTGTGGACAGCTCCTTGGACTGACTGTCAATGGTCACCTAGACTGCAGGCCCTTTCTATAGCAACTTTTCACCATGCCTCTGAGGATTATGACACCAGCAAACACAGTTGGGACAGAGAAGCCCTCTTTCAGGGCATGAGCTTTGTCGTGATGATCAGATGAGCACCAAGCTGGGCGGCGCTGCTGCAGCTAACAGCATCTCTCCCGCTCTGGTTCAGTGTGGCAGGCTTGGGAAGTATTCCTCAATTTCCTTGTTGTTCAGTGTTTACATGTAAGTTCAATAAAGGTTGGTATGGTCATTTGACCTTCTTAGGAGTACCTTTTGAGCTTTATCTGGCTCTTAAGCAGAGGGAGTCCATTTCCCTTTTCCTGACTGGGAATTTTGCTTTCGTAAGAGGAGCTTCATGATCTATTCTTTTTGATACGTTCAGCCTTTGTGGCTGGGCCCTTACAGTTTTAAATCTGGTGAGATTATTAGAAGGTGCGGGCAATAAGATAGCATAGCCTCACTTTCCTAAGGGATAGCTCCTGATATGTCAGAAGGCAGTGATTTCCCTTGGCCATGCAGTAGGACAGTCCCTGCCTCTGTGACTGTATTTGAACTCATGCTAAATGTTCCATAGATCGAACTCCACTAACTTCCTAGTCAGTAAGATCCAGAATGCCAGCAAGGCATTCCTTTAATATTCAGACTGTGCCAGCAAGGGAAGAGTTGTTGTATGGGTGCCATGGCTTAGAACCTGCAAGCCATGTGGCCTTCCACTTTGTTGCAGCCTGTGTGTCTGCTTAGTATAAGGTAAACCCTAGGAATGAGCAAAACAGACAGGGACCAAGAGCTATTTCAGGCAGCTGTGAATAGCTGCAGGTTTTTCAGCCTTGCGGGCTGGTGCTGGAAAGCATAATGGCTGCAAAATGCAAGGGCTCTCGTGCTCTTTATCTTCTTCCCCTGCTTCCAGGCTAAGTGCATCCAGTTCATTCATTTTGAACCTGCCCATGTTCATTGGTGTCTGCCACAGCTGAGGAGCCATTAAGCAGTCTGCAAAGGCAACCTATTCCCTGCTCTCTAAATGAAAGAGGCAAACAAAAAAGAAGTGGGGAAGCTGTTTGGGATGGGGGGAACACCCGGGCTGTTTGTCAGTTGCACAACAAGGCTGGGAGCAGGTGGCTTCTGGTCCCTTGCCATTTCCCTTGGCCTTGGCACCTGCTGCCCCTGCTTTGGGCTGGAACCTGTTTTTCCTTTCCCCCCTTTTTCTTTGTTGATGGCTGGACAGGCCACTCCAAGAGTGTCTTAACTCTTCTTTCTCTTTCTCTCTCTATGTGGACTGCTTTTACTCTTGCAGCGGCTCCCAGTTTTATAACAGCCTTGTTTTTCCATCCCTGCCTTGAGTGGACTTTACCAACTGCTTCTTGTTTTGTAACTTGAATAAAAAATAAGCCAAATGAATCTGGATCCTCTTTGACTTTAAAGTCTTGGAAGGTGGGTGGGGGTTGCAATAAACATTACATTCACAGAGAAGAATGTCTCCACAAATCATTTTAAGGGACAACATTCCACTTTTCTTTAGAAAATGTATGTGGGGGGGGGGGGTTAATTTGTTTGTTTGTTTGTTTATTCAAAGCTTTTATAGACTGTCCCGTTACTAGCATCTTGGGACAGTTTACAACAACGCTGCACCTTAGCAAGGTTTAATTTGGGAATCAGTTCAAGAGTAGTGCATATCTTTGCATCCATACTTCATATCATTCTTTTACTCAAGCAGCCATAGCCAATTACACTGCATAACACTGGAACACAATTCTCTGAAGAATGCAGGAGATGCTGAAGGGACCGAATTTATACACCAGATGTCAGATGCCTCCAGAAGTCTTGAGCTATTTCAGTTCTAAAGGTTTCCATTTCATTGTCCACTAATGTGTATGAATTTTGCATTTAAGGTACAAATGCACAAACCTTTTTCAGTCCAATACTATACTGTTGTTCTCTGCAGCATCCCTTTGGGATGAATTTGGGAAGTTTCTGTTCTAACTCAATTTTTGTACTTCCTAATTTGGTCATGTAAGACTAAGTGGTTCTATGTCCACTTAGAATCATAGAATAGTAGAGTTGGAAGAGGCCATGAAGGCCATTGGGTCCAACCCCCTGCTGTTATAAGCAACTAAGTTCAATTGAGTTCTTTTGGACTGACTTTTTAGCATATATGATTGGAAATAAGCTATAATGTGCTTGGCTTATTTTTTAGGTTGAGTGATTATTGGAAAGTGTACCTTTTCCATACACTGTGTATTTAATTGCTCCCTTCTGTGACGGAGTTTTTCTTCTACTTAGGTTAAGTAGAAAAACGCCTCCTTTCTATTTAGAAGTAGAAATAGATCTGTGCTATCAGAAGAGGTTAGGCACAATGTTCTGCTAATTGGTAGCAGATAATGCAGCTTGTATTAATTTCTACTATGATACATTAATTTGTTCTGCCTTAGGGAAGGGGCAGAAGATGTGCAATGTGTCCCAATACTGATAATTGGATGTTAATCCTGTAAACATAAAACCAATATAATTTCACACTGCACATGAAGTATCACAGATACACAGGGATATAGTACAGTTTCAGAAAGAGGCTAAAATATGCACTGGTTGATGGAAGGTGGATTAGAATCAACTGAGAAGCATAACAAGATTGTATCCTTGGGATACATTTTGGTGTTTATTGTTCCAGCTTAACAGGTCTTAGTATATTTAATGCCTGCTTGGGAATCAGCCTCATATTTGGAATGCAAGCTATCCTTAGATTTCTTGAACAGAGCAATATATAATGCAGACAAGTGTATTAAGAACAACTGTTTGCTTTTTGAAATACATGTACACCATCAGAAAAAGACTAGACTGATTAGGAGAGAATAGTGGTGGTGCTAACTAGCTGTATGTTCACACAGCAGCTTATGCTTGATGTTGGCTACAACACTGCTGTGTACATTTGGTTATGAAGGAAATGCCCCTGGTTGCATATGCTTGGACTAAAAATAAAAATTCTGCAGCTGTCTTCCATGCTCTTCTGCCAAGAAAAGCAGGTGTAACCTGCATAAATATGTGTTTAGTGCACTTGCTTATTTTTACATTTTTCATCTAGCCGTCTAGAGGGTCAAGGAGGTATGCAGAGCACTGAAATCCTTACCATGGAAAACCTGGTCAGCTACCCCTCTGGCTTCTGAGATGCCTCTAAGCAGTGGCCATGAAATTTTAAACCCATCTGTGCAGACTGGATGTTTCCTTTAAAAATTCTAACTCAAACCTGCATTTTCAAGATGCTGAGTACTGTGCTTAGTACCAGGTTATGACCTTCTGTGGCATGCATTGTGCAATACTAGGAGCGAGGCTGTAGGCACTGGGCCACATTTATTCCAGTTTGGAAGGGAAATTGCCTTTTGCCTGATGGTGGTGTACTTTTTGCATTTTGCCATAACATTCCCAAGGCTGTCAACAGCTTTGTGGAAGGGGAGGGGAAGTAGCATATTTCAAATTGTCTTTTTGCATTGAATATTTAGTGAATCTGCGGTCCTGACCTCACCTAGGTTTTGTTGTACTACTGAGAGTACTTGTCATCTCTTCTGGTAATGACCTAAAAGAATCTTGTCCTCAATTGGGCGCCCAAAATAGCAATGAAATGTAACAGTAAAGGATACTGCCAGAAGTTTAATCTTTCTCACAGCATTGGTTAACCAAATTCCCATCTGACACTATGCATCCCGAGTTTCCAGAGCTCAAGGAACAGCAAGCTGAATTTTCAGCTACATGTCTAAATTGAGAGTACAATCTCATCCCATTGAAGACATTGGCAGAAAGCCCATTTCAGTTATTCTGGTTTGCACCAATAGCAACTTGGAGAGCGCCAACTTTGTTCCAGACATGTACTTTGTCACAATTTTCATGCAGAAACTTCTACTCAAAATATTTTCTGACTTACTTTTCTGAAGTCAAAAATTGCTTTGTTGTAGATGCATGGACCATCTGTTCTTTTAGTCCTGATATCAGCCTAACCTGGTGTAGTTCAGATGTATTGGACTACAAGTTGAAGAGGGTTACCCCAGTGCATTATTCTTAATAATGAATACATTTGATTGCACAACTCTTACATTCCTTATTTTGTTTCTCCTCATAGTTTTGGAAGACAGGTCCCTGTTCTTATTGCACTGGTGAGTCTGGTCACCTTACCTGAAAAAGAACATCATTGAATTGAAAAAAAGTACAGGGAAGGGCAACAAAAATTATTAGGGAGCTGCTGCAGCATCCCTATTAGGAGCTGCTACAAGAACTGGGACTGTTCAGCTTAGAAGAAAGGCAAGTGAGGCTTTTAGCTGTGCCATATGATGAACATTAAACAGACCCAAAGAACTGGGCTTCGGAAACAGCACAGTAATTGACTAAGTATTCTTGCCTACCCATCCAGGTGAACAGGGGGCTACTCTGGCCCACAGGACACACGATGTAGATGGAATGGAGAATTTCCCTTACCTCTGAATGCTAGTTAATCACCACACAGTGGTCTAGCTTTGAAAAGCCCAGGAGTGGGGTGGAATGACTGATCTGGATTTATTGCCAGGATTTGGGTTGGACCAGATAGTATGAGCATCTTTGCTTAGTAGCTCCTGGCTACAGAATGGAAGTGGAAAGTGTCCCCCAGCCCAAGGCCAGGCCCTCCCCCACTTTAAAAGATCATGATTTTCATGGATGGAGAAGAAAACTCCTCAATGTTTGGACTATTGTATGCCAAAGAAGAAGATCATTTTCAGGTAAGGAAGATCTTCTGTTTGTTTTTCAAGTTTAGAAGGCAAGTTTCTAGTTCTTAAACTATTGTTGAAAACTGCATGGACAGTACCTGGTGAAATTCAAGAGGGCAGAGAATAGTTGAATAGATCTTCCATTGGTAAGGGGCTCAGTGTTTTAATTCTTTCCATCATCCATCCTTTGAACTTCCCCAAAGGCTCATAGAGGCCTTTTCTGAATCCTTTAAAGACTTGCTTGGCTACCAAAGAGCCTGAGGGGGATCCCCCACCCCCAGTGGTTCCTCAGTCTCTCTCTGTTGTCTTTTTAAACTGTTCCAAATTTTTAACATTATGGAAATCAACATAATTTATCCATGTAATAGAATTTGACTCTTCTTGATGCAGAATTTGTAAGAAGAATTTTGAAAGATATAGATAGATATTAAACCTATATCCTTCCTTTAACTCCTGTCCTCCGTATCAAGAAGAGAATGACTTGCAGCATCTTCTTACAGCTGCCTCCCTTAATAGCTCATGTTACCAAAAATACAGTGGACAAGAACAGCGTTTAATTTTTAGCATGGAAGATGCTGTGCCTTGAACCTGTTTAGAAAATGTTGTCCCCAGTCTGTAATGTACTCTGATGGTGCATGCTTGGAAGCACTCCAGTTATTCTTACAAAGGATCCCTGAATGGAAAATTGATTTTAGGGATGAGTCCTGACTCAGATCAAGCTCTGGGTAAAAGAGAGGGAAGGAAGAGTAAAGATCTTGCATGTGCAGTCTTCCACATTATTGTTGTCATGTACTGCTCCTGTTCCCCGGCATCAAGCTTTTCCCCGCTTGAGTTACTAACTCTCCTTTATAATTCATGCATGATATTCAGTCAGGTGGTACTTTTTAGTTGAAAAGCAGCTGCCATGGGTATTGTCCTGCCTCTTGGAAATCACCTATCCATAATACTGGGCTTGTCATAAGAATCCCGGAACTGTTCCTGGAAGATCATCTGAGTTTTCATGACCTGCTTGCTTTTCAGAGCACCTGTAGTAACAGCAACCCAACAATAACGTGTAAAAATATACATTGAGCATGAATCATTTTTAACTGTCCCCAATCTTTTGAGAAGACTTGCCTATGTTTCATCTGCTCAGTTCTGTGCTGCCCCTCCAGCACCAGGAATACCATGGAATTCCTTGTCAGATTTAATAATTTGGGATGAGGTCACACACCGATTTATCACTTGATAACCCATTGCTGAGCAATGACCTGCTTGCATTAAAGGAGACTCTTGCTAGAAAGACATTCCAAAATGCCAGGCTGCTGCAACTCACATCCTAGGGCTTTGTCCCTGTGGGGCAGATATGATTGCAAAAGGTATAGCTGAAATTTTGTACTTTATTCAGAAGGTATATTTCAGAGAAAGCAAATGCACATTTCTCCACAATTCTGATATCAGCGTATATTTTGTTTGAAATAGGCAGGTTAGGGTGGAGGCTACTTACTGCATGCTGGCTGGATGTCTGTGTTCCGAATCCAATCAATTACACAGTTCACTCTACCATATTCTCCTTTGGACAGGGAGTTTTAACATTTCCACAGTTTCCTTTTCCCTCATTCAGAACTCTTTCATTTGCAGGCACTTTGTAATCCAAATATAATCATTCTGATATTTTTTTTTCTATTCCGTTTCCCTCATTGCTTTTTCAAACTAAACCTTGTGTAACAACGGAGTTTTTCACTGGAGTATCACATTCAACTTCTGCCTTGTCAAGCCCTTATACAAGCCGTGTGCTGAACCTGATGGGGTTTAATGCATCTGTAAGGACTCTAAGGGAATCATAACATGTTCAGGGTTAGTGACCATCAACTTTTTCAACTCATGCCTGTGTGTGTGTGTGTGTGTGTGGAATCCTTAGCTTGGGTGAAAAAGAAGAGCTGTTTCTATGTTCAAAGGATCTCTTGCAATCGGAGACCCAGCTTTTTGTTTTTACTTGAATGTTAATACTCAGTGCATTAATACTAATGAAGTTGGACAGGATTGGGGAGAGATTGCCTTGCAATGCTGGCGCCACCGGTGGGAACACTGACCCAACCACAGTGTTCATACTGCTTCCAGCTCAGATTCCATTCTAGTGGTGGTGGGATAAGTGCACAGGGTAGAGTCGTAGAGCTGGGAAGAGGCTATGTAGGCTATCGAGTGCACCCCCTTACTCAATGCAAGAATTCAAATTCCTAACAGATGAGTATCCCTCTTCTTCATTGAAGCAAAGCTGCACCCCCCACCCCACCCAGGCAGTTGATCCCATTGATTGTTTTGTCTCTTAGAAAGTATTTCCTGATGCTTAACCTTCCCATAGTAAGCCTGTTCTTTCATGCCCTGAAGGATGATAGAGAACAGTTGTGTTGTCATACAGAAAAGGGCACTTTAGGTACTTGAAGAGAGTTATTAAAATCCCCTTTCATTCTTTTTCAAGGCTGAATGTACCAGGTTCCTTTCATAGTACTTGCTTTCTGATTCCCCTCCCCACACATACACACCCATCATCCTTGTTGCCTTTCTGCAGACAGTGGTAGAAAGCTAGAATATCTCTCCATTCAACCATGACACTGGAGGTCTTGGATGTAGGGTTTTTAAGGAATATTCTCATTAATTTGGTTATTTAGAATTGTTGTTGTTAGTCGCGAAGTCATGTCCGACCCATCGCAACCCCATCGCAACCTTCCTCCAGGTCTTCCTGTCCTCCACCATCCCCTGGAGTCCACCTAGGCTCACACCAACTGCTTCAGTGACTCCATCTAGCCACCACATCCTCTGCCGTCCCCTTCTCCTTTTGCCATCTATTGTTCCCAGCATTAGGCTCTTCTCCAGGGAGTCCTTCCTTCTCATTAGGTGGCTAAAGTATTTGAGTTTCATCTTCAGGATCTGGCCTTCTAAAGAGCAGGCATGGTTGATCTCCTCTAGGACTGACCGGTTTGATTGCCTTGTTGTCCAAGGGACTCCTCCAGCAACCACCCAATTGTGGTTATCAGGGACATTAAGATCTTTCTTGTATAGTTCTTCTGTGTAGTCTTGCCACCTCTTCTTAATCTCTTCTGCCTCTGTTAGGTCTCTGCCATTTTGGTCCTTTATCATGCCCATCTGTGCATGAAATGTTCCCTTCATATCTCCAATTTTCTTGAAGAGATCTCTAGTCCTCCCTATTCTATTGTTTCCTTCTATTTCTTTGCACCATTCGTTTAAGAAGGCATTCTTATCTCTTCTAGCTATTCTCTGGAATTCTGCATTCAATTGGGTGTATCTTTCCCTTTCCCCCTTGCCTTTTGCTTCCCTTCTTTCCTCAGCTATTTGTAAAGCTTCCTCAGACAGCCATTTTGCTTTCTTGCATTTCTTTTTCTTTGGGATGGTTTAGTTGCTATCTCTTGTACAATGTTGTGAACCTCCGTCCATAGTTCTTCAGGCACTCTGTCTATCAGATCTAATTCCTTAAATCTATTTGTCACCTCTACTGTATATTCATCAGGGATATGATTTAGGTCATACCTGAGTGGCCTAGTGCTTTTCCCTACTTTCTTCAATTTGAGCCTAAATTTTGCAACGAGAAGCTCATGATCGGAGGCACAGTCAGCTCCTGGTCTAGTTTTTACTGACTGTATAGAGCTTCTCCATCTTTGGCTGCAGAGCACATAGTCAATCTGATTTCTGTGTTGACCATCTGGTGATGTCCATGTGTAGAGTCGTCTCTTGGGTTGTTGGAAAAGAGTGTTTGCTATGACCATCATATTCTCTTGACAAAATTCTACCAGCCTGTGCCCTGCTTCATTTTGTACTCCAAGGCCAAACTTGCCTGTTATTCCAGTCATCTTTTGGCTTCCTATTTTAGCACTCCAATCCCCCATGATGATAAGGACATCATTTTGGGGTGTTAATTCTAGAAGGTGTTGTAGGCCTTCGTAGAACTGGTCAACTTCAGCCTCTTCAGCACCAGTGGTTGAGGCATAGACTTGGACTATTGTGATGTTGAATGGTTTGCCTTGGATTTGAACTGAGATCATTCTGTCATTTTGGAGATTGTATCCCAGTACTGCTTTTCCTACTCTTTTATTGACTATGAAGGCTACTCCATTTCTTCTGAGGGATTCTTGCCCGCAGTAGTACACCTGATGGTCATCTGAATTAAATTCACCCATTCCTGTCCATTTAGTTCGCTGATTCCTAAGATGTCGATGTTCAGTCTTGTCATCTCTTGTTTGACCACATCCAGCTTGCCTTGATTCATGGATCTTACATTCCAGGTTCCTATAGAGTATAGATCTTTGCAGCATCGGACTCTCCTTTCACCACCAGATACATCTGCAGCTGAGTGTCCTTTCAGCTTTGACCCAGTTGCTTCATTCTTTTTGATGCTACTTGTACTAGCCCTCTGCTCTTCCCCAGTAGCATATTGGACACCTTCCGACCTGAGGGGCTCATCTTCTGGCATCATATCTTTTGCCTTTTGGTACTGTCCATGGGATTTTCATGGCAAGGGTACTGGAGTGGGTTGCCATTTCCTTCTCCAGTGGATCACGTTTTGTCAGAGCTCTCTGCTATGACCTGTCCGTCTTGGGTGGCCCTGCACGGCATAGCTCATAGCTTCATTGAGCTATGCAAACCCCTTCACTTCGACAAGGCAGTGATCCATGAAGGAGTAGGGGTTGGTAAAAGGTAAATCTCCAGATGTTTTGGACTTCAAACTTCAGAAGTTTGTTTGTTTGTTTGTTTAAAACATTTTTATGCCGTCCTTCACTATTGTGTCTCAAGGCAGCTTACATTATTAAAAGCAAAATCATAAAGCAATCCAACAATACAATAAAATTATCAAACCCGAAACAATAAATCCAATCAAATCCAAATAAATAAATAAAAGTGACTGAACATGATAAACGTACTAATTTTTAAAACAGCAATTAAATAAAAAGGTTTTAACCTGGCACCGAAAAGAATATAGGCTCAGCACCAGGCAAACCTCACTGAGGAGCATATTCCATAATCTGGGAGTTAAGTCCAAACATCTGGAAATGTGGTTTCTGGCCACCACTGATTAAAGATTTTTTTAAAGATCTCATTGGGCTTTATGCAGCAGACACGCAACAGATTCTCTGCTTCATTTAGTTATAGGCATTATGACTTCGTAATACTTAAGCACAGCTTAAAATGTTATCGCTATCCTCTGTCATTTCACAAAAGCCTATTCCATAGTGTTCCTGATCTGTACAGTAGCTTTCACCAACCTGGTGCCCTCCAGATATGTTGAGCTACAGCTCCCAGCATCCACCCCCAGAGGCAGAGTTGTTGGGAGTTGTAGTTTAGCACATTCAGAGAGAACTGGCTTGGAAAAGGCTGCTTCAAGGTGCCACAGGAGCCTTTGTTTCTTGTTAAAACCAAAGCAAGTATATTTACACAATCCAAGTTCCACATTTATCTCTCCACATCAACCAGATGCCGCCTTTATCAGAGGAAATAAATGTTGGTCATTGCTCAACGACATGCATGCATTTTAACACATGTACATTTATATTTGCTCCTTACAGGGGCAAATGGATTGCTTATTCCCAATTGCTAACAATTGTGGTGGAAGGTAGGTTTCCTTCGGGATCGCTAGTTTTCTGCTTCTGTATTAAGTCAAGATAGATGCAGAGCTGATAGGAATTAACAAACTGGACGATATTCTTAATGGACAGGTGCATTTTACAAAGATCGACTGACTTGGTCAGTCATCGTGAGTAGGAGGACGTGCACAGGGTATCCATCTGCCTGGGAATCGGGGCAGTACCAAGAGAGTAAGACTGACCTCCCACCTTATGATTTGCTTGCAGGGCATAAGCCGATCTGTCTGAACAGCTTTTCATCTCCTCCAGCTCCCAGGGCAAGTCTGATCTGCTCTACCTTGTGACTGGGTGACAAATGAGCCCTTGGCTCTGTGCCTTTAAATGAGGCAGCAAAGCTCTGGGCAGGGCTGAGCTGCTGTAAGCTCATTTTATATTCCTTCGTGCAAGCTGAGTTTCTGCATCAGGAGCAGCCCCACACAGCAGCAACATGAGGTGGTAGGACAAAGCCTGGATAAGCCAGAGCAGGAGCTCCCGGTCACCCCCAGAGCATGGGGAGGTTTTGAAGCCACCCTGGGATCCTTCGGCCACCGGTAAGAGAACTGTGCTGCAAAGACTTGGTACAATTAGGGCAAAGTGCGACTTTTGCTGCAGTGCTCGGTGAGGGCAGAGAGAGGAGGGGAAAGAGATGCTTGGACACAAATCGGGAGAGAGAGCGCACTTCAGTTTCTAAACTGGCAGAGCTCAAGTTTCCATTACTGTCGCGCGTTCTGCCTTGGAAACCTCTAAGGCAGCTTCTAGATATGCAGGTTTCATTGCGGAGACTTGGTGAGAAGAGAAAAGAACTCTGCATGTGTTCAGAGGCGCGATGATTTTTCACGTTCTGTGCCTAAGGCAGCACCACAGAAAATAAGTGCTGGCAAACGTGTCTTGAGCGCAGGAAGCGATTGATGGGCATGAGCGTGTGTGGAGTTATCACTGTAGCCAGGAGCCTGCAGCTCATGGGATCCATGCACGCTCTGTGTTTAGTGTTGGATGTGGGGTAAGATGCTGCATGTCCGTGCTCAGGTGCTGCCGTTTGAGAATAACTTTGCTTGGATTTCTAAATGTTGAAATGCAACTTGGCAAAATCAAACTGAGGCTATCAGATAACTGTAGGCTGTTTACAAGAAAGGATCACTGGACACCAGAGACCCAGAGTCTAAGAAAGCAAGAAACTGAGGACTGTCGCAAGGGAACATAGCCAATTAAATTAATTTCTATTTGTTTTACTTGATGGCCGCAAGGAATAGAATAACAGTTCCTCTGAGAGAGTACTTGGCTTCCCTCCTTTTTTTCTTTTTTCTTTTTTTGGCTCATAGGGAAGTGTGTGTTTTACTGTGTGCAAATAGGCATGCATCTGATTGGGGTTCTAGTAAATCAGGAGATAAGCCAGAGTCCATCATTGGAACACTGTCTGTAAACCACAAGTATTTGGAGAATGATATTCCTGCAAGTTTTATAACCAACTGGTGCACTTCATAAGCAGAGCAGGAGAGTTTGTCAAAGTTGCAGTTTGTTTGGCTGGCTGCTTCCTGATAGATCTTCCTACTGACTTCTGTTGTATGTATGCTTTAAGAAATAAAAGCTAAAGCAGAAAATAAACACATTTAGGGAATGAGAAGTGTGCGAAATGGAAAAGAAATGACTGGATTTTCCTTGGACTATCAAGTTCAAGGAGAGAGGAAAAGAATCTCATTAAAAGTTCACATTTTCAACAAGTGGGGTAAGTGATCAGAATTTTAAAGAAAATAGACTAAATAAGACTACTGTCCTGTAGTCAAGGGACTAGAGAGAAACTGCTTATTGCTTTCAGTGTGCAAAGTATTCAGCCTAACCTCATCAGTGTTTGCTCTGAAGCCAAGCCTCCCTCATTCACTGACTATTAAGTAAGTCTGCATACTTCTTTATTAGTCCCAACTGCAAGACAGAGCACCCTTGTTCTCATTTTATACCCAAGAAAACTGAGTTTGCCTAAAGGCATACCAAACCTGAGTCACCAGTTAGGTTTACACAACATGACAAGCTAGAATGTGGGTCAACACTGAATAGTAGATTGTTACATTGTGTGAACCCAGCCATGCTAACAAACCATAGTTTAACTGTGTGCTTCCCATGAAGAAATCCCCTTTATTAGGACCAGTTAAAACATCACAAGACGCTAAAATCAAAGAGGCTCTCGCAGCACCCCAAAGGCCAGTATATTCCTTATCACAGAAGCTTTTGTGGCCCAGACTCCATTTCATTAGATGCACCAATACATTGTCATAAATTTTCTTAGCCTTTCAGGTAACAGCTCTTCTTCAGGAAGCATTAACAAAATAATGAACAAAGTTTCAAGTTTTTCAGCTCTCTCACTCCAGTGGGATGTTAAACAAAATGCAGTGTAGATGGATTAACCGTTCTTCCCCCCCATGCTGGTTCCCAAATGCAAAGCAACTTACTTTTTGGTATTATCCCTAAGCAGGAATACATGTTTGAAGATCCCTTTATAATCAAGTGACCAACTCCTTTCACAACCCATTGAGTCAATCTGGCAACATATTCCCCTTCCTTCCTTGTATGTGCTAAGGGAGGGAAGCATGCCTTCTGGACTGAGACTGAGACAGGAGGTTGTTTTATTCGGCCAAGCCAAGCCAAATTAAATCTGCATCTCAAGGTTCAATCCAGGATGAGCCCATTTCAGTTGGAAGGGCACACACTGAAACAGCACACACTTGAAGCAAACCTAATTCTGTATCTGAATGTGAATCCTGCTGTCAGCCAAATTTGTTTTGAGAATAAATCCTTAAGAAATACTCTTCCTCCGTCACCCACTCTTGTGGGATATTCTACCAAAAAAGAAAGAATCCAGCTGTTTAACAACAAGAGGCCTGATTACCCTCTCCAAGGTGGAAATGAAATCCAGGGAGATCATTTCCCTTTGCTTCTTTTGAGACTGAGATCTGTCCGGTTCTGATCATATGGATTGTCCTTGTGCCCGCTCCTTGCCATGGATTACTAGACAGTGACAGCTTTTGCTTATCAGAGATTCCTGGGTCTTATGGAAGGGAACAGCCATAGTGTTGATATAGGGAGTAAAGCCTTGGTTAGGAGCTGTTCTTATTCATCTCTCTGCCTATCTGCAACTTCAGAGCTTCCCCTCTTAGAACTTGTTCATATAACCAAAATTTAAAGGTTGCTATCTCTGGAATATCCCTGAGATAATCCCACTCTGCTTTTAGGGGAAATACAGTTTTCAGCCACAACAACCATCTCAGATTATTCACTGGTTGCTGTGATTTCCTAGGGAATCACAAATTCTAGCCTAGCCTACAAAGATAACACTGCCACCATTTTACCTCCATTGCTTGTACTGGAATGAAAAAAATTCAGGATCCCTGTTTCTTGCGAGGGGCTTTTTCATCTTTTTGAACCCTGGGTTTTATTTGTTGAAAGTGCAAGCAAATCATATTCTGGTGTCAGTTCCATGATTGTTATTATCTAATAATTCCCACCCTCCTTATACTTCACAGATGAAAATAGGGATATGGTAACTAAGTTGTCACTGATCACTTAGCTGTTTTAAGGGGTGGTTGTATTTTAATCTGCAATTCTTCTGGTTGTTTCTAATATTCTATTTTTAATTATATTGTAAATCATCAAGTCTTTTTTAAAAAGGTGTCTAGGAATTCAGTATTATCGGGGGCCTTTCTGTTCAAGAGTCATCGTGCCACTGATTACCAGCTCCAAGTGGGGCAATAGCAAAGGGCTGGCCCAAAGTATTTTGATACCTGGAGTGAAAAACCAGACCTACTTCCACCGACAGAAGCTGGCAGGTTGCTGGGAAGGGGGAGTAGCTCTGTTCCCCCAACATAAGGAAATGGCCAGGGGGCTGCCACCACTGCCCCTTCCAAAGCCACCCAGCATGTAGCACCCAGGATAACTTTCTCATTTTGCCTAATGGTTGGGTCAGCCATTGATGGCAGTTGCCTTTATTTCTTGGTTATGGGCTTTGTGGAAACACTGGGCTGGTCTCTGTTGGAAATGTGATGCTGGATATGTTAGACACTGGGTCTGGTCTAGCAGTGTGGTTCCTTGTTCTGGAATGCTTGGGTATTATATTAATTATTTGTTCATCAAGCTTCCTACCTAAGAACAATTCCCCCACTTTCTGGGCAATTAAATGCACCACTAAGGTCTCTTCCCCTCTACTATACCCTGTATTGATTTATTCCAGGGACAGCATTTCAGATGTTCAACTGACTCCGACCATCCCTGACTATTGCCCATGTTGTCCGGGCTGATGGGAGCTATAGCCCAACATCTGGGCAATGAGGAGAGGTCCCACGTTCAGTCTTGCAATGAATTCTTGCGTTGTTCCATAAGAAGGTCTGATAATGTGCTTCTCTCACAACAGCCCCATTTATTACAAAGTAGCTACTAACCAGATGCATTCATAGATAATTAGATAATTATGGCATGGAGGCCAGGGTAATTGGAAGCAGCTTGCATCCTATTTGCATGTATTTAAGTGCATATGAACAACACAGTGTATTCTCCTCTCCTCCTTATTTAACTTGTAGAACAAGGGTGGAAAGGGCTAAAATACTTACTTTCAACTCTCAGGGAAAACTGTGCTGGAAGCACAGTAAATAGAAATAGCAACAGTACACATTAAAAACATTAATTATTATTATAATAACATTTCTATGCCGCCCCTTGCCGAAACCTCAGGGCGGCTTACAACACAATAAAATACATTGAAATACAATAGAACATAATAAATTACCATTAAATACAAAAATACAAAAAATACACTGAGTTACAAATATAAAATTAAAATTATCAGTATAAAAAAAGTAAATAAAAATATAGGAGGAGAAAAGAGAAGGAAGAAGAAGTTGCCCTGGCCAGATCATATGTTTTAACAATTAAAATGATGTTTAAATAAAAAGGTCTTTACCTGGCGCCGAAAAACCAGTAACGACGGTGCCAGGCGGACCTCTTTGGGGAGTGAATTCCATAGGTTGGGCGCCATTAGCACTGGTGCAGTAGTAACTTTTGAAGTGTTGGCACTCAACATGACACACCTCACCTCTGTGTTACATAGCAAGTCCAAAAATGAGGGCAATTTATTAATCTGTTTTATCAAAGTATGTGAGTTGCACCTGAATTTAGTGGAAGCAGGGAGAAACTCACATGAGAAGATGAAATCTATTAAGCTAGAGGCCCTATTGCCTTGGCCTTGTGAGCTTTGCCATGATGATGTCCATCCCTCTGCCCTCTTATGGACTTCACTTGCTAAATTATGCCAGATTAACAAGCAAGAATGATACAGATAATAGTTTCAAAGGCCCAGAAATATTCTGTAAGATTTCCTAGTCAGCCACTGAACTAGCCATGTGCTTTCCTGTCTTCATTCCCAACTCAGACAGACAGATGTTGGAGCCTTGACCCAGGGGAAAATTAGAAATCTTACACTAATAAAGCTGTTGTATGCAGAAGTCTTATTATGTTGGCATCAGGGGGAAAGGCTTGGAGTCTTACTGACCCTCCAGAAGCAGACATCTTT